AGGTTGTTTTCTGCCAGCTACCAATTTAAGATTTTCTATTCAATTTAAGATTTTCTAATGTAGACTTTCTTAATACCTATGCATTTTGTTCAAAGCCCCTTTTATCACTTGAAATTATATATTTCAGTGTTTGTGTTTATATAATTTGTTTTTCCTATTTCATTGGAATTCATAACAGTAGAGAACTCTTGTCTGCTTTATTCACCGCTTCATACCCTGCCTTAACACACTACTGGTTACACAATAGACAAACAATAAATATTTGTTAAATAAATAAGCTTAACATATAACATATGCCCATCTTATATCTTTCACAAATATAAAACTGTACAACTACGTCTCATCTGGAAAGCCTTTGAGAAAATCAAGAGTGGTTCTCATACCCTATACTTAGATATATCTAGGAGTATCAAGCTTAAGAAATTGTGCTCAGACTGTTATGTCCCTTGTGTCTCACAAATTAATGAAATTGGCCTAGACTGAAAAGTTCTCCTGTTGGAATCATATATTTTGACTTATGGCTAATAGAGTTGCTGGCTCATATAGTAAGTACTCAGAATATGCAAAAAAAAACCTAAACCCAAAACACTGCCCCCCCCCCAACCTAAATGAGTTAGCAGTCGTCTTTTTTTGAAATGACATTAGGAATAAATTGTTAATTTGTGTTTAGACATTCATTTTCTGGTTAGAGTAAGACATTTGTTTGGGATGTGAACCAGCTTTGAAAGATAAATGTATACAGACATAATCTTTCCAGTAAATCTTGCTACTATTTCTGTGACTACATATGTTAACATTTTTATAATTTGCTTCCAAATGGCAAACACAGATGGTCGTAGTCTGAATTTTCAGCATGTTTTAGAATAAATGTTTTCTCAGTAGTTTAAAATGCATCATTTCAGTATCAGATGGTTACCTAATTGAGTAGTTTAAAAATTTTTTTTTTTGCTAATTTCCCAACTTTTCAGATTTAAAATAAATAGCTATTAGAAATTGAATAAATGATAAGATCTGTGTTTTCTCTCATTTTATCAAACAGGACTCTTGGCAGAAACCTACTCTAGCTATTATTTTTTCTGAGAATTTGTTTCTTGGAGCAGATTATAGAGGGAAAGATTAATTTTATGTCTTCATGTGCTTAATAACTAGAAATTATTTATTTTAATCTTGAACATACAACTTTTTAAGGGTTGAATTGTATATGCCTTGTATGTTGTCTTGGTTTATCATGTTAAGTGAAGCAGTACTTAAAAACTATTGTTTGGGGCTAATTTTGCTGTAAAAGATAAATATATTCAGTGTATTTATTCTTGAGTACTGTTTTAGTACTGAAAGTTCTAGAATACTTGGAATACTAGTATTCAGAATTTAAATTTTACTATTTTGTTATATACATGTATGTCTAAATAGATGTTGAATATAAACTATATGTAATTTAACAATCAGAATTTTGAATACTTCCATCCTTATCCTGACTTATTCTGTTTTCTAAATTCTAAAGAGATAATGTGCAGCTTCAAGAAGTTACTAAAATATAGAATAAATATTGAGAATGTCATTATTAATATTTTTGGCATTTCATCCTTTCTGAAGTTTCCTTCCTTATTAAATGATGTACTTAGACTTTTAATTCTGTTTACAGATTATGTATTCAGATGTATTTCAGTTTATTTTTAAGAATGAATCTGTTGTCCTTCAAAGTAGTTTAAGCACATTCTAGCAGCTGAATAATGTACAAATAGACACAACTGGTCTTGCACCTGTTCCTCAAGCAGACATAAATTGAAATAACTAAGTATTTACTTAAATAAGTAGGACCTTTTAAAATACGATATATTTTATAACTAGTGATTAGCTGTTTCTTTTCCTTTTTTCCTTTTGAGACAGTTTTATGTGTAGCCCATGCTGGCCTCAAACTCTGAATCCTCTTTACCAGGATTATAGGAGATTACAGTGATATCTGGTGTCATTATCCCTTTTTAATTTATGAGTTAAATGATACCTTCATATAGTAAGTAGAACAGATATATAGTAAGTAGAACAGATATATCTTTTTCTACTATAGCAGGTAAAAATAACTATGAAAATACTACATTTTATTTATAGGTAATATATTTTCCACATATTTTGGTAGTTAATAACATCAGCATCATGAACAAGGTTGTTTAAATATAATAAGAAACTGGCCATTTAAAATTTTTCACAGTTAATAGTTATAGCAATTGTAGTAGTATATTCTTTTTAAAAATTTTATTTAGTTTTTGTTTATGTGGTACCAAGGAATCAAACCCAGAGCCTCATGCATGGTAGGCAAGCACTCTACCACTAAGCCACATTCCTAGCCCTATTCTTTCTTTTTAATGCACAAGGAAGTCTAGGCCTCTCATTTTTCTCAGGATGATTTAAGTGCATAAATTAAATTTGGAAATTGTTTATAGTTTCTTATAAAAATTAGAACATTTTTTATTGCATAAAATGAAATTTAATCAGGAAAAAGAAAATTACCTATAATCTCAAATGTAGAGATATACCAAAGCTATAGATATACTCTTTCAGAATTTACCTATGCCTATGTATAAGGTGTTATTAAAATTCAGGCTAGGTATAATTGTTGAAAGCTATGAGTATAAGGCTTGTCTTTATTAAAATGTTTAAGCTAGGTGCCAGTAATCCTAGCTATTCTGAAAGCTGAGTAAGATCTGAGGATCATGGTTCAAAGCCAACCTGGGCAGGAAAGTCCCTGAGACTCTTACCTCTAATAAGCCACGCCCCTCCCCCCCAAAAAAGCCAGAAGTAGTGAATCAAGTAGTAGAGAGTACTAGCTTTAAACAAAAAAGCTCAAGGACAACACTGAAGACCTGAGTTCAAGCCCCAAGACTGTAAAAAAACAAAAACAAAACTAGGTGTTTAATTTTTTTCTTCTACGAAAATTATAGCACATAAATGGCTGGAGGAAGGGTTACAAATGTAATCATTATATTCAATCATTATATATACTGTGTAAAAATTGAGCTATAATTGAGAATGAAGAAAGGGGTAATTTTGATTAACATGCATTGTACTTATAACCTAACTTCTGGAATTGAAGCCTCTATGTACAAGTACTTAACAGTAAAAATTTAAAAGTAATTATACAGCAATACCATTTCATACCTACCCTGTCATGACTGTCTTTATTAGCAATAATAGTTTGCACTAATTATTATTAGTTACTAGGGTAATTGAATTCAAGGTGCTCTACCCCTAGCCAATTTTGCTTTAGCTATTTTTCACTTTAGCTATTTTTCAGATAGATGGTAGCATTCCTGCTTGGGATTGTTCTTAGACCACAGCCCTCCTACTTGTGGACTCCCTCATATCTGGGATTACAGCACATACCACCATAGCCAGCTTGTTTGTTGAGATTGAAGCAGGTAGAGTGAGGAGAGTATAATAACTTGGGTCTAAGTTGGCCTTAAACTATGATCCTTCCAGTCTCTGCCTCTCCAGTGGCTGGAATAATAGATGGGAGCCACTGCTCATAGTCATACTTCTCATTTATATTAAAAAGCACTAAGTATCATTGTAGGAATGCTTTACCTCTCCCAGTTTTCTTCGGATTTTGATAGGTGTGGTTTATGTACTTTTGTCCTATAATCCTTCTAGTACATGTCCATATATCTTAAAGTCTCCAGCAACCTCTAACATTTTAATAATATATTTATTATTGTTTTTATTTTTATTTCTTTTGAAAAGGAAATGAGATACAGACTGACTTTTAACTTACACAGGATTAGAAGTGTCCATTTAAGATAAATTGAAATAAGAAAATACACTAGTTAGCTGGGCACTGGTGGCTCACGCCTGTAATCCTAGCTACTCAGGAGGCTGAGATCTGAGGATTGCTGTTCAAAGCCAGCGTGGGCAGGAAAAGTCCATGAGACTCTTGTCTCCATGAGACTCTTTTATCTTAACCACCAGAAAACCAGAAGTGGAGCTGGTTGCTCAAAATGGTAGAACACTAGCCTTGAGCAAAAGAGCTCAGGGACAGCACTCAGGCCTAGAGTTCAAGCTCCACAACTTAAAAAAAAAAAAGAAAAAAAGAAAAAGAAAAGAAAATATACTAGTTAGAACATACTAAGTAGTACAGTGATATATAGGTGGTATTAAGGTGTAACAGAAATCCTAGTTATGATTTACTGATTATTAAGGGCCTAAGCATCCTAAAGTCTGAAATTTAAATTATTCTTTATTTTTTCCCTCTTATATCTTAGTTACAGTGACCATTTAGAGTGTTTTAGCATAGAGTAATTGCTTTTAGTATAAAGTAGAATCCGCAGAAACAGACTTGGAGCTACTTTGTGTGTGTGTGTATATATATATGTTTTCACTTAATCTTAGATCTAGAGATTTTACTGTTCCCAAATAAACACATTTCAATATATATTTTCTCTTAGTCTACCTAACCCTTGAGCTAATTTCAGACATGACATTTTCAGTTTTCACCCCTAATTTAGATGGGCCTAGTTTTGTGTGTGTGTGTGTGTGTGTGTGTGTGTGTGTGTGTGTATGTTTTCACTTAATCTTAGATCTAGAGATTTTACTGTTCCCAAATAAACACATTTCAATATATATTTTCTCTTAGTCTACCTAACCCTTGAGCTAATTTCAGACATGACATTTTCAGTTTTCACCCCTAATTTAGATGGGCCTAGTTTTGTGTGTGTGTGTGTGTGTGTGTGTGTGTGTGTGTGTGTGTGTGTGTGTGTGTGTGTGTGTGTGTGTGTGTGTGTGTGTGTGTGTGTGTGTGTGTGTGTTTGGTTTGTTTGTTTTTGCAGTATAGTTAGACATCATGTTAAAGACTGTAGTGGTTGTCCTTTACTTTTCTCTTCATTTTCTTTTAGTGATAGGTTGAACTTTGAAAAATCATTTATTCATAGCTTTGATCCCAAAGCTGCTTTATTCTTAATAACAATAAAGATCAATTGAGGATAATAGCACTTTCTTTTTTTTTTCTGCAGCTTGCCCAGTTTCGACAAAGAAAAGCTCAATCTGATGGGCAGAATCTTCCTAAGAAGCAGAAAAAAAAGAGAAAAGTCTCAAGTTGTAAGCATGATGTGCATGGTTTGAGTATTGATCAACAGAGTGATCAGATATATATAAATAGTTCTCAGGAGGTAGAATCAACTATGACTCCTGATTCCACCATAATGAGAACTTTGCACAGTGGAGGAATTGTCAAGCATGACCAGCTCTACTCTGCTGAGGTAAGTATCCATTCTGATTCTGAAACCTTAGAGTTCTAAATGGAAAGTAGTTGCAATTCAGTTGTAGTTTTTGTATTCTTTTGCAAATTTAAGTAGTATGACAGCTAAATAGACCTAAAATATGCAATAACTCTTGAGAGTAAGTTTGTGAGAGAAATTGTATTTGGATTAGGATGATGAGTGGATCAAGGCTAGGTAAAGAAAAAAGATAGATTGCTCAGAAGGAAAAGGCAGATGTTGATAATTATTTGGATTATTCTATGACATATTTATTTGAAAACAGCAAGACTAGCATATGAAGGGACTTAAACTGTGTTGAAAAGGTCAGGATAAGCTGGACAACAGTGATTTATACTTGTAATCTTGGCTATTCAGGAGGCTGAGACTTCTAGTGTCACAGTTTGAAATTGCCCTGGGCTGGAAAGTCTGCAAGACTCATCTCCCACTAACTAGAAAAATTTGGAAGTGTGGCTCAAGAGTGCCAGCTGTTAGCAAGACAGCCCAGCAAAAGTATAGGACCTTAGTTCAAATCCTGAATCTGACACACAAGAGAGAGGGGGAAGGAGGTATCAGGATAGAATGGAAGGCAGTTTCTCTTACAGAAGAATAAGAATACAGTGTAAAAAGAAAGATGAAAAGGCATGATGTTGCATATGTTTAATCCTAGCACTGGGTAGCTGAAACAAGAGGGCCTGAAGTTCAAGGTACATGCTATTGAGCAATTTTTTATCCTTCAAATACAGGGAATTCCTGTCATCTGCCCTGTATGCTGATTTAGTGGATATTGAGCCATTTCTCTTAGGAGAAATCAGAATTAGATTCCTAGGAGCCATGGGATATTTTATCAACTATTTGATACATTAATTTCATTTTATATGCATTTGTATATCTAAGTCTCTCCTTATTCATTATTACCATTAAACTGTAGTTAAAGAATCAATAATATATGTTAATGAATCAGCCATGTATATTAAGAAATAGAAACATAAATAAACATATCACAAAAAAATATAAGCAAAGCTCATCCTAATACACATTTTCTTCCTAAAGTACATCACAACCTTTCTACTCCTAGGAGCACTATGACAGCATTATACTTTGTGGTCATTTTACACACTGAATGCCCAAGTTAGCCTATTGTATATTTGGGAGGATAGAAATACAAGGATTAGAGTAATGGTATTCTCCTTGGTGCTCTTGGCTTATAGATCATATGTACTGTGTATGAAAACACACATGGAATATGGTCTCATACATGTGGAACATTCCTCTTGAGAATACTATGTTTAGAAAAATGCTTTGATACATTTTATATGCTTTAGTTAGCCATGTAATTTATTAATTAAGCACAAGTTGTACAAATCTGAATGTTCTTTGTTAGACTTTTAGTAGTATTTTATGTGATGTTTAGAATTTTATGTGAGTTTTCTAATATAGCTTAGTAAAGTTATGTGAGTTTTCTAGTATAGCTTAGTTAGTTTTCTAATAAGAGCTTAGTAAAGTATGATACTTAGCAGTTTTTAAAAGTCATGATTATAATAGGTTTTTACTTTTGTTTTAGCCAGAAAGTGAAATTTCAACCACAGCAGATGATTATAGTTCAGAGGTAAGACTTCATAACATCTTACGTTTTAAACAAAATTGATGTTTTATATTATTGAAAATATTAGTTGGTACTTTATGCCTTGTAAATTTACATGATTCTATTGTATTTTATGAATATAACAATGTAAATAGAAAACATGAAGATGTATTTTACAATGACATCTTTTTTACAGATTGTTTGCTTGGTCTTTAATTAGAGAACCAGTTTTTGTTTCTGGAAAAGTAATGATACTGGATTTTTTAGTACACATAACCATAACAAAGTATCCTCATTTAGCATAGTAGAAATTTTGTCAGATATTTTCTTTGGAGTATATGCTTTACTTTTTTTCTTTTAATTTGGAGTGAAACATAAATGCTTGAATTATAGTTAACAATACAAGTTTGTCTATTGAAATTAATGTTGTAACAATTATTTTAGGTTATAAACTATAATTAGCTTTTTGGGAATATTTCTATATGTGTTGGTAATATAATATATCATTTTGTTATCTTATTTTAGATGTGATTGTCATTTCTTAACAATCATATTGGAGTTAGAGGATATGGGAAACTATTCCATTTCTGTCTCAACAACTTAATGTATTCCTGAGTCTCAATTTATTGTAGGTTTCCAAAATAAGTATCTGACTTATATTAGTTACATAAAGTTGTGCCTAGGGGAAGTATCTTGATTTAAAATTTTTCAGAATCTGCTTTTGTGACTTCAAATTTAATGTTTATGTATAGTATTAGAAATTCTTGTTACAATGAGACATTCTTTGCCTAAATTTTTAATTAAACTAATGGGGGTTATGAAATTTAAAAAATATTGAAATTTTTTATTCATGACATCTAATATGATATGTTTCAAAATAATGTATAAATGGAATTTAATATAAGTATTAAAGATAAAATTTAGAATAGTATTTATCAAACTTGTTAACAGTGGTTCAGCAAGAAATATATTTTGGGGCTGGGAAGGTGGCTCAGTGGTAGAGCGCTTGCCTTGCATGCCTGAGGCCCTGGGTTCGATTCCCCAGCACCACATAAGGAAAAAGAAAAAAGCCGGAAGTGGAGCTATGGCTCAAGTGGTAGAGCGCTAGCCTTGAGCTGAAGAGCTGAGGGATAGCGCCCAGGCCCAGAGTTCAGGCCCCACGACCGGACCCAAAAAAAAAAAAAAAAAAAAAAAAAAAAAAAGAAATATATTTTGCATATGTATGTAATTTCATATAATATAGTTACATCTATGTGGTTATATATATGAATAATCCATGAATAAAGACATACATACACACATATGTTTTTCAAGCAAGCCTTACTTTTACAGTAGAGCTTACACTGTGATACTTTTTCTTTTTAATGTTAGTCACAAAAGGTAGATTAACTGCCTTACAGTTTGGGGAAAACAGTGATTTAGAAGATTACATTGAAAAAGAAATTGTGACTAGTTGTAATCACAAAGTATAATGATGATAAAAATCAGTGCTTGAGAGTCTTCTGCTGATGATCCTTTACTGTATGTATAATTCCAGTGATCCCAATTGGCTGGGGTATTGAAGTAATTCTCTACTGTAAAGAATATCAGATATAGGCTGGACACAATAGCTTATATTTAACATATCAGCTACTTGGAGGTGTCCAAGCAAAGCAAATTGAAATTTAGAATTATTTAACTTGGAAGGTATGAGTTTCTATTAATAATCATAATAGAGTATTGCCTTTTAAGAATTTTCACTAACCTCTTTAATGTGTTGTAAAAGTTTTTTTTTTCCCTTAGCTTTTTTTTTTCTCTCTCTTAGAAATTATCCTTAGGATTAAAGCAAAAGAATCAAACTTGGATTAAGAAGACATGATTAGGATTTTCAGTTTTGAAAGTATGGCCTATATGAATAAATTCTAATTCTAGGATTTTACACATTTTACACATTTCAGTAGTAACAACTTAATTATCTTAGATTCTGTTACTATAGAATTGTGACCAAGATAAGGAAAGAAATAGAGTTGAGTTTTATATTGGTAATGGGAAAGAGGGAATTAAGTAGACTGATTGAGCTGAGATTAATTTCCCACTAGGTACATTGGAAAAATATTCTATGATTCTTTCTGTTACTGCAAATCATTATAAAGAGACAGATGATGATGTATTTTTGAAAAAAAAATTAAAACAAAAAACTCCATACTTTTCAGGTTTGGCATGATTATCCAAGATGAAAGTACTAAGACTAGTCTCAAAGGAAAGTTCTTTTTTTTTGGGGGGGCAGGGGAGGGGGGGGGCGGTGTTCACGTCGTGTGGGGCCTGAACTCTGGGCCTGGGCACTGTCCCTCAGCTCTTCAGCTCAAGGCTAGTGCTCTACCACTGGAGCCACAGCGCCACTTCTGGCTTTTTTCTTTTTGCTTATGTGGTGCTGAGGAATCGAACCCAGGGCCTCATGCATGCAAGGCAAGTGCTCTACCACTGAGCCATCTTCCCAGCCCCCCCAAAGGAAAGTTCTTAGAAGAATGTTTTTCTTTTCATTCTCTCCAATTCCTTGGCTTGCTTGCCAGCCTTCAAGGAATTTATACCAGTAAATTACCTTACTGGAAAATATGGAAAAATAATTGCTCAGATGATTTTAAGAAAGCAGTTTTGTAGAAAAGGATCTAGTAACTTGAGGGTTATAATTACCTTCTAAAAACCAATAGAATCTGCACTTAGAATTTTAAGTCATTTACATGAAAAACTACAGTATAGTGGCTTGCATTTGTAGACATTCAGGTGTGTGAGGAATGATTAGCATTTGAAATGGTCATATGTTTTTGGATATGTCAATAAATTTAAACAATGTACCTGTTTGTTTTTTGTGTTTTTTTAAACCAATGAGACATTTTTTTGCTAGCCATAAGAGATAGATACAGTTAGAATGTTGTTGCTAGGTATATTAAATTCAGTTTAAGATCATCACAGACTTGTTTTTATACAGGTAAATGGTTGCAGTTTTGTGATGAAAACAGGAAACCCCACAAATTTATTAAGGGTACAGTATTCAAAACTACTTATGATACTAATGTTTTATACTACTTAAGTTCATCTGGCTTACTAACAGCTTTTTCCTGCATGTTCTTCTTTGGGTGTAGAATTTCTAAATGCATTTAATATTTAGCAAAACAAAATTATCTCCTTTTTGTTATATAACAGTTGTAACAGAATTTGCAGTTATCATCTTTATGCTCTTAAGATCTATATCAGAACAAAGTAGATTTCCATTTTAGTAAACTTCCAGAAGGTGAGTGTGTGTAAAGTAGACCTTGATAATGAATTCAGTACTTGAATCCCTCTCCCTGTGGAATGTTGCTAGTACTGAATTATTAAAAGTCTTGGGTTGATTTAGGAAGAAGAATTTGGTGTTGATTCTTACTCTGAACAAGGAGCACAGTACGGTCATACTCAAGTAGAGATGATGGAAAATGAATTGGCTGGGAAACGGCATGAGATTGAAGAGTTAAACAGAGAACTGGAAGAAATGAGGACCACCTATGGGACTGAAGGACTGCAACAGGTATGTTCACCTTTTGTGGCTATTATTTCACAACTCACAGAAACAGGAAATTTGAGAAATAGTGTAATAGAGTATTTCTCTCTCTTTATCTCTTTCCTTCATTTTCCTTCTCTTCTTCCTTCCTTCTCTCTTTCTTTCTCTCCTTCCTTCCTTCCTTCTCTTTCTCTCTCTCTTTTTCTTTTTCTTTCTCTTTCTCACTTTCCTTTCCTCCCTACCTCCCCCTCCCTTCTTTTCTTTAATTTTCTTTTCTTTCCTTTTGTTTTGTACTGGGGCTTCAGCTCAGGGCTTGGCTCTTTTTGCTCAAGGCTAGTGTTCTACCAGTTGAGCTATGTCCAGCTTTCTGGCTTTTTTGGTTAATTGGAGATAAGAGTTTCACATACTTTTCCTGTCTGGGCTGGCTTTGACCTACAATCCTCAGATCTGAGTCTCCTGAGTAGCTAAGATTACAGGCATGTGAACCACTGACGCCCAGCATGTACTCTTTAAAACTAGTGCTTTGTTGTTTTTATTGTTGTTTGCCAGCCCTGGAGCTTGTACTCAGGCCCCATGCTCATGCTTACCTTTTTCAGTCAAGGCTGGCACTCCACCATCTGAGCCATGCCCCCAAATAGTCTCTTGGATTTGTTTGCCCTGTCTTGTTTTAAGCCTTAATCCTTGGATTTCGGCCTCTTGAATAGTTAAGATTATAGGCATGGGCCACCAGTGCCCAACTAAAGAAAGGGTTTTAAAATGTTAACATTACTTCATAATTTCTGTCCTTGTACATAACATGATCTACTCCATTTAAAACTAGAATTCTATTACCAGGGCTTTTTAAAAAAAACTTTATATACTAGCTAGAAATAAATCAGTAAGCAGATGTTTTTCTATTCAGCCTGAGAGAAAGTAACAAGCCACAAAAAGCCATTATGATTATAAGGATGTCAGTGAGTCCTTGTAAATAATTGCTGTAGTTAGAGTGACATCTCTTGTCCAAGCCAGTTAGTTATGAAACCAAGATAAGGAACACTGATGAAAATGATGACAGAGAGCATACTTCAGTTTTAGCCACTTCAGAGACAAGTTGGGATGAAATCTATGAGTGTTATCTAATAGCAGATTGAGGAGTCACAGAATGTAAAAAGGTTTGTTCTTCTAGAATTAATTGTATGAAAAAAAATTAAATGTATCTTTTTCCTTAATGCAGGTAACTTTTTTAAAAGTTGATTTAGAAATAAATCAGTTCTAGCAAACTAATAACATTCAAATATGGAAGGTTGTTTAAAAGTTATAAAAATTCACCAGTGTCTTTTGAGTATCTTATTTTTGAAGACCAAAATTTTACTTAAAAAAATTAAGTCTAGCACTTGTGTTTTTCACTTGTTTTCTTTAAGTTGCAAGAGTTTGAAGCTGCCATTAAGCAAAGAGATGGTATCATAACCCAGCTCACCACTAATTTACAGCAAGCAAGAAGAGAAAAGGATGAGACAATGAGAGAATTTTTAGAGTTGACAGAACAAAGTCAAAAATTACAGATTCAGTTCCAGCATGTAAGTACTATTAAAACAAGAATTTTAGTAATGGTTTATTTTTTCCCCCATTTTCCAGACAGACTTAAATTGGTTAGAAAGCCATTTACTTGTTTTTATTATATTAGTTCATTCTTTAGTACGATACTTACTGAGAGGTTTGCTGTTATTATTTTCTTTGTTCTTCCCTGTCTTTGTTTTGAAATGACACAGTATCTTACCAGGCTGATTTAGAAAATTTTCGTAGACATAAACCTTTTATTACATCCTCCCTGTGCCAACCCAGGTATGGTTTTGTTTTAGTTAGGTCTAGTTTAGTTGGTAGCTCAACTGAATGAATTGTTTATTTTTTTTTGAGAGTTTTAACAAGGGTTTATTGTAATATAACAGGCAAAAGTAGTGAAAAATAGAAAAGAGATGAGAGTTAAAGTCTCCTCGATTTACTTTCAATTAGAGCTACAGGTTTTGTTTTGTTTTTTTTTCCCTTTTGTCTATACTGGGGCTTGAGCTCCAAAGACAGGGAAGAACAAAGAAAATAATAACAGCAGACCTCTCAGTAAGTATCGTTAGTTCCTACTTGAGTATGAACTAATATAATAAAAACAAGTAAACCATCCTTGTTGGTTCTCTACACTTGAGCCATACTTCCACTTCTGGCTTTTTGCTTGTGAATTGGAGACTAGAGTCTCTTGGATCTGTCTGCCTAAGCTGGCTTTGAATGGCTTTGAATTATCAGATCTCAGCCTCCTGAGTAGCTAGGATTGTAGGGCTGTCACCAGTGCCTGGCTAGTAACCTTTTTTTTTTTTGGTCGTCATGAAGCTTGAACTCTGGGCCTGGGTGCTGTCCCTGAGCTCTAGCTCAAGGCAAGTGCTCTACCATCTGAGCTACAGCGTCCCTTCTGGTTTTTCTGGTGATTTATTGGAGATAAGAGTTACGGACTTTCCTGCCTGGGCTGTCTTTGAACTGCAATCCTCAGATCTCAGCCTCCTGCATAGCTAGGATTACAGGCATGAACCACAAGTGCCCAGCAACTAGTAATCTTTTTTTTCTTTTGATTTTTAATTTTTAATTTCTAGGAATTATTAATAGTTTAAGGGAATTCATTGTAAAATTTTCATAAAAAGTAATTTTACTTACCCGTGTATTATACCTTAATCATTTCTATGGATTTTATTTCTTGCTTTTTGAGATTGCAGCATATAAATAAATAAAAAGACAACTAAGTAACTGTGCCAAAACTTTCCCAGGCTTTGGTTTGACTTGTTATCTGACGTAACTGTGATAATGAATATACCGTGGTATATGTCTAGATACAGCATTAACTACATTTTCAGAATTGTATTTTGAACAAATTCACTTTCACTATATGTTCTTAACCTTGCTTTTTCCAACACCCTCCTCTCCAAACAGTGTTTGGTTGTTTTCATTATGGTATCTTCATATATAAACTTCCCCATCCTATCCCAGTACTCTTACCCTCTCCACTAAGTTTCTCTCCCCCCTCTACTCCTCCGTTTACACTCATGTTTTATTGTTGTTATTACTGTCATTTTTGACATAGATTCTAAATATGAGTGAAAGCATGAGATATTTGTCTTTTTGAGCTCAGTTTATTTGTTAGAGCCACAGTAATCTAATTTCATTAATTTGAAATAGCCTCAGCCAAAGGGAAGAATATAATCTTACAGAATTTATGAACAAAAATAAAGCTAGGCCTTTGAATGTAATTGGAACTAGAATCTAGAAACTTACTAAGAATCCACAAGGTACTGTCATCAGGCCCCACTTGTCTTTGCGTGTGTGTTTGTTTTTTTCCTTACTGGACATACTTTCTCTGACTTGTCAAGTAAAAATCTTTTATAGTGCAGTCAGTCATGGCAACATGTTTGTTGAAATCTCAGGCCTATAAAATAGAGTTGCCAGATAACCATTGTGGATTGAGTGCTACACTAAAAGATGTCTAGTCTGTAGTTGCTCCAGAATTAATTTCAGATTTCTCTCTGTTTTCAAGTTACAGGCTAGTGAAACTCTGAGGAACAGCACCCATAGTAACACTGCTGCAGATTTACTACAAGCCAAACAGCAGATCCTTACTCATCAACAACAGCTGGAAGAACAAGACCATCTATTAGAAGATTATCAAAAGAAGAAGGAAGACTTTAAAATGCAGATTAATTTCTTGCAAGAGAAAATTAAAGTATATGAAATGGTATACTAATTTTAAAAAAGACTACCAATTTGTAGTATCTTTGAAATTTTAAAGCTTTTTATGCATATAACATAAACTTTATAATTAAGAAACAGTATTTGATCAAAGATAGTTCTACTTAGACCTATGTTAGCAGAATCAGATGTTAGGTAACAGTAGGCTGAGATAACATGATGTATCCATTTCAAAGCAATAATGTTCTTACTGATAGATTCAAATTCTTAAATGCTATTTTCTGTTATTCCCATAACTGCTTTCTACATTAGGTATGATTTTTCTAAAGGACCAGAATTCTCAGACTAATGGTACATTGATCTTCTGTGGGCTGTACTTGGTCACTGCAAGGTTTCTGTCTAAGACTTCTCCTTTTTAAAGTCTTTTGTCTTTTGACATTCTTTCTTTACATGTGTTAATAATACATTCATTCAAGGTATCTTTAAGTACTTTTATCAAAGACTCTTCTCTTGCTTATACTTTGATCATTTCTATGGATTTTATTTCTTGCCTTTTGAGATTGCAGTGTTTTATGTAAAAAGAAACTAACTGAGCCAAAACTTACCCAGGCTTCAGTTTGACTTGTTACCTGATATAACTGTGATAATGAATATGCCTTAGTGTATGTCTAGACTTAGCATTAAGTACATTTACAAAATTGAATTCTAAATAGAAACTGGGACAAGTGTCTGCTGTGTTTTAAAAATTTCTGTGTAAACAACAAGTCTAGGGTTGAGTTGATCTTCCATAAGCACTTTAGGTGACTTAGATATTACTTGTGATATGGACAGTTAAGAATTGCATAATAAACTTATGATTCATCTATGTACCCATGGGTGCAGTTAAGGTAGACCCATAGTAATCTTTTTTTGTTACTGTTGTTTTTATAGTGCTTGTTAGTAGAATACCTTTAAGTTACTAGAGTCCATGCGAATACCTGGATTCATTTTTTACTTCAGAAAGAATACAAAGAGTATCTAATAATATAATTAGCTATTAAAATACTAAATATTTGCCTAATACAATGACTCATGCCTGTAGTCCTAGCTACTCAAAAGGAATAGATCAGCAGGATCACAGCTTGAGGCTAGCCTGAGGAAAAAAAGTTACCAAAACCCCATCTCAAAAATAAAAACAAACACTGGGTATAGTGACACTTCTCTTTTATCCCAATGGAGGCATAAAATAGGAAGACCACAGTCCAAGCTGGCAAGAAAAGCAAGACTACCTGAAAAATAACTAAAAATCAAAAAGGGCTGGAGTGGTAGATTGCCTTCTCTGAGTTCAAACCCTGTTACTACTGAGGAGAGGAGGTGGCATTTGATTAGTTAGAAAAATGAAATAATACTGGTTTATTTAGGGAAATTTTTGACTAGATTTTGTTTTATATAGCAGTACTGGATTGAATTCAGGGTCTCATGCACATTGGGCAAGTCAGACTGTTTATAGATTTAAATTTTTAATCATAACAATTTAAGAGATTTTTTTTTCTTTTCAGGTAGGCTAAAATTGTTGTATTATTTGCTTGCAAGTAGTGTCTAGGTACACAAGTCCTAGGTGTCATTGGTATGGGAGAAACTGGGGCAAGGCTAACAATTACTTTTTTAGAATTATGTAAAAAGGAGATTTCTATCTGTTTTAATAATGAAGGTAAGCAATATTCATGGCCAAAGTGCTTATATTTTCCTGTTTTTGTTTCTAAAGGAACAAGATAAAAAAATAGAAAACACAAATAAAAAAGAAATACAGGAAAAAGATGCAATCATTGAAGCATTAAATACAAAAATAGTAGAAGAAGAAGGAAAAAATATTGAACTCAAAGATAAAGTTACAGCTACTGATAAGTTACTGGGAGAATTACAGGAACAAGTTGTACAGAAGAACCAAGAGATAAAAAATATGAAGCTAGAGCTGACTAATTCTAAGCAAAAAGAAAGACAATGCTCTGAGGAAATAAAACAGTTAATGGGGACAGTTGAAGAACTTCAGAAAAGAAATCATAAAGATAGCCAGTTTGAAATTGATACAGTACAAAGAATGAAACAAGAAACACAGAGAAAGTTAGAACAGCTCCGAGCAGAGTTGGATGAGATGTATGGGCAGCAGATAGTACAGATGAAACAAGAATTAATAAAACAACATATATCACAGTTAGAGGAACTTAAAATACAGCATAAGGGAGAAATGGAGAATGCTTTAAAAGCACATTCAAATATTACAGTTAATGAAGATCAAGTAAATTTAATGAATGTGGCAATAAATGAACTAAATATAAAGCTACATGATACTAACTTTCAAAAGGAAAAACTCAAGGAAGAACTAGGGGTAGTTTCAGGAGAAAAGTCTACTCTACAGAGACAGCTTGAAGATCTTCTTGAAGAATTGAGCTTTTTAAGAGACCAAATTCAGAGAGCTAGGCAGACAATAGCTGAACAGGAAAGCAAGTTGAATGAAGCATATAAATCTCTTAGTACAGTGGAAGATTTGAAGGCTGAAATTGTTTCTGCATCAGAATCCAGAAAGGAACTTGAGGTAAAACATGAAGCAGAAGTTACAAATTACAAGATAAAACTTGAAATGTTAGAAAAAGAAAAGAATGCTGTGTTAGACAGAATGGCTGAATCACAAGAAGCTGAATTAGAGAGACTGAGAACACAGCTCCTATTTAGTCATGAAGAAGAACTTTCCAAATTAAGGGAAGATTTAGAAATTGAACATCGAATAAGTATTGAAAAACTTAAAGATAATTTAGGTATTCACTATAAGCAGCAGATAGATGGCTTACAGAATGAAATGAGACAAAAGATAGAAACTATGCAGTCTGAAAAAGACAATTTGATAACTAAACAGAATCAATTAATTTTGGAAATTTCAAAACTAAAAGATTCACAGAAGTCCCTTGTGAATTCAAAATCAGAAGAAATGGTCCTTCAAATCAACGAACTTCAAAAAGAAATAGAAATACTCAGGCAAGAAGAAAAGGAAAAGGGTACTCTTGAACAAGAAGTTCAAGAATTACAACTTAAAACTGAATTCTTGGAGAAACAAATGAAGAAAAAAGAGGATGATCTTCAAGAAAAATTCACACAACTTGAAGCAGAGAATAGCATTCTTAAAGATGAAAAGAAGGCCCTTGAGGACATGTTAAAAACTTATACTCCTGTTAACCAAGAAGAAAAATTAGTTTTCATAGATTCCAGTATGTCTAAATCCAAAGACTATAGCTGGCAGAAAGAAATACAGATACTTTCAGAGGAAAATAAGGACCTCAAACAACAATGTATTCATCTAAATGAAGAAATAGAAAAGCAAAGAAATACATTTTCTTTTGCTGAAAAAAACTTTGAAGTTAACTATCAAGAGTTACAGGAAGAATATGCTTGCCTTCTTAAGTTAAAAGATGATTTGGAAGACAGTAAAAGTAAGCTAGAGTTGGAGTATAAAAGTAAGCTTAAAGCACTTAATGAAGAGCTTCATTTACAAAGAATAAATCCAACTGTGATGAAAATGAAAAGCTCCATGAGCTTTAGTGATGACAAAACTTTTATTTCTGAGCCATTGGAAATTGGTGAGGTTGTTGAGAAAGATACAACAGAGCTTATGGAAAAACTTGAAGTGACCAAGCGAGAAAAATTACAGCTGTCAGAAAAACTGTCTGATATTTCTGAACAACTGAAACAGAAACATGTTGAAGTTAAATTTCTAAGTGAAGAAGTTAAGTCTTTAAAGCAAGAGAAGGATCAAGTTTTATTGAGATGTAGAGAGCTAGAAAGCATAATTAACCACAACAGGGTAGAAAATATAAACATGTGTGATGTTCAGTTAAGTGTTTTAAAAGATGGAGATGTGACAATGACAAGTGGGGATTCTGGAAGATTGATTTCTAAACTAAGCAAAGGTTTTGGTGCAGAATCAAAAATAATTGAAGATAAAACGCCTTCTGAAAATACTGCTGTTAGAAAAGGAGGCAAGCAAGAACCATTATTTTCCCCATTATTAATAAATGAATTGTTGCCTGGATCAACTGAACCATTGGAAAACGATAAACTTCAGCAGGAACTTCATTTACTTCAATCAGAACAGGTATGTTTATTTATATTTAATAAAGCACATTAAAATATATTTCTAATTAAATTAGTTAGAAACAAATTCATCTCCCATAAGAGAATAAAAATGAACCCTTTCATTTGAACCCATCTTTTATCGTGTAACTATGTTTCTTAAACATTGTTGCCTGACTTTTAGTTAATGTTATATATTTTATTAGGAAAATAAAACATACTAATTGTTTTAGTTTCCTGAGGACTAATGTTGAAATAAGTTTATTGAGAATCTCAGCTTTTTAAAGTTAGTAACTTTATAGAGTAGTTACTTTATACTATTTTTTTCAAGATTCCAAAAATGTAAAGAACTCTTAAGATTTTTACTGTTCTCTACATAGTTGTTCATTAGTTATGAAATTATATTTCTCTGGGGAAATGAAACATTAATAGAGTTCTCTGAGTCTTATTATATCTGAAGAGGAAAAACACTATTAACTCTAAATATCGTGAAAGGAAATAAAGACTGCATATATTGAGCAATAAAAACATTCCAGATAATTTATATTTGCCAGATATTGACATTAGAAATAACAAGAAAATTCTAGTGTCTGCAATATAATTTATAAACACATAAAGACACACAGGCTTTATATGTTTATAAATACATGAAACAAATACTTTTTGGATGTCTTACCAATATGAGTGTAGTGGTGAATGAGCGAGAGGGGAGTTTCTATTCTCAAGAGCACAACTTCTAGTGCAGGAAGTAGATAATAAATAAATGAGAAACAAGTAGAGTGGTTAGAAATGGTGATCAGTTCCCTAAAGAAATAAAGCAGAGGGGCTGGGAAGGTGGCTCAGTGGTAGAGCGCTTGCCTTGCATGCATGAGGCCCTGGGTTCGATTCCTCAGCACCACATAAGCAAAAAGAAAAAAGCCGGAAGTGGCGCTGTGGCTCAAGTGGTAGAGCGCTAGCCTTGAGCTGAAGAGCTCAGGGACAGCGCCAGGCCCAGAGTTCAGGCCCCATGACCGGACCCAAAAAAAAGAAAGAAAGCAGAAACTAGGCATTAGTAGCTCATACCTGTAATGTTACCAGCTTCTTAGGAGGCTGAGATCTGAGAATCCTGATTTGAAGCCACCAGTTCACCATCCACAATAGAAGAAAGTGGAGCTGTGGCTCAATTGGCAAGACATTAGCCTTAAACATAAAAGCTCAGGGACAGCCTCCAGGCTCTGAATTCAAGTTCTAGTACCAGCACCAAAAAAGAAAGAGAGAGAGAAGGAGGGTGAGAGGAGGGAGGGTAAAAGGAAAAAAGGAAAGAAAGAAAAAGGAAATAAAGTGGGGAGGGAAAAGAAAAAAGAAGGGAAAGAAAGCAGGATGTTATGGGCTGGGAAGGTGGCTCAGCGGTAGAGTGCTTGCCTTGCATGCATGAGGCCCTGAGTTCGATTCCTCAGCACCACATAAACAAAAAGAAAAAAGCCAGAGGTGGCGCTGTGGCTCAAGTGGTAGAGCACTAACCCTGAGCTGAAGAGCTGAGGGACAGTGCCCAGGCCCAGAGTTCAGGCCCCACGACTGGACCCCCCCCCCCCCAAAAAAAGCAGGATGTTATAATAGAGACTGATGGGTGGTATAGTTTTGAATACAACATTATTTGATATGTCCTTTGAACTGAGATCTGAATCTGAATGACAGGAGGAGCCTATCATGTAAGACTTCGAACCATCCATTGTGAAGCCATGGGTGAGTTTGTAGAAGAGAATGAAGGTCTTTGTAGTTGGCTTAGAGAGGGGCAAAGGAGGAAAAAGAAGAGTTTGAAAACAGAGCAGACCAAACATTAAGAGGACCTAGATTTTAAGTGGGAAACGACTGGAAAATTTTTATTTCTAATAACATATTTACAGTTATGACCTGATCACATGTGGCAAATTCTCATTCATCATTACCAAGAGAACTTATGGGTAGAGAGGGGAATAAGAAGTGTATATGTGCAAAGAGAAGTTCACAGAGGAAATGCATCAGTGACTTACGCATCAGCAACAGAGAGCAGCCTAAATATGCTCAGACTAATGCAAAACCACAAAAATACTCTTGCTATTGGTACTAAGCTTAGCGATTAAAACATGTTGTATTAAAACCAAAATAAATGTAGCCATAAGGACGTTCTTGGTATTTTTTAACTGAAAATAAATTTGAAATGGTGGGTGCAATAATCCTAGCTATCAGAGGCTGAGATCTGAGAATTGAATTCAAAGTCAGCCTATGCAGGAAAGTCCATGAGACTTTTATCTCCAGTGAACTACCAAAAGGTTGCAAGTGGAGCTGTGGTTTTTGGTGGTAAAGTGCTAGCCTTGAACAAAAAAGCTCAGGGATAGCACCCAGACCCTGAGTTCAAGCTCTAGACTAGCACAAAAAAAAATTAATAAACATGGATAACTTTGGAATACAATTCCAAATTATTTTAGTACTCTTGGGAAATTTGGACAGAAAGAAATCAGAAATCTTCTCAGTGTTCAGATGCATGGAAGATAAGAACATCATGACTAATATAAGTGCTAGTTATTTATACTAAGTAAAAGTCATGGATTGAAATGTATTTGTTTAAAATTCAAAGTAATTAGAATTAGTTAGTGTTGGAAGTCAGTAATTTCAGGAGAAACTGCTACAATGGTCTGCCTACTATACTCCTACTGCTAGAATAATGTCTGACACATAGTAAGCAGTTAACACATTTTTGGGGGGGGGAGGGGTCCGGTCGTGGGCCTGAACTCTGGGCCTGGACACTGTCCCTCAGCTCTTCAGCTCAAGGCTAGCTCTCTACCACTTGAGCCACAGCGCCACTTCCGGCTTTTTTTTTCTGCTTATGTGGTGCCGAGGAATCGAACCCAGGGCCTCATGCATGCAAGGCAAGTGCTCTACCACTGAGCAACCTTCCCAGCCCTAACACATTTTTATGAATGAATAAAAAGGACAAAAAAGGAATCAACAGTGGAACAACATAGGTCTTCATGTTAGGAAGATTAAAATAGCTTTTTTTTTTTTTTTCGGGGGGGGGTGGGAGGGGGTCCGGTCATGGGGCTTGAACTCTGGGCCTGGGCACTGTCCCTTAGCTCTTCAGCTCAAGGCTAGCGCTCTACCACTTGAGCCACAGCGCCACTGCTGGCTTTTTTCTTTTTTTGCTTATGTGGTGCTGAGGAATCGAACCCAGGGCCTCATGCATGCAAGGCAAGCGCTCTACCACTGAGCCGCCTTCCCAGCCCCTAAAATAGCTTTTTATAATTTGCTGTTCAGTATTAAGTCTTAATTGACAAAAGGACAAGATACATAATATCAATAGAAAGATAGTTAATTGTCATAATTCATTGGTATATAAATAAGGAACTAAGAAGATCTACACAAAATGAACCACAAAGCCATAAAGTAAAATAAGTATGAAAAAGGAGACCCAGAAATGTTATGTAAAAGAAATTTCCTGAATTTGTATCAGATTTATAATAATGGTTGCTGGTAGAGAAGAAGTAATGAGAAAGTAGCAGATTGAATTTCCTATCTATAGTGTTTAAATTTTACCTGTAGTGTTTTCTTTCTAAATGAAAAGAGTTGTGTTAGGAGTTGTGAATAGATTAGTATTTGTTACAGTATTCTTTGCATTTATTGGTGTTTAACATGTTTTAAAACAAAAATCAAGTATAAGTCATACTGGTTATAGCAAGTATCAAGTTTTATTATAAAATTTAAATTACGAAAACGTGCTACTTTTCTTGAAAATAGCAAATGGATCAGTGCAACTGAACAACAAGTGAGAAAATAGAATTCAGTTCATTTTATGAATTTTTAAACTGTAAATTAATGCATTTTCTCTTTATAGTTCACAATATGCAAAAAAGAGTTACATTATTTTATTTGTAAGGATGTTCTAACATTTATATATGTATATATTCACTTAAAGAATGATTTAAGGCTACAAATGGAAGCTCAACGCATATGCCTCTCTCTGGTTTATTCAACTCATGTGGATCAGGTTCGTGAATATTTGGAAAATGAAAAAGATAAAGCTCTTCACAGTCTTAAAGAGGAGCTTATTTCTGCTCAAGAGGAAAGGATCAAGGAAATTCAGAAAATACACCAGTTAGAGCTGCAGAATGTAAAAGCACAAGAAACAGGTAAATAGTTTTTGACTTTTAAATACCATAGAGCTGATATCACTAGAACCCATCATACTATAATTGTATGCTTGTTTCAGAACCAGTAGGAGAAGGTGGCCTGTATTATTTGGTTCTGAGTTGATTTGCTCATATAATCATTATACATTCATTGAAGTGCTTGGAAAAGGTAATATCCTTGAATCATTTTCCCATCATAATCCATTCAGAAAGCATATATAAAATCAACTGATACATTCTGAAATAGATGAATGGGTAGGAAGAATGGGAGGGGAAAGGAAGGGAAAAACTAGTGCTTCCCGAGTAGATGAGTAGAGGTGGTAGGCAGATGTGATTGGGTTGGAAACCTTTGAAGAATTAAGAATTGAGCTGTGAGAGTGCATCCATCTTGGAAAACTGAGAGAAAGTATCAGGGATATTGCTGGAGACATTGACAGAGCTTGGTAAGAAAAAAACTTGACCCTACAGAAAGTATATTTAAGCATTATGCTTTTGAAAAGACCCACTGTAGGATTTTAAATAAAGTAATAAGATTTCTTTTAGATGACAGTAGTGGGGTGGATTGGATACCATGTACATAATTATTGGTGGGAAGACTCACTTTCAACCTTGGCAGTGATAAACTATTAATTACACTAAATATTATGGAGAGTAGAAAAGAAAGTTCAAGTGTTAAAATGGTAGTTGGTAGTTAGTATTAGTGAAAGTGAGAATAAATAAGAACCATTCCTAAGTTTCTTGCTTGGGTTACTGGATTAAATGTGATTCCAGTCACAAAGAAGAGCATATTTATAGACAAATTAGTTTGGGGCATATTAAATATACTTACTGACTTTGAAAATTAATATTCACTAGTCATTGAAAATGGAAGTCTGAAAATAGAACTCAGAAATTAGAGGCTCAAGATAAAGATGTAGAATTAACAAGGAAATGAAAAGTAAGAAGCCCTAATGCTAAGGTTAATAATGAGACATCCTGGGAGACATAAGATGGCACTGTATGAAGCAGTAGCATTCAGGGGATCATAAATGGAAGGAGAGACCCATTTATGGACTCATTAAAGATAACTTTTGTCTTTAGTAATTATATAGTTGCTCAGTTAACTAGGATTCCTCTATTTAAGGTATGAGGTGGTTCATAAGTTTTTAATAGAATTGCTCTTTTTAATACAGAATTTAAAATAAGAACATTTTCCTTTAGGAATTCTTTTGGTTTGAATTTGCATGGAATAATATTTTTAAATGTATGTTTGCTTAATTGGTCTCCTGTTTAGAGAGTCTGTTGAATATTTTCAAGAGTAGAATGAAACAAAAAGTCTTGGCATACATAGCATGTAAAAAAATATTTTTTATTTATCTTATTGGTGGTACAGAGGTTGGAACTCAGGACTGTGTGCTAGCTCAGCCACTTGACCCATGCCTCTTGCCCCATTTTCTTTACATAGTTTCATAGGTTCCTACATTTTTACTCAGATCAATTCTCCTGTTCACCCTTCTCCATGTAGCTGGGATGACATACACCTACCACTGCATTCAGGACTTTCATTGGTTGAGATGTCATGTCTTGAGCTTTTTGCTCATGTTGCCTCAAATCCTGATCTCTACTTCCCAAGTAGCTAGGATTACTGGCATAAGAAATCAAATCTGACCCTTTTTCCTTTATTATCATTATTATTTTTCAGTACTAGGGACCAAACATTCAGCTAATTTTTTTCTATTCTGAGCTATACCCTCTGCCTTAAAAGAAAAATAGTGATTTTGAAACTTTTGTCTCAGCTTCATAGAGAGGTATATAAGAAATAATGATATATGATGCATAATATAATATTTCTTATATTAAGTGGTCATTGCCTTATATAACTTTGTAAAATAGAAGCTAAAATTATACAAATTTTATCTGAGATAGTTAACATTGAACAATGGAAACTAACTTGGAAAAAATGAAGAATTTAACACCAGTTTTTTTCAGGGAAGCTTCTAATTCATAGATAGGCTAAATGTAATAGCACTCAAGCATATATAAGTTAACTATCAATATCTGTTCTATTAGGTGATGGAGCAAAGCCTTTGCAGAAGCTCATTGGAAGACTTCAAAAGGCAGTGTCTGAAGAATGTTCCTCTACTTCAAAGGTAAGATATTAATCATACAGTTTTTATCTTCAGAGCAAGGTGCGCAAGGAGTCTCTTTTCATTCAGACTCTGAATGAAAAAGTTGAGAATTGAAAGAGATTTTATTTGGAAGACCAAAAGTGAGGAAGAGCACTTAGAACCATGAAAGAGGAGTAGGAGAGCTGTAAAGTGTTAGGAAACAGAAAGGGATGCTCACACCTGTGATCCTAATTACTCAGGAGTCTGAGATCTGAGCATCACAGTTTGAGCCCAGTCCTGGGAGGAAAGTCTGTGAGACTCCAATTAACCACCCAAAAGCCAGAAATAGAGCTGTAGTTCAAGAGCACTAGCCTCAGAGCCAAGAAGCTCAGGGTCAGCATGCCGGCATGAGGACCCAAAAAGAAAACTAACCCAAAAAGAAAAACTAAGAAACATTTTGCAGGTTCATCCCTATCTACCCTGGTAGAGAAGGAAAGCCAAAGTCGCCTTCACCATGTAAGCAACTGACTTCTGTAACAAACTGCCAGACATATATGTGGGACAAAATCTATACCTCCTGCAAGAAATAGTAGAAAAAAAATTAAAAAATTCATATGAAATCACATGAACCCCTAATAGTCAAGACAGTCATAAGACAAAAAGTAATGCAGGAGATACTACAATACTAGACTTTATATTATAGTATAGTCAGCTGGTGGTTCATGCCTTTAATCCTAGCTTCTCACGAGGCTGAGATCTGAGGATTATGGTTCAAAGCCAGCCCAGGTAGTAAAGTCTGTGAGATTCTTATCTGCAGTTAAACAAAACAACAAAAAAAAGTGGGAGGAGGGAGGGAAGATAGAAAGGGAAGGAAGGAAGGAAGGAAGGGAGGGAGGGTGGGAGGGAGGGAGGGAGGGAGGGGAAAGAAAAAGATTGGCTAGAAGTGGAGGTGTCACTCAAGTAGTAGAACACTAGCCTTGAGCAAAAAAGACTCAGGCCCTGAGTTCAAGCTCTAGGACTGGCACACACACACAAAAAAGAAATTATACTACAGTCATAGTAAAAATAGCATAGCACAAAAACCAACCTGAAGATCAATGGAACAGAATCAAGACCCAGAAATAAAACAACTCTCAGCTTACAACACTCTAATTTTTGACAAAGAAGCCCAAAACATTTGTTGGAGTAAAGATAGCCTTTTGAACAAATGGAACTAGGAAAACTGGACATCCACAAGTAGAAGACTGAAACTATATCCCTATTTTTCATGCTGTATTAACATCATTGAAAATAAATCCAGGGTCTTGATGGAAGGCCTAAAACTGAAACTACCATAAGAAGGAATAGGGAAATCTCTGGAATATAAACAAATGGAGTGAAGATGGCCAGGTGAAACTTGTTGAAAGCCTTTGAATAATTGGGGGTAGTGGGCATGGGCAAAACAGAAATGGGTAAGTCAGTCTGATGAAAGTACTATATATATGCATGTGTAAAATACCACTGTGAAAGACCTTTAAACCATTAAACACTTAAAGAAAATTAATGAAAGGAATATAAACCATCCTGTTGCATGTATGGGTACTAATGAGATAGGGGAGGACAAAAAAAGGGTGAAGAAGGGTAGATATGGTCAAAATACTTTACGTTTATGTGTGAAAAGGGAACTGTGACGCTTACTGAGATTGATTTGGAAAGGGGAGGATGGGAGAGAGTGACAAAACAGATGGGTCTAATCAAGATACATTGTATTTAGCTGTAGACACGTCAAAATGAAACCTTCTGTACAATTAATTGTTGTTAATTTTAAAATGTGGGGGAAAAACAGTATTTCACACACACACAGTAGCTTAGGACAAGTGGAACTAAATTTTAAATTGCTACTTACTTGATGGAAAGAATTATCCATCCTAGATTTTTCAAATACCATATTTCTAGAACTTCACTTAGAACACACTCCAAAGTTGTTTTTTGTTGTTGTTTGTTTTTTAGCTCAAAATGCACATTTAAGATTTGTCTGGTAATCAGTATGAAGCCAAAGAACTAAAGGACTGGGATTATAGCTCAGTAGTAGAACTCTTGCCTAACAATATGACATCTTGGACTTAATCCCTAGCACCATATAAAAGAAGAAAAAAATTCACATAAATTACCAGAGCAGAACAGACAATAATCATCAGTGGAGCTATACAAGGACTAATCATTCTGAGTCTCAATTCAACTCGACAAAATTTTATGTTAGGGACTGTGGTGAAATTTTAGTACACTCAGTAACTGAATACATAAGAGATAGTAAGAAACAATTGTATAGTCTGTAAGCCACACTACTTAGGAGTCTGAGATCTAAGGATTACAGTATTAACCCAGCCCAGGCAAGAATGTCTCTAGGTCTCTTATCTCCAATTAACCCACCCCCCACCCCTCTAAAAAAAAAAGCTCAAGTGATGGAGTACTAGCAATGATCAAAAATGCCCAGGGACAGCACCCAGGCTCTGAATTCAAGCCCTATGTTCAGCACAAAAAAAGTAGCTATATATTGTAATTTGATTTTAAGTCTAGAATTAGTTGATGTTTGTTTCCAGTTATTGAAGGGTAACAATGAAACTTTTTTGGATATTTATAACATCATTCACAAGTCATGCAAAACTATCAATATAGTCAGATGGGCAGCAGGCAGCTGATGAGAAGCCTATGTGTCTGTTCTGTCATGTACTAAAAGCTTTTCAAGGGCTTAGAGGACATTCTTCACCTCTGCAAACTGATCATAGAATGGTCATTTCTCTGGAGAACAAGCACAATATCAAATGTTTTTAATTTTTGTGTGTGTTTAAACTGTCCAAAACTACTCTCCTATGTTATTCTATTTGAGTGTTATCTCTTGCTCGATACAACTTTAAATTTCATTTGTGATTTTTGTCTTGTGCTGCATTGTTTTGTCAAGGGTAGTTTACATAGTAATACAACATGTTAAGGGTACAGAAATAAATTGGAATAGGATCTAAGCTAGGAAGTGATGGGTATTAAAAAGTGTAAGTTACACTTCATTGGGCTGGGTATGTTGGTGCATGCCTTTAATTCCATCTGTCAGCAAAGATTGAGCGCGCCATAGTTCAAGTCCATATCAGCGAAAACCTCATCTCACCCAACAAGTTAGGCATGGTGTTATGCCTCTGTAACTTGAGAAGCATAGATACAGAGGATTTTGACACTATAGGAAAAATAACAAAGGTGCAAAAAAAATGACTGAAAGCTTGACACAGTGATAGAACACTTGTTTAACAAGTGTGTGGCCCTAAATTTAAACTGCACTACTGCAAAAAAAGAGAAATCAAATAAAAAATAGAGGCCAAATTAAAAATACAGTTTGTTTTGTTGTTGTGGGGCTTGAACTCTGGGCTTGGGTGCTTTCCCTGCGCTCTTCAGCTCAAGGCGAGCGCTCTGCCGCTTGAGCCACAGCGCCACTTCTGGTTTTCTAGTGGTTTATTGGAGATAAGAGTCTCACAGACTTTCCTGTCTGGGCTGGCTTTGAACTACAATCCTCAGACCTCAGCCTCCTCCTGAGTAGCTAGGTTTACAGGTGTGAGCCACCAGCGCCCGAAAAATACAATTTGTACAATGAAGATTATCAGTTTTTTTCCTGATTTAAGAATTTTGTGTTAGAGAAAGAATATTTAGACTTAATTTTGTCTCTTCTGCAGCTTGATTTGGTGTATGGAGAAAGAGTTATGAGTTTTCCCTGCCATTTGACTATCTTTTGCTTGTAGTGGAGGGAATGCTTAATGATATTTAGAGGTAGAAATAAAAATTTTAATATCTTGAAATATTCAATTTTATTACCAGACTTTGAGCCATGTCCTTGGTGAATATTATACTCCCGCTTTAAAATGTGAAGTGGATGTAACACAGAGAGAGAATTCTGGTGTTGATGTTTCTCTAAATCAAGGTCCAGTATTACAAGATTATAGATACGAACTTCAAGGTAATAAAATCTTACCTTTAATTTTTAAGTTAATTAAGCACAAGCTTTGAGCTTTCATCATGATCTAATCACTCTGTGAAGTTGAAGTTAACTCTCAGTATCTTGCCTTATTCCTAGATATGAAGTACTACATTTACTGTATACATTTAATTATGCTGCAGTAATTGTGCAATGGAAATAATCGCACCTGTCTATAGAAGGCTCCTCATCTCCCTTGCTGTTTCTCAACTCTCACCTTTTTCTTTGTTTTTTTCTTTTTCTTTTTTTTTATTAAAAAAGTCATGGACCTAGTTGTTACTGCATATATTTATGCAAATGGTTTATCATTTTAAAAATCGATAACAAGATTGAGAGATAAGTTACGTGAAGGAATGCCTTTCTTACTATAAATCCAGTATTAGTACACTTTAACAAACTGTTAAACTCGAGATTTTGGTGCTTCTTCACAGATAAAATATTCTATTAGATTCCAATAGATATTTCATTTCCATGAGTAGTGGATGAATTGTATACAGTTTGGAAATTGTATACAGTTCTTTTTTAAAAAAAGAAATTTACATTGTAATATAAAATTTCACAAACGTTTCATGTTGTGAAATTTTAATTTTTGACTACTAAATAAATTAGGTATATTTCAGGACATTTCCAAAGTTATAAATAAATGAATGATACTTACTGAAAGGTATAATCTTTTGTTATGAAGTGTAATTGTTGTCATTATTTACTACATAGACTTTCAAGAAAACATGTACATCCTTCTCAACAAAGTAACAGAAGAATACAACAAACTCCTGGTACTCCAAACTCAATTAAGCAAGGTTTGTAAAATATAAAATGCACTCATGTAATGTTTGCATTAATGGTGTTGCCTGCTGGTTTTTTAACTGCTTTATCAGTCTAGAAGTTCTAAAAGAAGTGAATATGAACAAAGGAGATTAAAAAAAATTTAGGTCCGTAGTAAAGCATTTATAGCAGTGAGCTGAAGGGATTTCTGTACATATATGTAATACATAACTCTGGAGAAGATTTTTTTAAGCAATGATAAATTATATATGTCAAGTGTTAAATTATGTGACAAAATTGCATCATTTAATTACGTGTAGACCTTTTTGTTCACAGTGGTTGGGACCAAACCAAGGTCCTTAGACATGATAAGCAAACACTACCACTGAACTACATCTCTAATTCCCTGCACTTAGAAAGCAATGGATCTATCTTAATGATTTTTGAAAAATATGATTATTAGTTCATTTGTTTCACAGAGAGCTAATTACTATTTAACAAGTTAATTATTTAACATAGCTATTACATTGGGTTGTGACTATATCAATTTTATTTTCAAGCAATTAAGAATAGTTTATTAAAAAAAAAAAGTATGAAAGCCGGACGCTGGTGGCTCACGCCTGTAATCCTAGCTACTCAGGAGGCTGAGATCTGAGGATCACAGTTCAAAGCCAGCCTGGGCAGGAAAATCTGTGAGACTCTTATCTCCAATAAACCACTAGAAAACCGGAAGTGGCGCTGTAGCTCCATGGTAGAGTGCTCGCCTTGAGCTGAAGAGGTGAGGGACAGCGCCCAGGCCCAGAGTTCAAGCCCCCACAACCAAAAAAAACAAAAAATTTAAAAAAAATTTTAAAAAGTATGAAAATAGAGTATGCATGGCCCAATACTTTTAACTATATTAGGAAAATAAAGCACATATTGGTGAAGATGTGTTGTAATTATAATGAAAAAAATTAAGAAAGTTTTTTTTTTTGGCAGGACTGGGGTTTAAACACTGCACTTGCTAGGCAGGTTTTGGTTTTGTTTTGTTTTGTTTTTAATCAGATATTTATATACTAAATATTGTGTATGAGTTAAAACTTGAAGATGAAATTGTATAATAGATATTGTTATGATCTTTCTATCAGATTGTCTTGGAGCACTTGTTTTTGTGACAATGAACTTATGAAAGAATATTACTAGTATAATTTGAGTGCTGTAAAAAGGATTGGATATAAATCACTCATTTGTCAAAAAGAACAGGAATGCTTATAATAGAAAATGTTTGTATCAGAGTATCATACTTTGGAGTGGTTTTACAAAAATATTAAATGCAAATCTGCTTTAATTGCTTTAGTATTGATTTTTAAGTATTGGATTGTATATTCATGCTACTGCTCTTATTGTTTTTTATAGATTCAAGGTCAACAAATAGATGGTATGGAACTTGGACTTACAGAAGAAAACCTTACAGAACAAGAAACAGAGATTTCATCAACCCATTTACAGATGACCAATTCACAAAACATTGGTAAAGTTTAATGATATAGCACTTTGTTATTTTTATATCAAGTATTTGGTAATTTGCCTTTTTACTTTAAAATTTGAGATAGTTTGATGATCTTCAGCACTTCATTAAAACCTGTTAGGTCTTTTTTTTTCTTTTTTCTTTTTTTTGGTCAGTTGTGGGGCTTGAACTCTAGGCCCTGGGCTCTACCCTCAGTTCTTCAGCTCAAGGCGAGCACTTTACCACTTGAGCCACAGCACCACTTCCAGTTTTCTGAGTGGCTTATTGGAGATAAGAGTCTCACGGAGTTTCCTGTCCAGGCTGGCTTTGAACCATGATCCTCAGATCTCAGGCTCCTGAGTAGCTAGGATTACAGGTGTGAGCCACCAACGGCCAGATCCTAGTCTTAATTTTCTCATCTACGAAATGATAACTGTAAAATAGTCTTTTGTCCCTTTTCACTTTTCATATTCTTTCTTTATTTTTATTTTTATTTTTTGGTGTGACACTGGAACTAAAACTCAGTACTTGATGCTTTTGCTCCTACCTAGCACTCTACCAACTGAGTCATGCTTCTAACCCATTTTTTTCTGAATTATTTTAAATTAAAAGTTATATATTGGTTGAATTTATCCAAGGTAACACTTATAATCCTTGCTACTTAGGAGATTGAGATCTAAATATGGTGGCTTGAAGCCAGCCCAAGCAGACATACCCTAAAGGCTCTTATCTCCCAGTTAACCAACAAAAAGCTAGAATTGGTATTAGAAGTATGGCTCATGTGGTAGAACACTAGCCAAGAGCAAAAATGTCAAGCAAGCCATTAGGTCTTAATTCAAACCCCACTACCAGCTTGGACAAATAAGGAAACAAAAATTACAATAATGATGACAGACTAATGGTCTTGAATGCATCTATTTTCTTATTTTCTTCCATCAGAGTAAATCAAATTAAAGCCCGAGTTGTTATTACTAAAAACATTTTCAAACATATTATCACTGCATACAAATAAGTGATACTTTTACTTCACTAAGAAATTTTTATTAAAATAGCATTTTACTCTGTTCCTGTAACATAGGTGTCGATCACAAATACAAATTATATTCTCTGCAAGATGTCAAAAAAATCCAACAACTTGAAGAACAAATTCAAGAATTAGAAAAACTCATATCCTCTTTGCAGCAACAGTTGAAAGAAACTGAAGAAAGCTATGGAGCAAAGATCTATTGTTTGCAAGAGAAGCTTCAAGCTGTTAGTGAATCTGCAGTTCAGACAAGGTATCTCATCTTACAGCCTGCTTTATTTTATATTTTATTTATTTATTTTTTTGGTCGGTTGTGGGGCTTGAACTCTGGGCACGGGCGCTGTCCCTCAGCTCTTCAGCTGGGCTGGCTTTGAACCGTGATCTTCAGATCTCGGCCTCCTGAGTAGCTAGGATTACAGGCGTGAGCCACCAGTGCCCAGCTAGCCTGCTTTATTTTAGAGTAATTGTGGGTTACTAAAAACTAGAATCACCTGGATCTGGTTATTTTTAGACTAAAATGTAACTTATTCAAGGAGATAGGATGTAGCATTTTTAAGACATTTAGACCAGAAGATAATTCTGTACCTTAAAAATGTCTGAAGTAAATGAAGACATAGGAATATGTTTTAGTTGAATTACTGTATCTCCTCCCTACAGTCTATTCCCCACATAGACCAACACCAGTGGCCGAGCTTTGTCTTTAGAAAATATAGATCATAGGGCTGGGAATATGGCTTAGTGGTAGAGTGCTTGCTGGCTAGCATGCATGAAGCCCTGGTTCAATTCCTCAGTACCACATACACAGAAAAAGCCAGAAGTGGTGCTGTGGCTCAAGTAGTAGAGTGCTAGCCCTGAGCATAGAGAGGCTCAGGGACTGAGCCCGGACCCTGAGTTCAAACCCCAGGACCAGCAAGGAAAAGATAGAAAGAAAGAAAGAAAGAAAGAAAGGAAGGAAGGAAGGAAGGAAGGAAGGAAGGAAGGAAGAAAGGAAGGAAGGAGAGAGAAAGAAAGAGGGAGAGAGGGGGGGGAAGGAAGGAAGGAAAATATAGATCATGTTAATCCAAGGTTCTTATGTTCTTTCAGTGTCTTACTAGGTTTTATATAATAAGCCACCTTGACCACTCTAATCTCATGAATTTGGCTGTAACAATCATAAGCCATACAACCTATCTGGGGTCCTCAAATAGATTTATCTGTATTCTTCTGCTTTAGGGAATTGTCATTTGCTATTTCTTCTGTATCTAAAATGGTCATTCTTCAGGTGTTTATGTGCCTAACCTTTTATCTCTTTTGGATCTTTAAAACAATCCTACTTTTGAACAAAAGAAGAGTTTCTTTTTTACTGATTATACCTTAATGACCTTGTAAGAAAGTACCTCATATGAAACATTGAAAGTGATCTTATAGATTTAGCGATCTGTTAAAATATTCTGTCATGCAATTGTGGGCTTTTTTGTGTATTTATTTATTTTTTTATTCATTTATCTATATATTTAGTTTGATGCTAGTACCAGGGCTTGAACTCAGGGTCTCATGATCTTCTTGTTCTTGCTCATGGCTTTGCACTCACTACTTGAGCCATGACTTCTTCCTGGGCTGGCTCCAAACCACAAACCTCCAGATCTCAGACTCCTGAGTAGCTAGAGCCACTGGTACCCAGCCAGTTGTGTTATTCTTACATGGAAAAGATCATCAAAAATAAGTTGTTACAATATTGAACTCTTGACCTGTCATTTTTGTCTCCCCTACCCCAGTATATATTGTATGTATGGTATAAATTGTGGATGAACAGTTAACAGCTTTCTTTTACTCCCTTTTATTTATATTTAGCTTCTCTGTTGATTCAGTGATAATGAAAGAATCTGAGGTACAAAAAGCAGTGTACCCTGGAAACTGTCTTACAGAGAATATTGGTGGTACAGTAAAGGTATCATTTTTTTATCTTACTTTTTGAGCTGTTCTGAACACTTTCTTACTACCATTTTTATGACTGGTTTTGTAATTATGCAATAAATAGTTGGTAAGAAGTAATAATACAGGTATTAGGATAATACCAGTATAAAGACTCAATAAAGACAAATGCTTCTGTTCTGAAAAATAAATACTCAAATATATAAAAACAATGTATTTTCTTTTCTTTTTTTAATTTAATTTTATTGTCAAGGTGATGTACTGAGAGGTTACAGTTATATATGTAAGATAATGAGTATATTTCTTGTGGAACATTGTTACCTCCTTCCTTGTTTTGCTCCCTTTTTCCCTCCCTGTAATCCTCCCCAAGTTGTAAAGTTCATTTCCAACATATTGTCTTGTAAGTATCGCTATTGCATGATGAGACAAAGGTCAAAGGGCAAACCAAAGAAACAATGTATTTTCATAACATAGGAAAAGCACTGAGAAATTTAAATTTGAGGAAATTTTCCCTTTATATATGGTTTGAATTTTGTCTTGGTTTTTATGACATTTATTTATGGGTTCAAATACAGATATTGTCTAACTTTTTACTTAAAGTAACATACAGAAATATACAAAATATTATTCTATTTAAACTGTTAAGCCATCCTATAATTACATTAGTAAAATTATAAACATGTAACTGTTTCTTTACATCTACAGAAGTAAGTATAATTAGTAAGTTCACAGAAGTAAGCATAACTAGTAAGATTATTCACTAATTACTCACTTTTTAGCTAAAAGGAAGAACTAAAATTTTTGTTGAAGATGCTCTGAAGTTTTATAAGAAACAATATTTGAGACCATTATGAGAGAAGACACCTTAAAAATAAGTAGCATTTTAAAGTCAGTAGTGTACAATTTGTGTAAATAAATGTCATTTTTTGTTTTGCATTTAGTCTTCTGGTGAATTTGGAGTAAAACAAGAAACAAATATGGTTAAGTTGCTGGAAAAACAGTATCAAGAACAATTAGAAGAAGAAGTAGCTAAGGTATGCTTGTAGTTTATCTTTAAGATTATTTTAATTTATATTCCATTTGAACCTTCCAAAAGTATGTGGTTTTTTTGTATACTATATTCTTTGGTATAAGTTGTTTCATATATAGTTCAACTTGAAGTTGTCATGTAGTATCAACTATAATTGCTTTGTTTTCTATTTTGTTGTTTTGTTAAGATAGGATCTTGCTTATGTAGCTCAGGTTGGTATCGGACTTTGCCATCCTCCTGCCTCAGCCTCCCAAATGCTAAGATACAAACATGTGTCACCATAATGAAGAAAAAGATACACACTTTGATCACCCCCAGAAGTTTCCTAATGCCCCTCTGAAAAACCCCCTCTATTTATATATTGCTGGATTTTGGTTACTAATACTTTGTCAAGATATGTATGTCTTTGTTTATGAGGACTTCTACCTGTAATTGTAAATTTCAAGTTCCTTCTGACATTACTTCTCTTTAGCCTGAAAAGTTTCCTTTACCCTTAACTTATCCTTTTTTTACTCATGACAAGATATGTAAAGGATTTTGCAATGCACAAGGTTAAAATTCTAAGAGGTACATTAATCTATTTAAAATAATTATATGCTGTATTCATTAACTAGACTGTGTGACATATATGTAAAAAAGTACTTTTGCATGTGTTCCCCAATTTTATATGTGTTGACTTGTAAGTTGCTAAACTCTGCCCAGAGATGCTCTTGCCAGAACATTATGACATTTCCAAATGGACATTTTCCAGAAACCTGTAAAAGGAAATTTCAGAGGCTTCTTTTTTTTTTCTTTTTGAGTTTGAAAAATAGAAATTAGACCATTATATTAACAATTCAGACAACTGAAATAGAAAACAATATGTAGAAAAAGGATTAAGAAATGCAAATACTCAATATAGTAAAAAAAAAAGTCAGTATAGATAAAAATGAGCACAAAATATTATCAACATCTACAACTTACCATATAATGCCACATAATTAATTATAAAGCATCCAATTTTTACGTTTATAGAAGAGTTTGAATGTCAAATTGTATGGTCTCATTACAGTCCTCTGAAGAAGGTAAAGATAAAAACAACAACATACAATTAATCCAGTTAACTTCAGACCACAGTTCCATTTCACCTTATGCCTACAGGTCAATTTTCTTTTTTTGTTTCACTCCACTCCTCTCCTTTTCATCCTACCCACCCCTTCCCTTCTCTCCTCCTCTCCCTTCTCTTCCCTTTCTCTCTCATCCTTTCCCTCTTCTTCTTCCCATCTCTTCCTTCACTCCTCCCTTTCCTTTTTCTCTTCTCTCCTCCCGTCCCTTTCCATCTCTTCTTTTTGTCAATTTTGCAGGCTAACATTCCCCATATAGTTCAGTATTATTTTTAATTATTTCAGTTGTTGTACAAAGGGGTTGCCAACAAAGCAGTTTATTAAAAGAATATATCTTGATCAGTGTCACCCTACTATCAATATTTAGATTTGTTTTTTACTTATGTATGGGATATCTTTGCATTTATTTTATTTAATATTCAATCTTTTTTTGCTTGGTAGACTTTCCTTTTAGGATCATTTCCCCCCTTTTTGAGTTTTAAAAGACTTTATTGAAAAACAAACTTTATTTCTTTTATGTCTTTATGACTAGCTCCTTGCATCAGGGTTTATAGTTGTTTGTATGTCAGAACTTTCAAGATAGCATTTCATTGTTTTCTGATTTCTTTTGTTTTTTACTGAGAAGATCTTTATGAACTTATTCCCATAAAGGCATTATTTTTGGAAGCCTTTTGATCTTTCTGTTCTTGGTGTTTTCTTTATTTGTCCATATAGCTCATAATTCTTGAAATATTTCCTTTCCCTCAGTCTCCATTATATCCTATATATGGATATATATGGAACTATATGGAACTCTGCTTAGATACTAATTGAACATTCTTACTCTATCCTTCATATCTCTTTGATTGTCTTTCTTTTTCTTTGTTAATATGGAGAAACCTGGAGGCCAGTCAGATTTAATGCAAAAGACTTAAAACCTTGCCCACTAGTTAGAAAAGATCAGAAAATACATTTTTGCTAAGTTGTGTTGATTAGTTAACTAGTTCTTTCTTTTATATCTTTTAACTATAAGGGTATATATTCCAACATATCTGAACATTATTTTCATTATTTTTCTGTCTGAGCTAACATAGCCATCTAAGAGATCCAAAATGATAGATAGATAAGACATAGGCAAGATGTAGTTTACATGAACAGAAGCAGTGTGTAATATATAGTGCTTTGAAATGCTTGATCTCTATAGTTAGACATACTTTTCATTAAAATAAATTCCGTATGTAACATTTGACGTGATTCCTAATCTTTTGCACTTTATTTTTCTTATCATTTGGCTTGGTGTGACGATCATTCTTCTTTTTTTTTGGGGGGGGGGTCTGGTCGTGGGGCCTGAACTCTGGGCCTGGGTGCTGTCCCTCAGCTCAAGGCTAGCGCTCTACCACTTGAGCCACAGGGCCACTTCTGGCTTTTTTCTTTTTGCTTATGTGGTGCTGAGGAATCGAACCCAGGGCCTCAGGCATGCAAGGCAAGCGCTCTACCACTGAGCCACCTTCCCAGCCCCACGATTATTCTTTGTAACTCAATGGTAGCATTATATTTCTAGACAGATTAATTCAGATTTGATGATCATACTATGATGCTACGTTTTAGATGAGATGAAGTAAAATGGCAGAGTCTTTTTTTTTTATTGTGAAAACACTGTACAGAGGGGTTACAATTACATGGGCAAGATAATGAGTACATTTCTTATCAAGCATTGTAGCCTCCTCCTTTGTTTACCCTTCCCATCCGTTCCCAGCCTCCCTCTGCCCCCCCCCCCCCCAAATGGCAGAATCTTAACCCCAGATTCCATCAACTTATGTAATGTTTCCTTATTTTTCTAATCTTTTAAACACAGGCTATAAAATACTTTGATGTTACATTTGCTATAAAATAGAGAATCTATGTATCACATTACATGATTTCTTTTTGTTTAAAACTATGAGACAACACATTCTTCTTAATATTATTTTTAAATTTCAGGTGCCTTTAATAAGTCTAATCCAGTTTTTTCTTTTTTTTCAATTTGTTTACTTTCTTTAGGTCATTGTGTCAATGAGTGTGGCCTTTGCTAAACAGACTGAATTGTCTAGAATATCTGGAGGGAAAGAAAATGTTGCATCATCAAAACAAGCATATGCTCTGGATCAACAGGAAGAATATTATTTTAATGAAATGGAATTTTCAGAAGGCCAAGTTGCTCTTCAAACTTGTGAAGCAAAAGACAAAAAATTTAAAGAAGAATTTAAACCACTTAGTAAAGAGTTAGGAGAAGATGGAAAAGAAGTTCTTTTGTCAAATAATAATGATCTTGATGATATACTAGAATCAAAGGACCACGGACTGACTATTTCACAAGAAGTATTCTCCAAAGATAAAGCCTTTGTAGGCAGAGATTCTGTAAGTATGCTTCCTTGTATATAAAATATTTTATAAAATTAAGACTCCCTTCAATATGAAGTTATTTTATTTATTTATTTATTTTGGTTGGTCGTGGGGCTTGAACTCTGGGCTTGAGTGCTGCCCCTGTATTCTTCAGCTCAAGATGAGCACTCTACCGCTTGAGCCACAACACCACTTCAGATCTCAGCCTCCTGAGTAGCTGGGATTACAGGCGTGAGCCACTGGCACCCGGCAATATGAAGATATTAGTAGTAATACTTCCTTAAAAGAGGAGAAAAGAATCGAGTTCACTTTGTTTTTAATTTTTGTTAATTTTTATGTAAGTTTTATTATGGCATTCCCATATATTCATATAGCATACTTTGATCATATTTGCCCTTTAATTGCTCTCATGCCTCTCCCCCTCCTACTTTTTCCTTTCCCTCTAACTCTGTATAGTTCCGTGTATTTTCATTATCTTGTCTTTTGTTTGTTTCTTTTCCTAATATTCACAAATTAGAGACAACATGGGAAGTTGGTTTTATGAAACTGGCTTATTTCAATTAGTATGATCTTCAGTGCAATCAGTTTTCCAGCAAATGACATAATTTCGTTCTTCTTTATGCTGAGTACAACTCCAATATATACATAAGCTAAACTTTCTTTATCCATTCATCCATTAATTGCTACCAAGGATGACTTTACTGATTATCTATCTCTAATAGTTGTGTGAGAAGTATGGGCATAAAGAAGTAAGTTAATGTTGATTCCGGAATGGGTATGGCTGGATCATATAGAAGTTATGTGTTTGTGAGAGCCATCTATACTGTTTTCACAAGTAATGAACTAATTTGGGTTCCCACCTTCAGTAAGTAAGAGTTCCATTTTCTTACTTCTTCATTAGTATTTGTTACTTTTTTCTTGTTGAAAACAGTGCTGATTTGTGTGAGGTAGAGTTCAATGATATGATATGCATTTCCCTAATGGCTGATACTTACTGTCACATATTTATTGGCCATTATATACTTCTTCATTGGAGAATTGTCTGTTCAGTTGATTTTTTCCGTTTATTGACTGGCTTATTTGCTGTTTTGGTGTTTACTCTTTTGAGTTCTACATATATTCCAAGTATTAATCTCCAATCAGGTGAATATTTGTCAGTGATTTTCTCCCATTCCATAGGTTATCTCTTCACTGTGTTTAGGCTTTTGTTGTGCTGAGCTCCTATCTTGACTTAGGATTTACTTTTTTCTTTTTCTTTTTCTTTTTTTTTTTTTGTCAGTCGTGGGGTTTGAGTGCTGTCCCTGCACTCTTAAGCTCAAGGCGAGTGCTCTACCACATGAGTCACAGCGCCACTTCTGGTTTTCTAGTGGTTTATCAGAGATGAGTCTCACGGACTTTCCTATCCAGGCTGGCTTTGAACCGCGATCCTCAGATCTCAGCTTCCTGAGTAGCTAGGATTACAGGCATGAGCCACCTGTGCCTGGGGCCAATTTACATTATTATGTTTCATTCATTGTCACGTATATGGTTAAAGTGATATAAGTAATAAGTCAAAACAAGTCTGATCTATAGTACTCTGGTTTGTCTTCAACACGTTGTACTTCAGATCTAATTGTCTACATTAACTTTATTTCACTTATTTAAAATTAATTATACTATATTTTGCCAAAATCTGTGGCTAAAAGATTTGCTCAGTTAACTGTAAGAGCATATAAGGAAGTAGCTTTCTGTTTAAGAAGATAATTTAAAGAATTTTACTTTGCATGTTCTTTTTTTCTTTTCCCTTTCCTACTTTTCCTAAAAATTATCTGAATCCAACTTTTTTATTTTAGGGTATATTATATCTTGTTCAGACGATATTCAAATATAACTGCTTTTCATGAAATGCAAAATTTATGAAGTTATAAAAACCTCATTAATAGTACTTCTTCATGAATTGAAGTAGTAATAGAACCCTCTTAAGCAGTTAATTCTTCTATGAATATAAAAATCTGATACATATATAAAGGTTTTATTTCTAAATGAAGTTTATTGATAATTTTTTATCAAACAGTTCTCTGTATTATAATAATGAACCACTGAATAATAGGAATTAAATAAGTAAAACTTTTACAGTTTTAACCTGTGTCTATGTTATTTCCCTATTATACAATCAAAAATAGTGGATGAAGATCTTATTTTTAAATTTTTATTTTATTGTAAGGGTGATGTACAGAGGGGTTACAGTTACATATGTAAGTTATAGCTTATTAAGGGTAGAGGAATCATTAGTGTTTTTATTTTTCTCCCTTAGAATTCAATTTTAGACAAACTGACAAGTAGCTAGTTTCCTTTTAGAAAGTAACATACAATAGTAATACACTTACTTAATTTTATTTTGGAATGATAAATAAGAAAGACACCTTTTTTAAAGTTAACTATGCTTTTACTTATTAATAAAATTAGTTAGTTTTTTTTTCTTTGTCAGTCCTGGGGCTTGAACTCTGGGCCTGGGTTCTGTCTCTCAGCTCTTCAGCTCAAAGCTAGTGATCTACCACTTTGAGCTACAGCACCTTTTATTAATAAAATTAAATACCATGTGTGTTGCAGGTTTGGTAGAATTGCTTTCGTATTTATTTAAAATATCAGTGTTAACAAACTTTCACAAATGTGTTTTTTTTTGTTTTTCATTGTTTATTTTTTACTATTTATTATTTACTATTAAAGATGCATAATGAGATGTTGGCATCAGGCATAGATGCTTCTAGACAGCTGATGTTAAATGAAGAACAGTTGGAAGACATGAGGCAGGAACTTGTACGACAGTATGAAGAGCATCAACAAGCAACTGAACTGTTGAGGCAAGCACACATGCGACAGATGGAGAGACAGCGAGAAGACCAGGAACAACTGCAAGAAGAGATTAAGAGACTTAATAGACAATTAGCTCAGGTATGGGACTTAGATTCCCTTTCCATCTAATTAAAGTAACAGTGTTCTTAATGTAGAAAATATTTTTGTCTTAATTACTTCCCCACGATCTGATATTTTACATCAGGAACACATTCCACCAAGCCCACAGATTTTGTTAGACATTTCTAACTCAATCTTATAGTACAGTAACTTCTTGTTTTATTTAACTGAATTTAGAAAATAGAAAAGTGGCTGTAAAGTTCGTTTAAAAGATAATAATTCCATTTACCACAGAAGTACAAAAGCACTTCTACACTTTTGGAAATACTTTGTACGGAGGTACCTGCATATGTGATTGCTGTCATTAAGCCTTCCCATATTCATTGTCTGAGTCCATTAGTTAGCATCTCCCAGGTTTACCTTTCCCTTATCTTTACTTTTAAATCACAAATTTAAATCTGAAGTAGCATGTTTCTGGGACTTTCTCCTGGGAAACATCTCTTACTGATTTGAGAAATACAAATTTATATAATATTCTTATCACTTTCTTGACTAAATTTAAATATTCTTGGTATTTGGGTATTCTTGGTATTCTTGTATGCTGTATATAATACACTTGCAAAATCATTGCAGAAAAGCAAGAAAGACAAAGTTACTATGAAAAAATTTTTACTGGACTTGATTTTGAATGCTGTAAGGAGAAATAGAGCTCTTAACATGTACTTTTAAATGTAAAATAATATAAAAATTGGAATTGAAACATAAAACATTATTGGGGAAACCAAGTTTGCTTTTCTTCATTGCATTTTGTGAATTCAGTTTTCTGGATTTTCAATGCAAAATTGACATCAAAGTATTAATCAAGCTGTACAAATTAACAACTTTTTCCTCAAATTTCAAATTTTGCATTGAACTTTATATATGCCTTTTAACCCCTTTTAAGGAAATATGAATCATAGGTAGAAACAAGGCCTGTTGGTCCAAAGGGGTTAAAAGAAATCTGCTTAATGTTCTGTTCTTTTCTTCTATCACAAACAATATTCTCTCATGACCTTTTTTCTTATTTAGAGATCCTCAATAGATAATGAAAACCTGATTTCAGAGAGAGAGAGGGTGCTTTTAGAGGAGCTGGAAGCACTAAAGCAGCTGTCTTTAGCTGGAAGAGAGAAGCTGTGTTGTGAGCTGCGCAACAGCAGTACGCAAACACAGGTAGTATGGACCTTGGCCCGCTAGGAGCAGTGGATCAACAATGCAGTAGGATTTGTTTGTGTTTGTTGTTGGTGTGAAATGTGTTTTTTTAGCTATTGAGTTTAACAGATTTGTCATTGCTTACATGTAAGGTAGGTAGAATTCAAATGCCATGCATTCAAATGCCATGCATTCTACGGTAATTTGAATCTGTCATTGCTATGGCAGCAGGTGTTGTTCCACTAAGGAACAACTTAACAAACTTTATTGTTGCAATAGATAGCATGCAGTAGTTTGAACTCATTAAAATTGCTTTCAGTGTACTAGACTGCTTTATCTTTTTTATAATGCTAATCTTGATAAAATATGGTTAAATATTATTTCAAGCGGTGTCTACTTTGTACACTTCAGACCAGAATATGACATGCTCCTTCTAAGATGACAGGTTTTCTTTCTGTCTTGTCCTCTCTGCCGTTACACAAACTTAATCAGGATCGAAATGAAAACCAAGGGGAAGTTGAAGAAGAGACAGTTAAAGAAAAAGAATTGGACAAAAAACCTGAAGATGTACCTCTTGATATTCTTTCCAATGAAAGGTATTTAAAATGTACTTTTTCATTGCAAAATAAAGATTGTTGTTTCTATATAATGAACTTTATTTGTCCTTATTTTTATTTTACATTTGTATTTAGTCTTATAATACTATGTATGAGTATATCCATAGATGTGCAGTATATAAATGACTATCAAGACTTAAATCATTAAATGGATAAATGTTTTAGAAATCTCATAATTTGTATTGGATATTGTGCACATACTTGGCTGTAAATATTTAGGGTTTTTTTATATTAGACTTTGATTACTTTTCTTCTTCTTAATGTTATATTTTGAATCCTAAAAACACTTCTTTTTGTGAGCTTTATTTTTTGTTTCTTCATTCATTTTTTGAATAAGCATTTAGTGTTAGCTATTCTTTTTTTTTTTTTTGGTCGGTCGTGGGGCTTGAACTCTGGGCCTGGGCGCTGTCCCTCAGCTCTTCAGCTCAAGGCGAGCGCTCTACCCCATGAGCTACAGTGCCACTTCCGGTTTTCTGGTGGTGTTATTGGAGATAGGAGTCTCATGGTCTCTCCTGCCTGGGCTGGCTTTGAACCGCGATCCTCAGATCCCAGCCTCTTGAGTAGCTAGGATTACAGGCCCGGCATAGTGTTAGCTATTCTCTTATTGGTTTATGTTAAGCAAAAGTACGATAAATACAAGTATTTCACATTCAAGTTCTTTCATATGTTTACTGTATTACAGAAGTGAACTTTTAATCCATATCCCAGTTTTAAAGAAAAGTAAATTGGTCAGCCAATGTTAACAAAACTTTTCCTCACTTTGATTTATGTAGTAATTAATATGAAAATATGTAAAACAATACCATATGAGAATTGTCATCCCATATTAATATTAAGGCCTTTTAAGCAGCACCCATGTTTTAAATTTTATTTTGTTCAAATGAAGATAACTTCTATAAGATTAAGTTAAAACTAATATCGACTAACATAATTTCCTCCTTTTCTAACTTCTGTGACCGTCAACCCTTTGTGTCCTCCTAACCTCCTTCCTCAGCTTTCATGGAGGAATTTGGCCCCTAAGATTTTGGCTTCCCCATTGGATCATCAGTATGGAACACAGTCAGTATGGAACTCAAACAAGAAAGACAGTGTATGAAATTTGGAGTTACCATGGAAATATAAAATAAACAACGTTTATTTTATATTATTTTATATTATCACTAATTTACATATTTTACAAAATATGCAGTGTATAATTTTTAGGAATCTTATACTGAGTGCTGATAAACTGAATATTCATCTTTATTTCTTTTTACCGTTATTTTTATCTATTTCTCTTTTAAGTAGAGGTATTTTTCACAATGTCTTACTCTTGAGACTTGAAACTTGAACAAAAACAGTAAATGTTAGGGAAATAAAACCATTTATTTCTTACTAATTTGTTTAGGCTTTTATTTTTAATATTCTTGATCATCTAAGCAAAGAACCTGATCTGGATACAAAAATAGAACTGTGGCTTTCACTTGACAAATACTAAAGGAAGTCATCTCCATTTATTACCTTGCCTAAAAATAGGTGTATCATGTGCCTGTGAAATGATATCTTTAGCCTGATTGTTGGTAATCTCCTACAATGTGAAGTTGAGAGCTAAAACTTTGTTAAGCTAGGGGACCTTCCCATAAAAGTCTTTCATTTTGTCTCCATGCATTAATAATTCTATTTGCCATTGTAGTACCTCTGGTGAATTAAGCTGTTGAGTTATTCAAAATATTAATCAAGTAATGTTTTGGATTACCATTTATGGAAGTACATTTGTTAGCATGGTAAAATGTTCATTGTAGAAAGAAAACTTACAAAATCATCTTGTCCAGGATGACCCCTCTTTGTATTTAAAATGTTTATACGGGGAAATGTCTATAAATTAAAATTATAATGCTGATTATTTCTGAGGTCCGAGAGTTAGGAGGATGATTAACAATATTTTCTACTTTAAAATGATGTATTCTTTTTTTAAAAAAGGAATGCTATTGATTGAATTTAGTTGAATTTTTTTTCTATTGGCTGAAATGTGTGATGTGTATAACTAGATACATTTTTGTCTCAAGAGCAAATGTTATAAAAAAATGAAACAGCCTATGATATTCCCTCTCACTGAAATTTCATGATAGACCGTTGTAAAAAAAACTGTTCTCTGCCTATTTGTGCAATTTAACCTCCTATTTGTAGTCACTAAGTACTAGAAACTACCACATTTTTTTCTAGTGGAATTAAATATTTTTAAATCTGTTCTTCAAAACATAAAAACATGGAAGGTAAATATATATAGACATATATTTAGAGAGACAGATAACCATGAACAATATTAGAAATTAGTAATCTACATATGCTTGGGTATTGCCACACTTTTCTGAACTTGAATTGTATGTATCCTTAATTTTTTTCTAATTAAAAGTTGAGTTACTTGATTTATTTGGTGTCAATAAGATGTAGATATTACAAAGATTTCAGTTAATTTGCCCAAATTTTTAGAAAAGAAATCAAATCTTCTGTAATATAGTCTTACTGTAAATCAGAATAAGAAGCACTTCCTTGTAGGTATTGTTACACTTTATTTAATGGGATCATATGGGAAGGGATGGTAGAGGAAAAAGAAAGGAGGAGGTAACAGTGCTTGATAGGAAATGTACTCATTACCTTATTCATGTAACTGTAACCCCTCTGTACAGTATCTTTACAATAAAAAATATATACTAAAAAAATAAAGTAAATAGGATCATATGTTTTTATTTACATTTTATAGTACATGTTTGTGTGATAATGTATTTCCTTTAAAAAGGTCAACATTTTAATAAGTGATTCTTTGTACAGGTATGCACTCCAGAAAGCTAATAACAGACTTCTAAAGATCCTCTTAGAAGTTGTAAAGACAACAGCAGCTGTTGAAGAAACAATTGGCCGCCATGTCCTGGGGATTCTAGATAGATCTAGTAAAGGCCAGTCAACTACTAACCTTATCTGGAGGTCAGAAGCTGAGGCATCTGTAAAGCCTTGTGTCCAAGAGGAACACCCAAGAGGTACTAGTGTTATATGTTATTGAAATAATCATCCTCAACAAATCTGTTTTTTTAGTTTGTTTTTATTAGCATACATTAATTGTATAAATGGGATGTATTATATTTCCATACATGTATATAATGTACTTTGATCAAATTTGCCTCTCCTATTATTCTTTCTTATTCTTTTACTTTCTTTTTTTTTTTCCTTTCTTTTTATTTTATTTTATTTTTTGGTGCCAGTCCTGGGACTTGAGCTCAGAGTCTAGGCTCTGTCCCTGAGCTCATTTTGCTCAAGGCTATTGCTCTACCACTTCAGCTTTTGTTGTTATTGTTATTAGTAGGTAATTGGAGACCAGAATCTCATGGACTTACCTGCTCAGTCTGACTTCAAACCAACAATCCTCAGGTCTCAGTCTCCAGAGTATCTAGGATTATAGACATGAGCCACCAGCACCCGGCCCTCTACCTTTTATTTTATTTTGATTTTGATTTTTGCTGAAAGTGAGACTCTAACCACTTCAGCCATAGCTTTTGGTGATTCATTGGAGGTAAGAGTCTCATCGCTTTCCCACCCAGGCTGTCTTTAGATCATCAGATCTCAGCCTCCTGAGTAGCTAGAATTATAGTCAGGTGTGCCTGGATTTCTACCTTCTTTTTAAAACAATTTTTAGCTGATGTCATTTTTTGTATTTTGATACATGTATATGAAGTTCTTCCATCATATACAACCCTCTTCACACTCGCCTCCTACCCTTCATACTGGTTTGTACCCAAAAGAGCCCCCATTCCCCATTTTACACTCAAGATAATCATTTATTTTTATGTCTAAATTCCATATATACAAGACTATATGATATTTCTATTTTTTGTCTAGTTTCTATAATAATTTAACATGGTAATTTCTGGTTTTAAACCATTTTTCTAGCAAACACCATAATTTCACTTTTTGTGGCTGAATAATAATCCCATTTTGTATATATATCATATTTTCTTTATTTATTGATTGGTGGACTCTTAGGTTGATTCCACAGAGTGGTTGTTGTTGACTAGTGTGTTGACTTCATCCCTCCTCTGTGTGTGTGTGTGTGTGTGTGTGTGTGTGTGTGTGTGTGCGTCTGTGTGTGTGTGTGTGTGTGACTTCATCCCTCCTCTGTGTGTGTGTGTGTGTGTGTGTGTGTGTGTGTGTGTGACATTGTGGTTTAAACTTAGGGCCCTTTTCTTTCTAGGCAGGTGCTCTACCACTTGATCCTTAACCCTAAACAACATTTATTGAATTTATAGAAACATTTGTTATACAATTTCTATGTAGTTTCTGCTTTATAACAGTTCATAGTCTAGTGAAGGAAGCATTAAGATTTCTACTCAAGGGAAGGTAAATCTATAGTACTTAATAATTTACTTTAAATCATTCACTGAAGCTAATCACTTAAATCTTTTAAAATGCTGATTATTGTTAACTAATTCTGAAAGAATAATATTATGACCTAAGAGAAATTAGCCCCAGAAAAGAAGTATAGTGTTGAGAATATTATGACAGATAATTTTGCTGGTATTAGTATCATTGATTATATGCCGTTTCCATTTAACTCAATTTTTATGTCTTTTAAACAGTATTTCTTCACAGTAAAGTTAGTATGATCACCAATATTATTGGGGGACACTTAATCTGATCTATTTTACATCTTGAAAGATATTTTGAAGTACTAGACTTCATTGTTTAAAACATTCAGTTTTGGGCAGGGAAGGTGGCTCAGTGGTAGAGTGTTTGCCTCCCATACATGAGGCCCTGGGTTCTTTTCTCAGCACCACATAAACAGAAAAAGCCAGAAGTGGCGCTGTGGCTCAAGTGGTGGAGCACTTGCCTTGAGCTGAAGAGCTGAGGGATAGCTCCCTGGCCCAGAGTTCAGGCTGCATGACCAGCAAGAAAGAAAGAGAGGGAGGGAGGGAGGGAAGGAAAGGAAAGTTATAATCTAAACATACCCTTGGAAAGATTTATTTTATGCCTCTATAACATAACAGGAAATGCTAGGTTTTATTTATTTATTTTTTTATTTTATTTTATTTTTGAGTCTGGTTATGGGGCCTGAACCCTGGGCCTGGGAGCTGTCCCTCAGTTCTTCAGCTCAAGGCTAGCGCTGTACCACTTGAGCCACAGCACCACCTCCAGCTTTTTTCTTTTTGCTTATGGGGTGCTGAGGAATTGAACCCAGGGCCTCATGCATGCAAGGCAAGCGCTGTACCACTGAGCCACCTTCCCAGCCCTGAAATGCTAGGTTTTAATCTGATTAATAACTCATTTGCTTTTGAGCTTTTACATATGACTGTTCTAAGCAAAACTTGTGATCTGTTTCAGCCTTCAGGTTTGAACTTGTTTAGAACTTAAACATGTATGGACTTGTTAACACTTGAAAAAATAATTGGTTTGCTTATGTTTGTTTCTGAAGAACAAATGAGCTCATGAATTGAAAGGAAATTTTGAGCCACTATGAAATCACCTCAACTTGAGCAAATAATAGACCAGTTCACAAAAATTAAGTTTCTCAGTTGTATTGAAAGAAAATTACCTACATTGTAATAGTTTAGGGATAGAATGTTCTCCTCTCTTATAGGAGGGTAGGGACTAAAGTTTGTTTGCTTCATCCTTTTGGAACAGTGTGATATTGTGGAAAATACTGACTTAACAATAACAAGGCCTTGCTTGGTTTTGGCTGTCTGTTTCTTTGGACAAATCTCTTCCATTTCCCAGATCTTCATTACAGTTTTTCTGTCTGTTATTCTTATATGTCAGACTACATGCTGATGATTTCCAATTAGTGCCATAGACATCATCATAGAACCATTGAGTTAGGAAAAGATCTTACATTACCCACTCTAACCTAAAGAACTTATTGCTATCTATTAGAGAATGAATGATATAATCCATAAAACATGTGATTAAAAGACTACAACTGCTGTTTTTTGCTTTGTTATCAATATAAGTCTAAGTGGTTCATCAATATGAAAAGATTCTGTTCACTAAACCGGAGTTCAAGATATTTCTACTAGCATGTTGTGATATTATTCTGCTTATTTATATTAATTACTCTTGAATTTTTTTTACCAAGACTAGTATGAGCTTGATTTGATTCAGAATATTTCCAAGAGTTTATATCTTCAAAATATTTCTTGTTTTGATTTTTGTTGTTTCATTTTATAGTGCAGGCAGTTGTATCTAGGGTCTTCTATATGTGGACATTGCACTGTTTAAGCTAGTTGGAATTTTTATCTTTTCCAAGTACTTTAGTGCACATTATTCATTAACTGTTCCAAAAAACTAATATTTAGCAACCTTTTGTAATCTGCTTTATTGTCCTCTCCATGTTGTGCTTGGGATTTGCTCTCAGGATACATTAGTATCTTTAGTCTTTTCCTTATCATTGATTGCTGCTCTATACCACAAAAAAAGCTGCAATATCTATGCTATTAAAAAAAGGGGGGATTGTTTTTAGCTTTACCCTCCTCCAAGATAAAATTCAATACATTTAGTGAAAAAATAGACTAGCTCAAAACTGTTCTCTCAGAGGATAACACTGACTTCCCAGTTATTGAACCTACAACATCTTTTCAGTCCTTGCCTTAATAATGTCATTGGTTCTTTTTGTCTCCTTTATATTTCTGGTATTTTTATGCAGATTCTTTTGTTGTGGTATCTACAAGTTCCAACTTTGTTTTCTTTTTTTCCTCTAAATGTTACTTCTAAAACAAATGTCATTTCCAGTCTTTCCAATCTTACCTTTCTACAGATAACTTCTAGGTCTCCAGACCCAAATTTACAACAGTTTACACACATCCTATAAACACTTCAGATTAATAATTTTTTCATGCCTACTGTGAATGCTTTCTCCTGACTTTTTTTCTTTTTCCTTTTTGTCGGTCATGGGCTTGAACTCTGGGCCTGGGCGCTGTCACTCAGCTTTTCAGCTCAGTGCAAGCGCTCTCCCACTTGAGCCACAGTGACACTTACGTTTTTTTTATGGTTAATTGGAGATATAAGAGTCTCACGGACTTTCCTGCCTGAGCTGACTTTGAACTGTGATCCTCAGATCTTAGCCTCCTGAGTAGCTAGGATTACAGGTGTGAACCACTGGCGCCCAGCTTCTCCTGATTTTTTTTTTTTAAGCATTTCTTTTCTTTTCTTTTTTCTTTTTTTTTGTCATTTGTGGGCCTGAACTCTGGGCCTGGGCACTGTCCCTCACCTCTTCAGCTCAAAGCTAGTGCTCTACCACTTAAGCCACAGCGCCACTTCCAGCTTTTTCTATTTATGTGGTGCTGAGGAATCGAACCCAGGCCCTCATGCATGCAAGGCAAGCACTCTACCGCTGATCCACCTTCCCTGCCCTAAGCATTTCTTTTAATGGCTTCAGTGTTGTAAGAATCATTTAAGCTGGAAACCTAGACTCATCTTTTACTTTTCTTCTCACCTTGTCCTATACATTCAGTCTTTTCCAACATGTGTCTTTTCCCAGTTGCCACCAATCCTGCCATCTTATTTCATGTTCACCTCACTTCTCATCTGGGTAATTGAAGTGGTCTTTTAACAAGTTCTCTCTCCTCCATTGTTGTTAATGACCCGAATAAGTCATGCAACCTAGTGTTTTTTCACGTGATTATATGTTTATTTCTTGTGAAAGGAAATAAAATATACTTTCTTTGAAGATAAGAACCAGATCTTGTTAACTACATATTCTTGTTACTTAGCAAACTGTACCTCCTTGACTTTTGGTAAATATCTACTAAAAGTTACCTTGAAAGTTTTTGTCAGGCTGAGAATATAGCTCAATGATTAGAGTGTATACTTAGCAAATTGAAGACCTCAGTTTGATTCCCAGCACCAAAAAAGGAAGAAATTTTATCAAAGAAAAATTCCATATAACACAAATACTAGACTTATTGCATATCTACACAGGATATACAAAAAGGATAATAATCTAATGTTTCTTTTATATACTTGGCAATTTGATAATATTACATTATGCATTTTCATGTTATTTGTTTCATTGCAATGCTGTTATTAAAAGACCTTGTAATTTCAATGATTTCAGGCTTCTGACTTATAATTAATGACATAACGCAAAACACCTAACATATGCCTTTAACATACTATTATTCTAGTTACAGATGAATCCATGCCTTCTTATTCTGAAAATGACATGCCAAGAAATGACAGCAGCATGTGGTCAAAAATAACTGAGGAAGGAACAGAGTTGTCACAACGGCTTGTGAGGAGTGGTTTTACTGGAACTGAAATAGACCCTGAAAATGAAGAACTTATGCTAAATATTAGCTCTCGACTGCAAGCAGCTGTTGAAAAACTCCTAGAAGCCATTAGTGAAACCAGTAGTCAGGTAACCTCTTAATCTTCCTAATATCTCCTGAGCTTGAAGCAGACTTTTTTCAAGTTGGGAAATAACTAAATGTTTCTCTCTGCTGTCCCACAGAAATTTGGTCAGGTTTTCCTTTAGTAATTGGTTGTTTTTGTGACAACCAACACTGGTGTCAGAAATCTTCTTTTTAAATTTATTTCTCTTTTAATATTCATATTGTTACTTTTCATATTATTCATATTATTTTCTTTTTTTTTTTTTTTTTTGTCGGTCGTGGGGCTTGAACTCTGGGCCTGGGCGCTGTCCCTCAGCTCTTCAGCTCAAGGCGAGCGCTCTACCACTTGAGCTACAGCGCCACTTCCGGTTTTCTGGTGGTTTTATTGGAGATAGGAGTCTCACGGTCTCTCCTGCCCGGGCTGGCTTTGAACCGCGATCCTCAGATCTCAGCCTCCTGAGTAGCTAGGATTACAGGCGTGAGCCACCAGCGCCCGGCTCATATTATTTTCATATTAGTCATATGATTACTTTTTCATTATTTTCATATTATTCATATTATTACTTTTTATCAAAAAATTTTCAAAGCTGAGCACTGGTGGATTGTGCTTGTAATCCTAGATATTCAGAGCCTGAGATCTGAGGATCTCACTTGGAAGCCAGCCTGAGAAGAGTTAGATACCTCGAATCAGTTAGCTTCAGCAATAATAAAGGCAGGTTCATCTTCATAGCCTAGTAGGGGACATAAGAAACCACGACAGCATTTTTCTGAATTTTAAGAGGTAGCTTCCCTCTCCAGCCACAAGCTAACTCCCTGAATACCGGGCCTTCTGGAAAAAAAAAAAAAAAAGAAATTAAAAAAAAATCTCACTTTTTGTTTTTTGGGTTTTTTCTGCCAGTACTGGAGCTTGAACTCAGGACCTGGGTGCTTCCCCTGAGCTTATTTGCTTGAGCTGGTGCTCTACCACTTGAACCATATCTCCTCTTCCAGCTTTTTGCTTGTTAATTGGAGATAAGAATCTCACAGACTTTCCTGCCAGAGCTGGCTTCAAACCTTGGATCTCAGGCTTCTGATTAGCTGGATCAAAGGCATGAATCACCATCACCAGGCTAAAATCTCACTTTGTTTCTGCCTAATTATTTGTGTCCCACAAAGAGGTTGAATACTAGCTGGAATGAATACTAGCTCCTCAAAAAAAAGAACAACTTTATGTAGTGAGAGTGTCTACTAAGAGATTTTTCTTGTTACCTGCATGCTTTAGTATGGGTTTTTCTACTTATATAAGGTCTTAGTGGTTTTGTGATGTTTAGTTACTAGACAGAAAAACATGTGCCATAGTAAAAGCCATTTTCTTTTTTAAAGCAACTCTCATTATTGAGAAACTTTTAATATTAAAAACTCTCTTTAAAAATTCACTATTTTCTTCACTATTATTCACAGGTTTATTCACTATTATACAAGTTTCTGGATCACCAGTAGCTAGTAGCCATTATATAGAGCTTGAACTTTTACATTTCAATTGGAATTCACAAGCTACCAACTATTATATACTGAACAGCTTTAAAAAGGATTATTTTTCCTTAGCACACACTCTGTAAACAAGTCTGAAAATAGGTGACAACTGGACTATCTATATTTAGTCTCAGTAGCTGCTCAAATGTATTGTTTCTAAGTAAATGTCAAAAAAGTGTTCTAATTCATAGAATTCATCATGATTATTTGATATACTTCAGTAACTGATTAGTGCTCCAATAACTAATATTTATTTTTAAATTTCTAGTGAGATGGAAAAACACTAGCTTATCTTAGAAACATCATAAACTTATCTAAATAAGTCTTTTTCAATGACCGGACATGGAACTTGGATCCTGTTAGGCAGGCTTTTTTTTTTTTTTGTAGGCGTTTTAATTCACATTCCACCTGTCATTATACCTATATAGGTAAAGACATTAAACCACACCCTCTGTGCTGACCTTTCTCTCCAGGGACACTGAGTAGATAGAATCTTTTAGCTCAGGGAAGAAACTATTTGAATACCTCTGTTAGGAAGAGCTTCTGAATAGAGTGAAGCGGCAACCAGGAAAATAATGTTGCAACTACATTTTTCAAGACTGCTACTATGGAGATTTAAAACTTGACCTTCCCTGCCAGGAAACTTGGAAGGCTTATTTGTTACGAGATGCACTGGAAACTGCGAGCAGTTTTTTTGCCCAGCTAATTTGATAATTATATTTTTATTTGTCAAGGACTTATTCTAGTTAGAACCAGTTTGGGTTTTTTTGTGTGCTTTTATTTTTGTTTTTATTGTTTTTGTTTTGTTTTTTGAGGTGAGGTTACCTGATGAACTTTTTTTAGGTTTGTAAATTTTTATCTGGATTTTTCAGTCTTTTTATTGTTGATTTGTATGAATTTTATGTTTATTTGATAATGCTAAAATGAAATTTTTACAATGGTATGGAAAATCTTGATAAACTGAAAAGAACTTTTTAACATGGTGGAAAATTGAAAAAGTAAATGAAGAAGTGTGGCAGCTTCATCTTCTAGAATGGATTCTTACAGGACCTATTTAGCAACTGTTAATCTCAATGCCTCTTGCTTGGAAGAACAAGATGAAGACATTTATGAGGTTGAATCTCGAGTACCTTTACCATATCCTTTTCCTCTTTGTGAACATTTGGATGAAAATAATTCAGTAATTATTAATACTTCTATTTTTCATTTTATTCACAAAAGAAATGGGCACATACTAAAGGTTATTTCTAAAATTTCATTGCCCACCCCTCCTTATTCAGTAAGTATTTTAAAAAGTAATTTGGTTTAAGAACTAAATATGATGAGAAATGAAAAATTATCCTTATTAAGATTAAGTACAATCATGTTTTGTTATTAGTTGGTATGTTACTGCTCATTGATTCTAGATACATTTTTGAAGGACTAAATTTTTTAATTCCAGAAAGCAGAATGAGATATTGCACTTCTTCAATTCCAAGAAAGCTATTTTAAAAGATCTTACTTGTCCTTGAGATTCTTGGATTTGTATGTGTATAATGCTGATCCTAAATAAAATGGAATGAATATATCTGATAGAATAGCATTGTAATACATAAACAGCAAAGTAAATTGTCAGCCATTTGGAAAATATTGATAATTATGCAGCATATTAGCTGTGCTTCTAGACAAAATAAATTCAGATTCTAAATTTTCTCCGCACACTAAGAAGCTTAACTTTTCTGTTTCTAATATGCCTACTAATCTTGTAGAGAAATGCCCTTTTCTGCTTTTAATGGGACATGTCTTTTATAAACATTGCTATGGGTGTGTTTAGCATAATACATATTCAGTATTTCAGGCTCATTTGATACTTAAATCTGCTGTAAATGATTCACTAAAAGCTTACAGCCCTTTTTATTACTTTCTAGCTAATATTTAACAAGTCAGATGGATTTTTAGAATAGTTATAACTCTGGAATACCTACTGCTTTACCCATACTTTACATCTATAATAAAGTTGTCTTAAAACATCAAATACTGAATTTGAAACATATATACTTGCAACTATTTCAGTTACTAGGGCTAAATTGTATACTGCTTGGGAGAGATTTTTTTTCGGGGTCCGGTTGTGGGGCCTGAACTCTGGGCCTGGGCGCTGTCCCTCAGCTCTTCAGCTCAAGGCTAGCACTCTTACCACTTAAGGCACAGCGCCACTTCCGGCTTTTTTCTTTTTGCTTATGGGGTGCTGAGGAATCGAACCCAGAGCCTCATGCATGCAAGGCAAGTGCTCTACCACTGAGCCACCTTCCCAGCCCCGAAAGGTTGTATATCTTTTTTTTTTTTTTTTGCGCTGGTACTGGTGCTTGAACTCAGGGACTTGAGCTCTTGGTTGGATTTTGAACTCAAGGGCACTCTAGCACTTGAGCCACACCTCTGCTTCCTTGGGAGAGATTTTTAAGTATGAAGTATTGAGGTAAGACTTAGCTCAATAAACTGTAAGCCCCGTCTGTCATCATAAAATTTGTTTGCTGAATTTACTTTACTTGATTGCATCAACATTTTTGTTTCATTTTTGTAAAACTAATGTTATTGCTTGTGTTTTTATTCTATTTAAATGAATGAGAAGCTAGTTGAGATCTTGTAAAATAGAACACAAAAGCCAAGACTTACTTTACTTTTCTAAAGCAAGCATTTATTTTGTTACAAATAATTTATAGTAAATTAAAAAAGGAAAATTTAATTGTTTTAGTTATGGCTTTGAACTCTTAGAGATTTCATGTGTTAATAAGTAATGATTATATTAATATAATAGACTAATGATAACATAATATATAATAATATAATAGGGAAAAGTACATATGAATATTTAAAAGTAATTGATATATTTTAAAATACTGATTATGACTAAACAGATTTATAAGTTACATATAAATTAGTTCATGCTTTCTGGTCATGTTTATTTTATTTATAAGTTCATGTGTGTTGATTACCTACAACTAAAGAAAAAGGAGTATTTGCCAGTGAACAGTAAAAAAATATTTAAACTGAGTTTGGTGATTCAAGCCTGTAATCCTGGCTACTGAGACTTTGGTCTCAACCAATGGTTTAGTATGGTGGTATGCTCCTAAATCCCAAACTACTAGGGAAACACAATGGTTAAGTGCAGTGATATGCACCTATCATCCCAGGTACATAGGGAAACAACAAAGAGGAGGATCTTAGGAGGATCAGAGTCTGGACTGCCCATAAGTCAAGACCTTATCTTGGAAATAACCAACCCACAAAGGGAATGGCATAGTTACTTAAATGGTAGAGTGCCTGCCTAGCAAGTGTGAGGCCTAATTTCAAATCCCAGTACAGTCGTTTGTAATTTCAACTTCTTTTGTGTGTGCAGTCTTGGGGCTTGAGCTCAGGGCCTAAGTACTATCCCTCTGCTTTTCTACTCAAGGCTAGCACCATATCACTTGAACCTCAGCTCCACTTTGGGCTTTTTTGGGAGTTCATTATAGATAAGAGACACAAATTTTCCTGCCTATGCTGGCTTCAAATTGCAATCCTCAGATTCTAGCCTCTTGAGTAGCCAGGATTATAGGCATGAGCTAACAGTGCCCAGCTTGTAATTTACATATTATGCTTAATTTCCCATCAGTCTTATATGTTTACTCATTTTAAAGTATGTTATAAATGGTATTTGAAACATCCTATTAAAATAATGATTGCATACTAGATATTTTTAGAAATTGATTTCACATGACCATAGAAAACTTCAGTAACACTACAATCCATGTTCTTTGGAAAATAACACTTTAAATATGAATATTGGAAGCCTTTTAAGAATACAATATTATACGGCCTCTTAAAGAATACAGTATTAAATATATCATTACTTGACTTATGATAATGAGTAACTCCTCTGTACAACCTAAACATTTAATAACAATTTTTTTTAAAAATTAGAATGAAATGTTAAGTATATCATAATTTTATAATGCATTACTAACTCATAGGTTAGAAACTACTACATAATAAGCTTAAAATATACTAATGTATATTTCAGATGCATAAAAACTTCAATTTTTCCCAACAAAGTTTTTTTGGTAGAACAGAAAGCAAATAGTAATATTAACAAACCATGTAACCACAGTGGAGACAGTGCTTTTTTGTCATTTCATATACCTGAACTCAATCCCTAGTGATCCATTTACCTCCTGAGTGAAAGCTGTAGCCTCAAATATATCTACTGATATTTTTGAAAATGTTTAGGAATGTCGCCAGTGTATGCCAATGGTGGTACTTTAATTAGGCTGTATTTTCAATATCTTTGTGTTGTAAGATTTTTGAAAATCAGTTATTTATACTGGTTTGTTGTTTGATACCACTAGATTAATCTGTATCATTAGTCTACCATATAGCATATACTATAAGAGTATAGTCAGTATATGTTAGGTAAAAAAGAAATAAAGTTTGTCATAGACCAAATATATAAAATTCTTTAGCAAATACAATAAAAGTCTTGCTTTAGTTTTTTTGTTTTCATTTATATGATAGAATATTTATCCATTGATTTAAGGTGGTTTATTTCTAAAAGAAGCACATTCCCCTCCCCCTTTGGAGATGGTACTGGAAATTGAAGTCAGGGCTCCAGGCTTGCTAGGCAGCTACTCTACCACTTGAGTTCAGGCCCCATGACCACCAACAACAACAACAAAAAAACCCACAATACTAGTTTTCCTAACAATTTATTTTCCTTTATATGTTCTTTCCCTCTTTGTATAGCTTGAACATGCAAAAGTTACACAAACAGAGTTGATGCGTGAGTCATTTAGACAGAAACAGGAAGCAACAGAATCCCTTAAGTGCCAAGAAGAACTGCGAGAACGCCTTCATGAGGAGTCCAGGGCTAGAGAACAGCTGGCTGTGGAGCTCAGTAGGGCTGAGGGTAAGCACCTTACCATTGGCAATTGGGAGGAAAGAAATTCCAATATTAAAATACAGATTTTGATATATAGCCAGCTTTGGGAAACTCCTAGTCTACTGTGATTTATAGTCACCATTGAAAAGTAACTGTCATTTGTCTTTAGAGTTCTTTATGCAATATTTAAATTTATAACTAAGAAAATGTACTTAACTATAAACATAATTTGTAGAATCGGAAAATATTAAAAATTTTAGAAAATACAGAAATGGGTGGTGGTGAGTTCTTACTGTAATTCCACCAGCGTAAGACAATTCTTAGAATTTAAAGAAGAGCAGACTAGGTCTAAAAGATACTGTTGTATTTTAAGGTCTTTATTAGGTGTGTAAGCTTCTGAAGCCTCTGATACTGTTGTAGGTGTTAAACTTATAGTAGTTACTTAAAGTATCAACCTCCTCTAGTATATTTGAAATGTGATTCAGTTCACAAACACCTCATTTATATGAAGCTTTCCACAAGCTTATCTACTTCAGTCTATTAAATAAAATGAGTCACATAAACAAAATGTGATACTTTAATGTAGCAAAGTACTGGAAAGTTTAGAAATTCTTCATATTTGTATATTTATCTCATACAGAGATAAACAAGCAAAAGAGTGTTGAACATACCGCAATAAAGTTTAAGAGTTGGTACTGTCAGCAAATTCCCTGTTGATTCTGTTTTACAGGTGTCATTGATGGCTATGCAGATGAAAAAACTCTTTTTGAAAGGCAAATTCAGGAAAAAGCTGATATTATAGATCGCCTTGAGCAGGAATTGCTATGTGCAAGTAATAGATTGCAAGAATTGGAAATAGATCAACAGCACATTCAAGAAGAAAGAGAGTTACTGTCTAGACAGAAGGAGGCTATGAAAGCAGATGCAGGCCCAGTTGAACAGCGTATGTGTTTTCAGACTTCATATGTATTTTCAGACTTTGTATGATAGTTTTCTTTTTATTCATGTTTATCAAACATTCAAGGTGACCTTTTTATCGCTTTCAGTGCCATTATTATATTTTATATAAGAACTTAAAAAATTACAAGATACTGTATTTTGTAGCCAAATGTCTTTATTCCTGTGGAATTGGTTTTTTCAATTCATTTTTATTGTAAAGATGATGTACAGAGGGTTTAAAGTTACATAGTTCAGGTAATGAGTATATTTGTCTTTTAACAGTATCACCTCTTCTCTTGTTTTCTCCCAATTTTTTCCCTCCCAACCTTCCTCCCCACAAAGTTGTATAGTTCTTTTTCAACATAGGTCTAGTGAATATCACTGTTAGTGGAATTGGATATTTTTGTCCTTTTACCTTTGACAGATACAGATAACAACAACAACAAAAGAAAATTTAGTTCTTTATTTTCAGACCTGTCCTCAAGTAATTATTACTGGATTTTTGTAAATTGTGTTAGCTTTCTTGTTTTAACAGAAGAAAAGCATCAAAAATTAGATGGTTTGATTAAGTAACTCAAAAAAACTGGTCTTATACCAGAAATGAGCAGGTATGGATTGGGCTTATAAGCAGAACATGTTGACAAGGTCTGTTGCTAGCATCTAGTTTAATTGTAACGGGAGTTCAAGCTGGGAACTGGTGGGTCATGCATGTAGTGTTAGCTACTAAGATCTAAGGACCACAGTTCAAAGACAGACCAGACAGAAAAGTCCATGAGACTCTTCTTTTCTAACCAGCAAATACCCAGAAGTAGAGGTGTGACTCATCTTGAACGGAAAAAAAAAAAAAACTGAATGAGAGTATGAGCTTCTGAGTTCATGCTTCATTACCTGTACATACAAACAAATGAGTTCAATATTTAAATATTTAAATTTACAGTAATCTTTAGTTTTCCTTAAATGAAAAATGAAGTAACATCTTAAAGCTTGTTTAATGGCAAATATCAGTCTTTGAAACAACGGAACATTAAATTCCATTTTCATGATCTCTTTAATATTGAGCAAATACTTGAAATTATAGATGTATATTTTCTCTAGTTTCATTTCTCAATTTAGAATGCAGCATACATTTTTATCATATAGTAAAGCTTTTTTTCTGATGCTCAAATTAGTTTAAAACATTTAGGGCTAGAATTTTTAATGTGGGAAAGAGTATGTCACACAGAAAATTTATAGGAACTATTGGACCTTCTCAAAGTATTAGCAATAATAACGGATATCTTAAACTTTTTTTCAAAGTATGTGTGCACATGCATTAACTTATTTTAGAAAATAGAAGGCATAATTCTATTTCTGTTGTGTTTTGTTTTGTTTTGTTTCTGTTCTCATAGGATCGATAAATGCTGCAGTTGATGCAGCACCTGGAACAGGTGTGTGTGTGTGTGTATACAATTGCATGGACTTCTTTTTGGTAGTAGACTTAACTCAAATTTTGGTGGCCCTTGATTTTTCAGCTAACTAACATGTTGCTAATTTTTCAGTCATGTTGCTTACAGTTTTCTCTTTAACAACACAACTTAGTGATGTAAGAGTGCACACTTTTATTTGAAATTAACAAATGAGAATCATAGTAACCATCATCTTATTATACCTGTTTTTTTTTTCAGAGAGCTTAAAAATATTTAGATTTTTTTCCCAAGAAAATGTTTTTTAGAAAAAGACCCAAAAAACATTTTGTCTTGCCAATAGATTAATCTCTTCCAGTCTGTTGTTTCAAAATGCTCCTTCTAAATCAGGAGGTTTATAAGATGATGGTAGGAAAAGGATCAATAACATTTAATAAAAGTTACTTTCTGATTGATTTACTGTTATATTAATATTTAATACCAGGATTGCTTTAAAGGAAAGACATTTTCTATAGATTCCCAGTCCTGAGTATAATGTTGGCATATCAGTATAAAAACTATATGTCCTTTCCATTTTCTCCAGTAGTGAATAGTTTTACTTTGGCTGTGTACTCTTTATCATTGTATTAATAATAGTCAACACTTCCTTAGTATTTACCATACACCAGTCACTGATCTTGACAAGCTTTACCTTATTGAATGCCAAATCTAAGAGATAGTTAATAATGGTATCCCTATTTCACATATGAGGAAACTGAAGATCTTCATGTTGAATGTAAACTGAAGATCTTCATATTGAATGTCACACAGGAACAAATGGCAGAATTAGGGTTTGAACTCATAGTCTACTCATGTGACCATGCAAAAGCAACTCAGGAGTATGAATCTAATCAGGAGGAAAACTAACAGGAAATTCTGGTTGTAGTCTTGGTTGGATTTTTTTTGAATTTTTTTTTGTAACTCTTACTTGCCTTGGTTAATGACTACAGAATTTGACCTTTGTGTGTATTATATATGCATATAAAGTAAACTTTTGGGGTTTGGAATGAATGAATTTGCCTGTGATAAAGAAAATGGTGAGTTTTTTCTGTTTGAGTTGAGTTTTCTTCTTTTCCTAATAGTGGAAATAGATTACTTTGTTATTTACTATGTTGTATTCACAAGAAGTTATTTTGTGTGGTAAGGTTAATTTCCTTTTGTTATTGTATAATGTTATTACTGTTAACTTGAGTATATAGGAATAAAAGACAATAGTTTTATAAGAGAATATAACACTTTCTGTATATACTTAAAATTCTAAATCATATTTCATTTAGGCAAAATTTAAACAGTTATGGATGATTTCATCACAACATTAATTATAACTTAACTAAATATATATTCCCATTTTAAACAGAATTACTACAGGAGACAGAAAAACTAATGAAGGAGAAGCTAGAAGTACAATGTCAAGCTGAAAAAGTATGTGATGACCTTCAAAAACAAGTGAAAGCTTTAGAAATAGATGTTGAGGAACAAGTCAGTAGGTTTATAGAACTGGAGCAAGAAAAAAATGCTGAACTAATGGATTTAAGACAACAAAGTCAAGCACTGGAGAAGCAGTTAGAAAAAATGAGGAAATTTTTAGATGTAAGTATTCACAATTTCAGTATTGATTTTTCAATACAGTGCTACTGGATTCTACTTTAGGCTGTATATGAGACATTCTGAAGACTCTTAAATTACTATTTTCACTTATATATTCTACCAATTTATCAAAAATACTATTATTAAAATTTGACCAATTTTGAGGGGGAATTGGGGTTTGAACTTGGCCTTCTCACTTTCATTCTGCTTTCTTGCTCATCGTTAACTCCCTATCCTTTGAGCCATACCTCCAACCAGCATTTGCTGGTTGATAGGGGACTGAATCTCTCAGTTCTCTGCCCAGGCACTCCTTCAGATCTCAACCTTCTGACTATCTAGGATTATATGCATGAGCTATCAAAAATTTTAACAATTTTTAGTTTGTGGTAATTAGAATTAAAAGTAGTACAAGATATGGGCATCATGGTTACATCTGTAATCCTAGTCATTGGGAGGCTGAAGCAGGGGGATCATGAATTCCAGGCCAGCTTGGGTTAGATAGGTCCCTGTCTGTAAATAAATGCATACAAACATACATATGTACAAATGTAATAAAGTGTCAGTACAATTAGAGCTAGGACTGGAGTTATAGTGTAGTGGTAGAGCCCATGCTTATTATTATTAGCCCCTGAATTTAATCTGTAGACCAGAAAAGAAGGAAAGAAGGTAGGGAGAGGACCCAGAAAAGAAGGAAAGAAGGTAATCTCGGAGAGGACCCAGAAAAGAAGGAAAGAAGGTAGGAAGAGGACCTAAAATGTTAAAAAGTAAACATTTAACTTGTGTATAAGTTTAACCAGTTAGCTTATCTAACTTGGGAATTAACCTTATACTAGTCTTTCATTTAACAAAGAGCAAACTCAGGGAAGATTTCCCACAGTTCGTTGGCTACCACTGCTTCCCTTCAAAAGGACTAGAGCTCTTATCATGTTGCCTTTGCTCTGTCCCCCCAAAAAATGATTTTTCTTCATTAGGATTTTATAAGCTGATGTTTTCTTCATGTAGTGACCTATCAGACTTGCACATTTTACAATTTTAGGTATAAAACAGATAGCATTAAAGAAATTGATTTACCAATTTGTGTAGTGATTTTTTAATGACTAACAGTGGAATGCTTCTTTTGTATAAAAAAGTAAGTTCATTTTAAGGAGAATTACTTTATTTCAGTCTTCATTTAATTTTACCTGAGCACTGGAGCTTATGCCTATAATCCTAGCTACTCAGAAGGCTGAGATGTGAAGATTGTAGTTGAAAATGAGCCTGGGCAGACAAATCCAGCCCAAAATTGGAAGTGGAGGGTAAAGCTCAAGTGGTAGAACAGAAAGGTCAAGCAAGAGTGAGAGTTTCTGAGTTCAGTAACAATGCCAGCTAGAAAGAAAAAAAAGAAAAAAAACTGTACTTTAGAGACTTGAAGTATGGCTCAAGTAGAAAAGTGCTTACCTCGCTATCACCCTGAGCACAAACCCCAGTACCCCCAAAAAAAGAAAAAGTATTTTAAAATGTTTACTATTTTACTGAAGAGACAAGACTGGATGTGTAGTAACTGATGCCTTTAATCCTAGCTAAGATTGGGAGAAATGTGGTTCAAATGCCAGCCTGTGCAAAAAGTTTTTGAGACCTTCCTCTCAACTAATTACTAGGCATGATACATCTGTCATCCTGGGTCAACCAGGGGGTAGAGGACTGAGAAGGAGTGCTCATAAGGCTCCATTTCAGTGGAAGAACCTGGACATACTGATGTGTACCTGTCATCCTAGCTTTGGCAGGGAGCATAAAATAGAATGACCACAGTCCAGACATAGGCTGAGACAAAAATCAAAAGCCCATTTTACAAACAACTAGTGCAAAAAATGGACTCAGTACTTCCACCCCGTAAAATTAGAGCCAAAGCAGTCTCTGATCATACCAAAAATTAAGTTAAATTTTCATACCTCTGTGGTTTAGAGTATTGGGTATTCCATGGTGATGTCCTTCATATTCAAAGTAACTTAAAACTAAAGAGTGATATAGGAAAACATAAGCTTAATAATTACTGTTTCTTCTGTTATTACTATTATTATTAATCTTCAGGAGCAAGCCATTGATAGAGAACATGAAAGAGATGTATTTCAACAGGAAATACAGAAGCTAGAACAGCAACTTAAGGTTATACCTCGATTCCAACCTGTCAGTGAACATCAAACTAGAGAGGTAAGAACTGTTACTGATATTGCCTGATTTTGTATATTAGCTTATCTTGAGTATAAAATGATTTTACCATGAAACTTAATTGAGTTCTTTCTACTATGTATAAATCTTATAAATCAGAAAATTAAGTATTACTTAAATGTGAGATATTCACCCTAGAAATTTTAGTGAGCTGATACAGCTCAGTGGGGTCTTGATTTCAGTCCCTAGTAACACACACACACACACACACACACACACACACACACACACACACACACACACACACACACACACACACACACACACACACACACACACACACACACACACACACACACACACACACACACACACACACAGAATTGTGTTGAAATTCTGAATCAGTCCCATCTGAATCTAGTATTACCCAATTAAGCAAAACTTCTCTGTTCATTTCTCCACTAAAAAGAGTTTCCTGTTTCCTTTTATATCCACTCCAGTGAAATTTACAGCTCTTCTATCTCCATTCAGACTATTCTGTGAAAGTATCCAGAGTCCAATAATTACCTCTCTGTCTTCACCTTACTCAACCAATCATAGTCTTCTGTAAATACTTCCTTTTCTTTGCTGTAACATACCTTCTCCACTGATTTTTCTTCTCTAATATTTTTCTTCTCTGTATAACCAAAGTTAATGTTGGGACACCCTACAACTTAGTTTGAGTCCCCCTTTTTTAATATTTTTTATATTCTCTTCCCATGCATCCATGTATAAATCCACATTTGTACCTTTATTGCTGACAGCTCTATATTTGAATAGTCAGCTGCCAACTCTGTCCTGAAATGTCTCAATTAATTTGCCCAAAAGACAACTCTTGATTACTGACTAGCATATACAAAAAAGGTAATGTTAAAATATGTCCCTTCTTCATGCAAATAAATTTTGTGCCCTCTATACCTTTCTCATTACTTAATCTTAGAATTCTTCAATCTCACTCCTTTTGTCAACCTTGCTTCCAATTAATGGGTCATATTTGTGCTGCATCTTCTATTCTTTCCACCTTGACTCATTTTCTACATTCTAGTTGTCATCATTGCTTGCCTAGATGGTCGTGATAGACTCCTGTTCAGTCTCTTCTCCTGTTTTACACTTACTGCCTGTTTCCCATGTAGAAATGTCAGAATTCTATTTTTAATGAATGAATTCTCCATGAATGAGGAAAGATTGAATGTGTAAATTTCTAAAGATGGTTTGTCATAAGACTGGATGTGGTAGCTCAGGCCTGTACTCCTGACTACCCAGGAGGCAGAAATCAGGAGGATTATAGTTTAAGGCAAGCCTAAGCAAAAAGTAAGAGAGATTCCCATCTCACCAACCATCCATGTGGTGATGTTCATGAATAATCCCAGCTACACAGAAGGAATAGGTAAGAGGATCGCTGTCCAAGACCGTCCCTAAGCAAAAATACAAGACCCTATCCAGAAAATTCACAAAGCAGAAAAGGGATTCAGGTATTATGTAAGTACGTAAGTGGTAGAGGTCTTGCCTAGCAAATGCAAGGTCCTGAATTCAAACCCCAGTAACCAACAAAAACAAAAAACACCAAGTTTGTCATGGTGATATAGAAATTGTACTTGATGCAAGGCAAACCTACTTTGGATCATGGCTCTCTTGTTTCCTATCATGGCTCTCATGTTTTTCCTATGTAGCAATGTTTCCTATGTGAATGAGTAAATTGAATTAACATAGTTTCTGAATAAAATTTTCATTTATAAAAATTAGTTTTTCTGGGGCTGAGAAGGTGGCTCGCATGCATGAGGTCCTGGGTTCAATTCCTCAGCACCACATAAACAGGAAAAGTCAGAAGTGGCACTGTGGCTCAAGTGGGAAAGTGCTAGCCTTGAGCTGAAGAGCTGAGGGACAACGCCCAGGCCCAAAGTTCAAGCCCCATGACTGACAAAAAAAAATTTTTTTTAATAAAAAAATTGGTTTTTCTATGCATTTTATTGGACTTCATCTAAAATGAATTTCTAAGAACTTAAAAATACCTATAAAGTCACTGTAATAAAATGTTACTTCTAGAGAAGCAGAAAAATTATCGATCTTACAGAGTTTGTATTCATTGCCCTTATTCCTCACAAAAGCATCTTCACCATTTTTGAAAAAATAGTGTTTTATTGAAACTCAGAAGATTGTATAAACTCTAGAACTTAGAAAAACTTAGGCAACTAGAAAGGGTATTTATGCTCAATTTTCCTTTGGAACATTATACTCCATTTTTTCTCTTTCCTTTGCCTGATCTGATTCAGATTCTGATTTTCTCAAGGTCAGAAGAATGTATTAATTGTATGTTGTACCATTTTAGTCTACTTGGTTTTGCCTTTTCTTTTGACTTTACTCCAAATCTTAGCCAACATCTCAGTAGCTTTATTACAGTCATCTTTGAACCTATAATCATAGTTAAGCTTATAGTTTTTAAATGTTTTGAGAAATAATTACCATTTTGGGTAATTTTCTCAGTAGTTCACTAGCAGAGCACTATTCCTTTCTTTCTTACAATCATGTATATTTTTAGTAACTTTCTTTACTTGATCAGAACTAATTTCATAGGGTGTCATTTTAGTCTGTTTTCTTCTGTCACAGCCATTCATCTGAAAGGGCCTGTGTATCAGTCTTTTATTTCAGGTAGAAGAGAAACAAAGGCTAGAGACACTTGAGAAACTTATCTTCAGCACCAGTCCTCTTAGTTCTGGTAGGGTAAAATGTGTGAACTGAATAACTTTTCAAATAACTGTTGTTTTTCCAAATAACTATTACAAGATATGCATGAAAAAGGTTTACGGTCATCTTATCTCACATAAGAATAAATCAGTACCCCTCTATACAGTATCTTTATAATAAAATATATATTTATTAAAAAAATAATAAATCAGTAAATAATATTTGTCATCTTTACAAGGTCTTGGTGTGGTTGTGCCATTAGATAATCATTCAGAGTACATTTCACCCCTTTACTATCTAGAGGCAGTCTTAATCTTAGGACAAAGAACAAGTTTTACAAATAGTACTGCATCAAACTCAAGCTTCTGCACAGCAAGGCATAAAGTCACTTTGCAGAAGACAACCTACAGAATGAGAGAAAATCTTTGCCAGCTATTTATCTGAAAAGGGTCAGAGGCATGGTTCAATCATGAACTATCAAGTCCTAGTCTTGGACCAAAAAAAAAGAAAGAAAAGAAAAGAAGGAGCTTAACAAAATACTAATGAACCAATAATTAATCGATAAATTGGTAAACTGAACAGACACCTGCCTTTTGGAAAGAAGTAAAATTGCAAGTAAATACATAAAGAAATGCTGAACATCCCTGGCCATAAAGGAAATGCAAATCAAAACAACATCTTACTGTAACAGAATGGCCATCCATCATGAAGAACACAAACAACAAATGTTGGCAAGGATGTGGGGAAAAGGGAACCCTAATATATTGATAGTGAGAATGCAAACTAGTACAACCACTATGGAAACAAATAAAGAGATCCCTCAAAAAATTAAGAATACCTTACAACTCAGCAATGTCATCTTGAGTGTTTATCCAAAGGAATATAAAAACAGATAGAATATGGACACTTGTACACCACTGTTTATTGCCATATTAACAATAGGCAAGATATGGAAACGGCCCTAGTGACGTGGATTAATGAATGTATTAAGAAAATGTATATATGTATAATGGAATATTAATCATAAAGAAGAATAAAATGTCATTTGCAGGGAAATGGATGGATCTGGAACCATCATATGAAGCAAGGTTACTTGTTTACTCTCATATGTATGTAAAACCTAAAATATAGACATATATAAGTATGGAAATGCAGATATCACTGTTGTGTTTATCACATTAATATGTATATACATATATATATATATATATATATATATACCTTCTGAGCTACACTCTCAGCTGTAAAGAAAACATTATTTAAAGATAAAATATGGTTTTCAGTTATGTATCCTAATTTTTTAATGTGGCTTATTATATTTTCAGGTTGAGCAATTAACAAATCATCTAAAAGAGAAAACAGACAAGTGCAGTGAGCTTTTGTTGTCAAAAGAACAGCTTCAGAGAGATGTGCAAGAGCGGAATGAAGAAATTGAGAAATTGGAATGCAGAGTAAGAGAACTGGAGCAAGCATTACTTAGCACAGATACTTTTCAAAAGGTGAGACAATGTTTTTTGAGTTGACGTGATAAAGTGTCTTAATAAAGATCATTCTTGGATATACAAACATTAGGTCTAATAAATTTTAAAAGTGTTAATGAACTTGTTACTTAAAGATAGTAATAATGTATATCTTTATGTCTGTTGACTTTTTCACCATTTTTGTTTATTTACTTTTAAATGGTATTTGTATACCTTAGACTTTATGAAGGAAGATTAATTGTACTAGAAGAGTTAATTATCTTTTTAGCCATCAAGAATAGCTAACTGAAAAATGAACACCAGTTTAGGATGATGCTTTATCCCAGTGTAAGAAGTAGTGAAATATGTCCCATCATCCTGCAGAAAGTAAAGATGAGTAAATGAAGAAGCCCAGAATGAGGAGCTTGAGAGTGGGACAAATGGGAGCTAAGTCTTCAGTTTATCTTTTTTTTTTTTTTTTTTTTTGGTTCCGGTTGTGGGGCCTGAACTCTGGGCCTGGGCGCTGTCCCTCAGCTCTTCAGCTCAAGGCTAGCGCTCTACCACTTGAGCCACAGTGCCACTTCCGGCTTTTTTCTTTTTGCTTATGTGGTGCTGAGGAATCGAACCCAGGGCCTCAGGCATGGAAGGCAAGCTCTCTACCACTGAGCCACCTTCCCAGCCCAGTCTTCAGTTTATCTATGTAATGAATTTTACCTGTTAGAAATTCATGATTGTAACCAGGCGCCAGAGGCTCATGCCTGTAATCCTGGCTACTCAGGAGGCTGAGATCTGAGGATCCAGGTTCAAAGCCAGCCTGGTGAAGAAAAGTCCATGAGACTCTTATCTCCAATAAACCGCTTAGAAAACTAGAAGTGGCGCTGTCACTCATGGTAGAGCACTAGCCTTGAGCTGAAGAGCTGAGAGACAACACCCAGGCCCAGAGTTCAAGCCCCATGACCAAAAAAAAAAAAAATTCATGATTGAATTTATGCAGGATGATGCATTCAGCATGGAATATATGCAGCTTTTTTACTGCTCATTGATGTTAGTTTTCTCCTTACCGAAGAGATCGAATTGGCACTTCTTTTTAAAATGCTGTGCACACACACAAATTGAGTAATTAAAATGTAATAGCTAAAATTTTGAGAAAATTCTTATATGTTTAAAGGTAGAAGATGGCAAACAGTTTGGAGCTATAGAAGCTAAAGCAGAATTGTCTCTAGAAATACAGTTGCAAGCTGAACGAGATGCTATAGACAGAAAGGAAAAAGAGGTAAGGCATTTATTTTTTAATGTTAAATGTAGTTTGAAATACTTTCAATCTATTTCCTGAAGGGATCATTTGGACAGAATGTCATTTATGGCCTAAGGCCAAAGTTGGGCTTAAAAGCATGAGTCAAGTGGTAGAGTGCTAGTTGTGAGAAGGCAAGCTGAGCAAGCATGAGACTACTAAATTCAAGCCCAAGCCCTGGCAAAAAAACAAGACAAAAAAATTGTCCTCTCTGAAAACTAAGCAAACATTAAAAGAATTTCTTTCAGGTTTTGCTGATCCTAGAGCTCTTGTAATGTTATGCTGCCAAAACATTAGGATATATTTTGTTTGTTGGCAAGATGTATTAAGGATTGTAATTCAGTATTCATTGAGTTATATGTAGAGTTGTAACCTTTACAACGGTAAAGAGGTACTCTACACATAGTAACCAACAGACTTCAAGGAATCTACTCATAATGAGATATTTGTGTGTTATAAAAAAAAGTTTAAAAGAACCCACAAAATCACACAAATTTATGTAATCCTAATAGTTGAGATATCAGTTAATAGATAAACATGAATAAAACAAATTTAAACCTTTATAATGATTTTGTGGCTTGGGAAATTGTTCAATAGTGAGATAGCCTGAGTTATTATTTGCATTTACAGAAGTATTACATAATGAAACCCCTTTGTATAATTAGTATGTCTAATTATAAGTATGTCATTTTAAAAAACAACAACCTAAGCATGAAACTAGAGTAGTTGAATAAGAAGAAAGAAAATCACCTGCGATTCTTGTAAAAAACAAATCTTGAGTGTAGCATGAGATTCTGCTCAAACAACATGCTCTCACATGATGCTAGATCTCACATTGAGTAGCACAAAGCTAGGAATTTGTAAAGTGATATATCAAAAAAGAATGTGTATGTCACGTGAGGTAAGGTAGAGATTTTGAACAAATTACTATTTACTTGTAATGCACCTGTATCTTCAAAAGTATTTGTAACGATAGGAAAGAGGTATAAATACTATTATGCAAAACAACTTTCAAGAAGGTATAATCATTAGTTTTTATCAAATAGTCTGTTAATTACATATACATAACCACTAAATATATTTAAATGCCTACCGAGTTTAATGCCCAGTGTTACAAAAAAAATTAAATATAAGTCTCCAGAAGTTAAATAGAAGGTTACAAAGGTTAACTCTGAAGGTTCAAAAGATAGCTTCACCACATACTAGCCAAGTGACCTCAGGACAGGTTAGTCATCTTTATGAATCCCTTCCTCATTTCTAAAATGAAGATAATCATAGACCTCATGAGGTTCTTACACAAGATTTTTTTAATACAAGTAAACATTTTATATAGTGAGTAGCAGTAAATTATCTATATGAGATGGCTGTTATTATTGATACTATTTTTGTTTAAGAAATATTAGTCCTGTTTTTAAGGCCTTGCCTTGCCAGGCCTAAGATATGAGTCTACTTAAATAAATTGTCAGTGTGTAAGCGGCTTGTGTTCAAGCAACTTCTCAGGCACTGATTTGTAGGGTACACTGAGCCACTGTTTCTGAATACTGCTTCTGTGTCTTAGGTTGCTTTTGGTACAGCAGATTTGATCATCAGGAAATACACATTTAGAAATGCTTTCATACCTAAATGACTGTTAGGTCCTCAATCAAACACAGTCTTTTAAAATATAATAATAATTAGCTCTTAATATTTGTCCTTTGTTTCAGTTTCGCTATTACCATCACATATGGTGGCTTTAGACAGGTAAAATAGTGGCATATGCCTATCATCCCAGCTAGCAGAAGGGTTAAGATGGAGAGAAGGGAGGTTTCCATGCCAGCCCCAACAGAAAAGTTGGGGAGTCCGTGTCAGTAGAAGACACTGGTCATGGTACACATACCCCAGCTAAAGTAGGAAATGTAAAATATTGAGGTCCAAGTGTGACAAAAAGGCTGGAAGCATGGCTTGGCAGTACAGCACCTCCTAGCATGCACAAAGTCCTGAGTTCAAACCCTAGTACCGGGAACTGGGGGAGACAATAGAAGAATAGTGCTTTACTATTATTACTGATAATCTGACTTCAGAAATTAAATTTCTTTGGTTCTGCCAGGGAACTAATTATCTCTAAAATTATATTTCCTTACTTAGAGGTTTCTGTAATTTAGACCTAGCATCCCTTGGTGTTGTCAGCCTCTGCTTTCTGCCATTCAAACCATAAGGAAGATAGGCCTCCTAGTTGTTTAATTCAGTAGTTGAAATGGTTTTAGTGATAAAATAACTGAACTCTATGAAGTCTTTGAGTTTTTTGAAATATAACAACTAGATTTAACATAAAATACAGACCTCTCTTTCCTTTTATGCCCTCTTAGGCTTCATCAGAATATACTTTACATAGGAAAGAGTACCTTGTATTCTTTCTGCTTAAGGATTCCTGACTGCTTTAGACAGGATAGTTTAAGAAGGTGTAGGTTGAACATGTCTAGGAATCAAACATGTGTACCTGGCTTAGGAAACCACTTTCTTTTATTCCAGTGATTTACTTGTTTTACACATGCATACTTTGTAAAAAAAAAAAAAAAAAATACAGTACTCTTCTGTCTTAACCAAAATCCACTGTATAAAGTTCTTTTCCTTTTGACAATTGCTATATTGAAGATCACAAACTTGGAAGAACAGTTAGAACAGTTCAGAGAAGAGCTAGAAAATAAGAATGAAGAAGTGCAACAACTTCATATGCAATTAGAAATACAGAAAAAGGAATCTACCACTCGCCTACAAGAACTTGAACAAGAAAACAAATTATTTAAGGTAATGGCTTTAGAAAAACTTTTGAAATAAATAGTTTGGTTTTCATACTTTATAATGTTAGTATTTGCTGTGTCCAGCTACTGAATAATACTTAACAGAGGAGGAGTAGTAGGCAAATGGATTTGCAGGGAACCTACTTTCTGCTCAGCCTAAACATTTAGAATTAATCATAAATGAAAATACGTTAATTCTTTATCAAAATATTATAAGAATTACTGAAATTCATTATCTATGACTTTTCTTCATTTTTACATATGGGTATTGTTATATTTCATAAACTTAATTGAAAGAATATTCTGAAAATGAAATGAAGTATGTTCAACTATGACAGTTATTTTTGTCCCTAGACTGAAATGGAGAAACTGGGATTTGCCATAAATGAATCTGATACTATTTCTACCCAGGATCAACATGTACTATTTGGGAAATTTGCTCAAATAATACAAGAAAAAGAGGTAGAAATTGACCAATTGAATGATCAGATTACAAAACTTCAACAACAACTTAAATTTAAAACAGATAACAAGGTATATTCATTTAAAATTGGTTTTTATCCAGCTATTATAATATAGAATTTTAAGACAAAGTGCTAACAATTTTCATGTCCTTGCTGAACTTAAAAAACAAATCTTAATTCTCTTTTACTTTTTAACTTTAACTTATGACCTATTGGCTTATTAACAAGCTATGGGTACTTTTGTTCCCTCCTAATTTTTTTTATTTTTTTATTGTCAAGGTGATGTACAGAGAGGTTACAGTTACATACATAAGGTAGTGACCCTTCTAATATTAAAAAGCATCTTTTAAAGATTATAAGAAGCCAGGTGCTGGTGGCTCATGCCTATAATCCTAGATCTCAGAAAGCTGAGATCTGAGGATTGCAGTACAAAGCCAGCCCAGACAGCAAAGTCCATGAGACTCTTATCTCCAATAAACTACTAGAAAAACAGGAAGTGGTGCTGTGGCTCAAGCGGTAGAGTGCTTGCCTTGAGCTGAAGAACTGAGGGACAACGCCCAGGCCCAGAGTTCAAACCCCACAACTGACAAAAACAAAAAGATTTCAAGAAAACTCTTGTCTCATTTCATCATATCATTCTAACTATAAAATAAATTGGATATGGTAATTACCTATGAGTGCCATTTGTTGTAGATATTTCACTACTTTCTCCTTTTCAAAAGAATATAATGTTATTGACTATTTTCTTCATAGGAAATAAACTACTAAAAGTATAAACCACTCAGATCTTCCAGAATAACATTCTAAATAAGGTCCTTGTTTTACATGATAGAGGAGATGGTGCTGTATATTGAAATATGTCTCAGTAGTGCATTGAGTTTATATATGATCATCTCTTTTAAAATCTTGATCTTAATAGAGCTTCCAAAATATTGAACACATATTTATTATGTTTCCTTTTTTCATTAACTAATAGGTCATTGAAGAAAAAAATGAAGTAATAAGGGATCTAGAAACACAAATAGAATGTTTGGTAAGTGATCAAGAATGTGTGAAGAAAAACAAAGAAGAAGAAATAGAGCAACTTAATGAAGTGATTGGAACACTTCAACAGGAATTGACAAATATTTCACAGAAGCCATCTGTGGATACTAATTCTTTTCCAGAAGAATCTGATAGTTTAAAACATCAGTTGGATAAGCTTATAGCTGAAAAAATGGCTTTAGAACAGCAAGTAGAAATCACTAATGAAGAAATGGCCTTCACAAAAAATGTTCTTAAGGAAACCAATTTTAAAATGAACCAGCTAACACAAGAATTGTGCAATTTAAAGAGAGAACATGAGAAAAATAAGGAGAAGATCCAAAGTGAACCTGAGAAAAGTGTTAACATTGCTATGGATGATCTTAGTAATGACAAACCTGAACTGGAAAGAGTCCTTACTGAGAATGCTCTTAAACCCCTAGAAAGCACCAAGGTTTCCAGGAGAAATTTAGAAACAAAGGTGCTACAACTTGAGAGCTCTGTTAGTACAAAGGACTTAGAACTTACCCAATGTTATAAACAAATAAAAGACATGCAAGAGCATGACCAATCTGAAACCAAAGCACTTCAAACAAAGATTATAAACCTACAGAAAATACTTGAGGAAAAAGTAGCTGCTGCTCTTGTTAGTCAAATCCAACTTGAGGCAATTCAGGAATATGTGAAATCCTATCAAGATAAAGAAACAGTTTCATCAGAGTCTGAGAGGATAAATATGCAGAATTTAAGTCAACTAACAGAAAACAAGATGGAATATGATGTGTCTGCATTAACCTTGAGAATATCAGAGTTAGAAAGCCAGGTATTTGAAATGCACACTAGCTTGATCTCAGAAAAAGAACAAGTAGAAATTGCAGAGAAAAATGCTTTGGATAAAGAAAAGAAACTGCTAGAACTACAGAAGATATTGGAAGACAGTAAGAAAAGGCAGGAAGGGAAAGAAGAGAAAGGAAACCCTCAAAAAGGTTTTGAAGTTCTCAAGGTTAGTTTTATATGACATTTGTCATTAACTAAAACTAAATTTAATAGAATTTATCTAAAGTGTGTTTTACGAATTGTGCTGCTTTCAGACCCAGAAGAAGTTTAGAACATTTACAACAGTCGGCAGTATTTCCCCACCCTTTGATTGGTCATGGGGCCTGAACTCTGGACCTGGGAGCTGTCCCTCAGCTCTTAAGCTCAAGGCTAGCGCTCTACCACTTGAGCCACAGTGCCACTTCTGGCTTTTTTCTTTTTCTGCTTATATGGTGCTGAGGAAGCAAACCCAGGGCCTCATGCATGCAAGGCAAGCACTCTACCACTGAGCTACCTTCCCAGCCCTAGTTGGCAGTATTTATACTCAATTATAATACTTTACTTAATGTGTTGTAAGTACTTTACTGTCTACAATACTTTTTCTGTACTTATTCTTAATAATGTATGGAAATAGTTTAATTGGTTATAGAAAGACTTTTGTTGGGTATGATCTGATCAGCTGGTTGTCTGTGATTGGCTGAAATTTGTTGTTTATTATACTCCTAAACTCAATTTTGTTTGTTTACAAAGCTGTTAGGTTAAATTAGGTTCCAGTTCCATACACAGCAAACAGTCTAAATTTAACATTCTAAAATCTTTATGTACAGCAGTCTAAATTTAACATTCTAAAATCATTGTTATCACTGAAATAATAGATCAGAGTAGTCAATCAATCAGAGTAGTCAATTAATTACAGTAGTCAGAAGTGAAGCTGTGGTCCAGCTGGTAAAGCACCAGCCTTGAGCAAAAAAGCTAAGAGACAGTGCCTATGCCCTGAGTTCAACCTTAGGTACTGGCACACACACACAAAAAAAAGATTAGCAATGTCCTCTAGAACTTAAGTAAAGTTTTTTCCTCCAAAACTTCTTTCTAGTACATGTATCATGTCATCATTTCTTCTAATTCTCCCAAATTAATGTGTGACAGGTAAGTATATTCTAAAAATATTATACTTGATCATAGATTTTGCCCTTATGAAAATATTGTTTGACCTCTGTATGTCTACTTAAATAAATATCTAAAATTGTAGTTGCCTCTTAGTGTATAACAGATATGACAAAAACTTTTTTCATTAGTTTGTCACTTTAAATTTACAATTAGGACTAGTAAAAGTATAACCTTATCTGAATACCAGGAAATTAATTGGTGTATCAGGATTTTATAATTTATATTGCAAATAATAATTCCACACTTACTATATTGTCCCCTAGCTCATTATAAGTAATTAATGTGAAATATTAATATGACTTCCTATAAGAAGTATCACAGTTATATCTGCTATACTTTAAGGAAAGGGAAGGGAATATAGAAACTCTTTAGAATGATAACAAAAATATCTTAATTGTATATATTTTACATATTTACATGATTTACCTTTATTCACAGAAAACCTTTTTCTTACTCTCTTAAGAATCTAAAGTGGGGCTTGGAAGGTGGATCAGTGGTAGAGCGCTTGCCTTGCATGCTCAAGGCCCTGGGTTTGATTCCTCAGCACCACATAAGCAAAAAGAAAAAAGCCAAAAATGGTGCTGTGGCTCAAGTGGTAGAGCACTAGCCTTGAGCTGAAGAGCTGAGGGACAGCACCCAGGCCCAGAGTTCAGGCCCCACAACCAGACCCAAAAAAAAAAAAAAATAGAATCTAAAGTGATTCCAAAACATTTCCTTATTTGTTGAGAGAGGACCTCTTCTATCTGTAGCCTGTCATTCCTGAAAAAGCTTTATTAGAAAGCATAAGAACCTTAAAGTTGACTATAGTTTTTAACTGTTTCTCTTATTTTCTATTGTAATTCAGACAACTACTGAGCTAATTCATACCAGTGGAGAAAGTAGATTTTTTGGTGACCTTGAGGCTCATAGAGCCCAGTCAGTGGCTATCCAAGACCTTGTCCATTATAAAGAAAAGGCAGAAAAACTTCAAGAAGAGCTTTTGGTAAGATAAGTAACACAGCTGTAATTCTTTTTTATTTTTGTTGTTGTTTTTTTTACAGCTGTAATTCTTTTTCAGTGTATTCTGTAAAATTAAACCCAAATCCATAACTTGAGTGCTAGAAAATAGTCTTGTAGACCTCATGATAAATTCTTTTGTTACAAGTTTATCGCCCTCTCTGTGGTTGGTTTTCCTAGGAATCTTTGTCTCTTCATCTCAGCCTAATCAGACATACAGAAGAAAGATAATTATTGAGGAGAAACATAAGTCTAATGAGAACCAAAACAAAAATAAAAATATTTCACTTTCTATAGCAATCCATGACTACTATACTGATACATAACTGTGAAGGCTTCTAAGAATTTTTTATTCTGAGGCAAATGAACAATAAATATGAATTGTACTTTCTCACTTTCCTACCCAAACTTCTACATTGTGTGAAAATTTTAACTGAATTCTATTCCTTATGTTTTTAGGTAAAAGAAATTAATATCGCATCTCTTCAGAAAGATTTAAGCCAAGTAAGGGATGAACTCACACAGGCAGAAGAGAAATTATCCCGCTTAGAAAAAGAAGATGAGTCCAAGGTACAAGAAAATAGAAAGATCTGCATATTAGAGCCACTTCCCACTATAATGGGTAAATGTTCTGCATCCCAGACAGAGGGAAATCTCAAGGTCAGCAGCAGCAATCAGACACCACAAATTCTTGTTAGAAATGCAGGAATTCAAATTGATTTACAAAACGAATGTTCATCAGAAGAAGTTACAGAAATAATCCATCAGTTTACTGAGAAAATTGAGCAGATGCAAGAACTACATGCTGCTGAAATTTTGGATATGGAATCCAGACATATTTCAGAAACAGAAACTTTGAAGAGGGAGCATTATGTTGCTGTTCAGTTACTGACAGAGGAATGTGGCACCTTGAAAGCTGTGATACAGTGTCTGAGATCCAAAGAGGTATTTGGTTTTAATAAAATAGTTTTTTCCAACACTCCATGATATTTCCTTTGATATTTCCATAACATTTCTCTGTTTTCAAGAAAAAAATTTAAACATAAAAGAAATGTCTTTCATGATACATTGTAATTTTAAATCTTCCCCTTGTATAGAATTAGAAAATAAAGTTTCTAGCTGGGCACCGGTGGCTCGCGCCTGTAATCCTAGCTACTCAGGAGGCTGAGATCTAAGGATCCCAGTTCGAAGCCAGCCCAGGCAGGAAAGTCTGTGAGACTCTTATCTCCAATAAACCACTAGAAAACCAGAAGTGGTGCTGTGAGCGCTCGCCTTGAACTGAAGAGTGCAGGGACAGCACCAAAGCCCATAGTTCAAGCCCCACAACCGACCAAAAAAAAAAAAAAGAAAAAGTTTCTATGGTCTTAGAACCTTTGGATTCTTTAATTCATAATTGTCTCTCCTCAGAGTGATATCCATGAGGAAAAAGTTATATAGACATAAACTATAGATAGTTTTATTAATAATACAAATTGAAATATTAGATTGATTTAACTCTCAGAATACAGCAGAGCAATTCATAGGGTCTTACTAAGGAAGAAAATATTTAATTTTTGTTGTTTTCTCTAAATAGGTATCTTCAGTTCCTGAATTAATGTATTCTAAAGCTTACCAAACTAGAGAAATATGTTCCAGTGGTAAGATATGTAAATTTCTGTAATATTTATAGTGTTTACAGTGTTTATAATGTTTACAGTGTTATAGTTGATGGGTGATTGAGGGGTGCTATTAACTACATTTAGTTGTTTTTCTCATTTTTAGATTCTGGATCAGACTGGGGTCAGGGAATTTATCTTGCACAGAGTCAAGGGTTTGATGCAACATCAGAAGGTCAAGGAGAAGAAGGTGAAAGTTCAACAGATTCATTTCCAAAGAAAATAAAGGTACTAAAAGATAAAGATCCCTTAGGAAATTTAGCCAGTACCGTATTTATTTGAAGTTACATGGTAGAATTCTCCCTTAAGAGAGAATTGAATAGCCACACAGGGTTTTTGGGTCCTGTGCATTTTATTCTCTTATTTCACAAATAATAAAGTGAAATATGATCAGTGATGATTTGTATGAGGATCCTTTTTTTCTCTACCACTTGAGCCACATGCCACTTTTAGCTCATTCTGAGTCATTTATTAAAGATAAAAGTCACGAACTGGCTTCTTCAAACCACAATCCTCAAATCTCAGCCTCTTGACTAGGATTATAGGCATGAGCTACCAGCAATGAGATTCAAGATCTTTTTTAAATAACTTTATTCTCAATTTTGCTTGCCAAAATTACTAAATTCATCTTAAGGAATAGAAGTTACTTTATTTGGGTCTAATCATTAAATCTAGGAAGAGTATGTTAACTAAATAAAAAGAAGAAATTTGATGATGAGAGTTATGAAAAGTCATGGAGGGGCTGTTGGGATTGTCTTATTACTCCATAAAAAACAAGTGTTCAGTAAAATTGGAATGGAATTTCCTGTGGTTTTTATTAATCAGTCTAGCTTGATAAAGCTACTTTGCTTAAAATATATTTACCTTGTATGTCTAACTTTGAAGAAGTCAAAATTTTGCTTCTGGATTTTGATTTTTAGGGATTACTAAGAGCTGTCCACAATGAGGGCATGCAGGTGCTTTCTCTAACGGAGTCACCTTATGGTGATGGAGAGGACCATTCTGTTCAGCAAGTGCCAGAATCTTGGCTAGAAGAGAGAACAACTTACCTCAACACCATCTCATCTCTTAAGGATTTAATTACCAAAATGCAAGTGCAAAGAGAAGCTGAGGTATTCAAACAGGATTATGCTTCTAAATAGGTTTTTTAAATTTTTCTTGTAAAAGTGATATACAGAGAGGTCACAGTTACGTAACCCCAAGGTGTATATTTCATTTCCAACATAGGATCTAGTGACTATCACTGCTGAATTGGTTCATCCTTTGTCCTACCATTTCTGTGCTTCCCTTTCCCCTCCTCAAATCAGATAAACTTATGTAGAAGATAAAGGGTACAAAAATTAAAAAAAAAAAAAAAAACAGGACAAAAGGGAATAAACCAAAATTTTTTTTAAGAAAGAAATATCAAACTGCAATCAGTACAGTAAAAAATCTCTTGTTTCTCAGAATTCATTTTGATAAGCATCATTTTATATGACCATCTGCACATAGCTATTGAGCTCTGTGATCCTCTCCTAATAATATCCTCCTTTGATCTCACTGTGAATGTTTAGAGTGCTGTTTAATTAATCATGTCCAAGTGTAATTATTTGTCTTTTACTATCCTTTGGGTTTACTTGTAGATTTATAGACACATTCTAATTATTACAAATAAGTGAAAATATGTAGCCTAAGTTTCTTTGGGTCTCTCTTTCTTTAGTATAATAGGGCAGTGTCATTCTTTCTGATGGAAGCATAGAATTCCATTGTGTATATATGCCACATTTTCTTGATCTACTCGTCCACTGACAGGCATCTGGGTTGATTCCATATCTTAGCTATGGTAAAGAGTGCTGCAGTGAGCATGGTTGTGCTGGTAGCTTTACTGGGGCCTGGTTTGTGGTCATTTGGATAAATGCCCAGGAGTAGAATTGCTAGGGCATCGAGAAGCTCTATGTTTAGTCTTTTGGGTAACCTACATACTGCATTCCAGAGTAGTTGAACAAGTTTTCATTCCCACCAACAGTATACTAGCATTCCCTGTTGGCCACATCCCACCAGAATCTGTTATTGTTAGTTTTTTTTGATAATCGTTATTCTAACTGGGGTGAGGTAGACTCTTAAAGTTGTTTTGATTTGTATTTCTTTTATAGCCAGAGATGTTGAGCACCTCTCCATCTGTCTATTGGCCGTTCTTATTTCTTCTGAGAAGTCTCTTAAGTTTTTAGCCCAATTTTAAATGGGGTTGTTGTTTCTTGAAGATTTGCTTTTGAAGTTTTAATTTTTTTAGCTCTTTGTATATTTTAGATTGAAACCCTTGGCTGATGCTTAGCTAGTAATTATCTCCTATTCTGTGGGCTTTGTATTTTTCTTGCTAGCTATGTCCTTTGTAAAAACTCTTCAGTTTGATACAATCCCATTTATCTAGTCTTTCTTTGATTTGTTGTGATTCTGGATCTTTACTTAGGAAGTTTTTATCTCTTCCAAGGAGCCCTAGTGTTTCCCCTATCACTTCCTGTAATATTTTCAGGGTATCTTGTCTTACATTGAGGTCTTTGATCCATTTGGAATTGATTCTGCTGCAGAGTGATATATAAAGATCTAACCAGTTTTCTGCACGTTGTGTAGCCAATTCTACCAGCACATTTGTTGAAGAGGCTCTTTTTTCTATCCTGTATTTGGCTCCCCTATCAAAGATTATGTATGTGGCTATAGGTCTGTGGGTTCACTTCTGGGTCTTCTATTTCATTGATTCTCAAGCTTGTTCTTTTGCCAGTACCAAGTTGTTTTTATTACTACGGCTTTGTAATAGAGTTTGAAGCTTGGTGTTGATATTTTTTTCAGCACTGTTTTTCCTGCTAAGGATTGTTTTCAATATTTGGAGTCTTCCACTACTCCATATTGAGTTTTGGATTGCTTCTTCATAGATTACTGAAGAATGTTATTGGGATTTTGATGGATTTTTGCATTGAATTTATACATAGCTTTGGGCAGTATTGTCATTTTCCTGATGTTAATCCTCCCAATCCAGGAGCATGGGAGATTTTCCTATTTCCCTAAATCTACTTTAATTTTCTTCACATCTTTGTTAATTTAATTTGTAAGTTGCTGTTTTTTTCTTTCTTTTCTTTTTTTGAGGCTATTACAAATGGAGTTGCTTTCTTAATTTCAGTCTTGTTCTTCTCATTGTTGGCATAGAGAAAAGCTACTGCTTTTTGTGAGTTAATTGTATACCCTGCTATTTTGCCAAAGTTTCAAATCAGCTCAAGTAACTTGGAAGAGTCTAAGGGGTTCCTTAAATACAGGATCATGTCAGTTTTACTTCTTCTTTCCCTATTTGGATCCCCTTTATGTTTGTCTTTTGCCTTATTGCTCTAGCTAGGAATTCCAGTACTCTATTGAAATGAAGAGAGCAGACATCCTTATCTTGTTCCTGATTTTAGAGGAAATGGTTTTAACTTTTCACCATTAAGTATAATGATGGCTGTAGGTTTGTCAGGTACAGCCTTTATTATATTGAAGAAAGCTCCATGGATTGCTATCTTCTTTAGAGCTTTCATCATAAAAGGGTGTTGGATCTTGTCAAATGCTGCTTCTGCATCTATTGAGATGATCTGGTTCTTGTCCTTGCTCCCATTGATCTGTTAAATTACATTAATTGACTTGCATATATATTTTTTGGGGGGGGGTTGGTCATGGGGCTTGAACTCTGGGCCTGGGCGCTGTCCCTCAGCTCTTCAGCTCAAGGCGAGAGCTCTACCACTTGAGCCACAGCGCCACTTCCGACTTGCATATATTGAACCAGATTTGCATCCCTGGAATAAATACCATTTTAATTTTTTTGGTTAGTGGTTGAATTTGATTGGCCAGAATTTTATTGAGAAGTTTTACATCGATGTTCATCAAAGAGATGGCTCTGTAGTTCTCTTTCTTTGATGGGTCCCTGTCTGGTTTGGGGATGAGTGTTATACTGTTTCATAGAATGAATTGGAAGTGATCTTTTGCTTTCAATTTGATAGAATAGTTTGAGGAGTGTTGGGGTGAGTTCTCCTTTGAAGGCCTTATAGAATTTAGCTGTGAATCTGGTCCTGGGCTTTTCCTGTATGGCGGGTCTTTTATTGCCATTTCTATTTCATTATTTGCTGTGGGTTTATTTAGTTGGTTTATATCTTCTTGGTTCAGTTTGGGTATATCAGCATTTGTTAGGAATTCTTGGTATTTCTTCAGGTTCTTCAATTTGTTAGCAGAAAGGTTTGCAAAATATTCCTTATAATGTTCTGGTTCTTTCTTGTTTCTGTCGTGATGTTCCCATTTTCTCCCAAATTTTATTTGGGGGGTGTTCTCTTCTTTTTTGGTCAGATTTGCTAAGGGTCTGTTAATCTTTTCAAAGAATCAATTATTTGTTTTGTTGATTCTTCTTTTGATTTTTTGGTTTCTAATTCATTTATTCCTGATTTAATTTTGATTCTTTGTTTCTATCTACTTGTTTGGAGTTCAACTTGTTCCTCTTTCTCAAGGAGTTTAAGGTGCATCATTAAATTGGCCGCTGATGGCTCATGCCTGTAATCCTAGCTACTCAGAGATTGAGGCCTGAGAATCATGGTTCAAAGCCATCACACGCAGGAAAGTCCATGGAGCTCTTATCTCCAATTAACCAACCGAAAACCAGAAGAGTTGCTATGGCTCAAAGTGGTAGAGAGTGCTAATCTTGAGCAGAAAAACTCAGGGGCAGCTATTTTTTATGGTTGTTTTTGTTCAATTCCATAAACATTTCAATTTCTGTTCTGATCTCTTCAGTGACCACACTTGTTATTCAATAATGTGTTGTTCAGTCTTCATGAGTTACAGAATTTTCTATGATGGGTTTTAGTGTTGACCTTTAATTTTATTCTTTTGGTCTATATATAGGGAATAGTTTCAATATTTCTAAATTTGTACAGACTTTTTTTTTTTTTTGGTCGGTTGTGGGGCTTTAACTGTGTGCCTGGGCACTGTCCCTCAGATCTTCAGCTCAAGGCTTGCGCTCTACCACTTGATCCACAGTGCAGCTTCTCGTTTTTTTGGTGGTTAATTGGAGATAAGAGTCTCATGGACTTTCCTGCCTCGGCTGGCTTTGAGCCATGATCCTCAGATCTCAGCATCCTTAGTAGCTAGGATTATAGGCATGAGCCACCAGCATCCAGCTTGTACAACTTTCTTTGTGGCCTCAAGTATGATCTATTTTGGAAAGTGTTTCATGTGCTGCTGAGAAGAATGTATATTCTCATGCTGCTGGGTGAAATATTCTGTAGATGTCTGTTAAGTCTAGTTGATGGATGTAATTATTTCTGAAGTTTCTCTGTTGAGTTTTTTTGCTGGGATGATCTATCCAGAGGCGACAGTGATGTGTTTAAGTCACCAACAATCAGTGTGTTTGGATTTATGTGTGTTTTTACATTAAGTAGTATTTGATAAAGTTGAGTGCTCCAGCATTTGATATGTAGATACTTAAAATTGTTATATCCTCCTGTAGGAAAGATCCTTTTATTAGTATGTAATGTCCTTCTTTGTCTCTTCTCGCTAATCCTAATTTGAGGTCTTAGTTTTATTTTAATAATAATAATTCACTTTGTATGTGTTCCGTTAGTGTTACTATTTATGTTTTCAAACTAGAAATACATATATTCTCAGGCTTTAAAATTTTATTTTAGTCAGTAGATTAATATTTTTACAATGTTTTTTAACTATGCTTATTTGAAAACTAACTTTTACATTTTGTATTCTGCTAGGTTTATGATAGTTCTCAGTCTCCAGAGAGCCTCTCAGATTGGCGGGGTGAACTTCTACTTGCCCTTCAACATATTTTCTTAAAGGAACGCAGTTGTTTACTAGCCACATTTCAAACTGAACTGACTGCTTTAGGTACTAGAGATGTAGGTGGATTATTAAACTGTTTGGAACGCAGACTACAAGAACAGGTATCAAAACAAAACTTTATTTTAAAAAATATTTTTAAAAAGTAAGAAAATGAATTACTGAATCATTCAAGTATTAAGCATAATTTGAACAAGGACTACTAATGATACTTACAAGAAAAAAAATTATCTTACATATCTTATGGTAGACAGTAAGAAAGAAAATGAATGAGCTGTTCATCAAACTTGGGAAATTTATTTTAAAAAAGAACAGACTAAAACCAAAGAAGAAGAGATAAGATAATCATTTCTCATTGTTCCCATTAATTATGTTTTGTGAAATTGCCAGCAGCCATTGCTCCTAGTGGAAATACTCAAGTTTCTGTAACCCTCTATTACATTTTTATGTTAGAACACAATCTTGCTTTCTGTGCAGTTGTATTAGACTTTGTGTGTCTATAACAAAATATCTAACACAAACAACTTTAGACAATAAAATTTGTTTCAGCTTGTAATTTCAGAGGTCTCAAGTCTGTAATCTTTAGCTTTGTTGATGGTGAGTGGTGAGCTACAAAATTGGAATCTATGAATAATGAATGTGGAAGTTCTTTGAAAATGATAACAATTTCTGGAGAACTGTTTTAAGAAAAATGACACATTACAATGTTAAAACATTAGCTTAAGATAGAATATTGTGAATAATTTCCTTTGCATTTTGAAGCATGGATGAAATAAACAGATTCAGTAACAAACAGAAAACCTAAAACGACCTGTGTCTGGTGATAGAGTCTACACCATAGTTAAGTTTACTCACAATTCTTAGTGCATGGGTCTAAATTTTAAATACATTCTCTGTTAAAATAATAAGGTTCTGTGGACAACTTGGGGTTCCAGGGCTGCAGCAAGGAAGGTACTAAATAGATGAATCTGGAGTATCTTGTTAAGGCCAAATTTGAAAATACAAGCATCAAACACAATGATATTGACAGATTGTAAAACTGAGTAGAACAGTGAGTTCATATTGATAGGAATGGATATGTAAAAAGTATGACAGTGGAATGACCTTTATTAATGTAGAAGGGTTGATAGAATTAGCAAATCACCCTTCATTAAACCTGATCTATTCAAGCAATAATTAGCAATGGATGCTAAAAATTAGTAGGAGAAAGTTGTTAAAATAACATTTGTATAGTTTTGTAGTTCATTTTGTACACTGAATATAATGACTGTAGGGGGAATATGAGAGAGAAAGATAGAAGAGATGACACTGACCAAGAAACATTCTTGAGTACCTAGAAGTACTCATAACCTAACAAGGAATTCTAATCTCTTTGTACAACTATTTAATAGTAAAAGAATGTTTGGACAATACCAAAGTAAACATCTAGAAGGACTTCTGTAATTACAAAGAGAAAAGCAATAACTTCATAGTGGAGAGACATTGCAAACAACCACAAGACCCAAACAATCAGTTAATATTACTAGCAATGAAAACATGCATGCATGTTTTCACATTTATTCTTATCTGAAGATGCACATCACTTTTGTAATACTTCCGTTAAATGTATTACCAGAATCCACTCTTGAGAACAAGTCACACCACTATACAACTATAAGAGTAATGAAGATGAGGGCTGGGAAGGTGGCTCAGTTGTAGAGCGCTTGCCTTGCATGCATGAGGCCCTGGGTTCCATTCCTCAGCACCACATAAGCAAAAAGAAAAAAGCCAGAAGTGGCATTGTGGCTCAAGTGGTAGAGCGCTAGCCTTGAGCTGAAGAGCTGAGGGACAGCGCCCAGGCCCAGAATTCAGGCCCCACGACCGGACCCAAAAAAAAAAAAAAACAAGAAGAATGAAGATGAAAAAAATAATAATAATACAAAAACCTTACTCAGATTTTACTAAATGCTAAAGCAAAAAGAAAGTGATATTAAGTTTTTGTGACTTATTAATTGAAGAATACTGATTAGGCATTTTGCTGTATGTCCTTTGATTTTAGGAGGTATTTTGTTAATTTTTTTGGTAGTTATTATTGCAGTTAATAGAATTTTCTTGCTTTTACGAAGTACACAGCAGTATACAGAGATGAAGGAGCATCTGTCTAAACCATATCTGCACACATTGTGGGACAAAAAAAAATTACTGACATGTCTTCCAAAGGCCATTCCATTCACTCTTCAGAGTTTATGGTTGCTAATTTTATTCTTGTTGTCTCTTTACAACTCTCTTCATTAGTTTTTTTCATTTTCCATTTTCCTTTGTTACAGGGCATTGAATATCAAGCAGCTATTGATTATCTACAAAAAGCAGATAGAAGGAGTTTGTTATCTGAAATTCAAGCACTGCGTGCTCAAATTAATGGTAGGATGATCCTGAAAAGAGACCAAGAGAGTGATAAACCAAGCCAAGGTATGTTAAATGGTATTTTCAGCTTAATGCCATTATTAGTCAGTTAAAACATTTCTTCGCATTTTCTTCTCATTTTCTTTATGCTGAGTAGATAATTTATCATTATTACTGTAGGGTTGGCAGCTATATTGAACTTAAAATGTGTAGGCTTACATTCAGGTTAAGACTGTTCTTCATGTTTGTTTTAATTTTTTTCTTATTTATTGTAAAGGTGATGCAGGGAGTTATAGTTACATAAGTAAGATAATGACTACATTTCTTTTTGGACACTGTTACCCCCTCCCTCATTTTCTCCCATTTTCCCCTCCCTGCTCCACCTCCCCCCAAATTGTAAAGTTCATTTCCAACTTAGTGTCTAGTGAGTATAATTGTTGCATTAGTTCATTTTCTGCTCAGCTGTTCTTTGATTCCCTTTTCCTTCTGTGGGCCAGATAAACTTAAATACATGACAAAAGGTACAGCAAACAAAACAGAACAATAAAACAAAAACAAAAGAGAAAGAAAAAAGAACTGCAAACAGTAAACAGTACATTATAGAAACCTTTTGTTTCCAGTTATGTGTTTGTCTTAAAGCTGTATGATAAGAAGACAGTCTTTCCTACTCTTTTTGTGAACAACTATCCAAAAAAAAGAAAATCCACAATTTTTAAATAGTTTGTTTACAAAATTGGGAGCAACCATACATATTTCAAAAAGTACAAAATTCAAATACACATTATGACAAGCTTATTAAATGAATATTAAGTTATCTGAGTGCTGGTGACTTACACCTGTATTCCTATCATCTCAGTTTTGTTTTATATAATGGTAGAAACACATTTTTTCCAATTTTGACGTCACATTCTAGGCTTGCACATTCATTTTAAAGCTGAATCAAGTTTAAATTACTTTTGGAAAAGCAGATATGAGATAAGCTTACCCCTTTAAGCACAGGTTTAATTAAAAATTGCTTTGAAGATAACTATTAATATCTTATCTAACTTAAATAGAAGTTCATTGAAAACATGATTTCAAAATTAGGAACTACTATACATACAGAAAAGTATAAAATTTAAATACACATTATAACAAGTTTATTAAATGAGTATTATGTTAGCTGGGCACTGGTGATTCACACCTGTAATCCTATACTCTCAGGAGGCTGAGATCTGAGGATCAGAGTTCAAAGCCAGTCCAAGCAGGAAAGTCTATGAGACTCTTATCTCTGATTAACCACTCAAAAACTGGAAGTGGAACTGTACTAGCTGTGAGCAGAACAGCTCACGGACAGTGCCCATGCCCTGAGTTCAAGCCCCACAACTAACAACAACAAAAATTACATATATGTATAGTGTCAGCATCAATGTGTAGAAGAACATTCCCCAAATCCTAAAAGGCCCCTCATATGCTACTCGGTAGTAACTTATAAGTAACCATTATTTCAGCTAGGTGCCAGTGACTCTTCAAGATATTGAGACCTGGAGGTTGCAGTTCAAAGCCAGCCAATGCACAAAAGTCTGTGAGACTCCAATCTCCATTTAACCAGCAAAATGATGGACTAGAGGCATAGCTTATATGGCAGAGTGCCAGCCATGAACATGAAAACTGAGCCAGAATGAGGCTTGTATATACACACACATGCAACCAATGTATATATTTGTATGCCAATATAAATATACCATTTTATATATTTCTAAATCTACATGTTTGAAGTTTGCCTAATTTTGAACTTTATCAATCTGTACAAATTTTATGTCTTACTATAACAATCTTCCAAGTTACTTCATTTATCAGTAGTTCACTTTGTTATTCTATTGATTTCCTTTGTGTTGATAGTGCATGATTTATATATAAATTTATATGTAGTTAAACAGTTGGACTGTTGATATAGTTGTCAGCTATTGCAATGCTGATATTAAAATTGTTTGCTATGTTTCTATTACACATATACATGTAAGAGTGGAATTTCTGTGTCCAAGGATTCATAGGTTTAAATTTATTAGATTTTGCAAACAGTTATAACAAGCAGTCACATCAATACACTCATTAGCAGTGTGTGAATTCTATTTGCCCATGTCTTTGCCAACAGTATCATTAGAACCTTTGTTTCCAAACTGTTGGTTGTTCTGTGGCTATTAAATATTGTAGGATTTTTTTTTTGGAGGGGGGGGGTGTGTGGGGAGGGCCTTGTGCTTGTTTGTTTATGGTATTGGGCATTGAACTCAGGACTTTTGCAAGTACTCTACCACTTGGATCACACTTCTGATTTTCAGATATCTTTTAATTACTGAAATAAGTCCTTTTTCATTATTACGAGTTAGTTGGATTTTTACTTTTGTGATATGATATACTAACAAGTCTTTTCCCTACTTTTCAGTATAGGCATCTATTTTTTTTTTTTTTTTTTTTTTGGTCGTGGGGCTTGAACTCTGGGCCTGAGCGCTGTCCCTTAGCTCACTCAAGGCTAGCACTCTACCACTTGAGCTATAGGCATCTATTTAAATTGAGCTATAAGTGAAAATCATTAGAGATTAAATGTTCATGGTATCTAGTGAGGACAGTTGCCTACATGTAGCTGTAATAGTTTTGTTTTATACAATGGTAGAAACACATTTTTTCCAATTTTGAAGTCACATTCTAGACTCACATATTCATTTTAAAGCTGAATCAAGTTTAAATTGCTTTTGAAAAAGCAGATATGAAATAAACATACCCCTTTAGATACAGGTTTATTTAAAAATTGTTTTGAAGATAACTATGAATATTTTATCTAACTTAAATAGAAGTTCATTGACTTGTATCATATAGATTAATATTTATATATGTGTAAATCTTTAGCTTTACTCCTATGAAACAGGTTTAAAATCTTAAATTAGCATTGAACATGATTATCATTAGTTCTAATCTCCTTGTAATTCACTGTAATGTGAATTGATGATTTTGATAGAATTTCTAGGTTAAGAAATTGTTTCCTTATTAGAGTACTGTTGTATGTTGGTGATAGAATAGAAAGCCAAAAAAGAGAGCAGAAATCCCACATAGAATTATATAAAGCCTAAAATAATGACTAATGTCCAGGTGACCATGTCCACAGAGCTTTTCAGTGTTGTGCCAATGTATGTAAGCATATATTGTTCATAAACAAACTCAGTGCATATTTGGAACCTTTTATCACAACATTTGAAGATTTAAATTCTTGGATTTATTTTCATAATGATAAACATGTAGCAAGAGTTTGACTGGTTTTGAAAAACTAGGATCCAAACTGGGGGTTAGACTCTACCTTGTGAGATAAAGTTCCTAGGGACCATCTGCAAAGAGAACTGAACAAAAGAAGCCAGAACTGCTTATCGTTGTAGTCACAGCTCTATGGGATACTTCAAGTACTATGTATGGCACTTTTTTTTTTTTTTTTTTTTTGGGTCCGGTCATGGGGCCTGAACTCTGAGCCTGGGCACTGTCCCTCAGCTCTTCAGCTCAAGGCCAGCACTCTACCACTTGAGCCACAGCGCCACTTCCGGCTTTTTTCTTTTTGCTTATGTGGTGCTGAGGAATCGAACCCAGGGCCGCAGGCATGCAAGGCAAGCACTCTACCACTGAGCCACCTTCCCAGCCCTGTGTATGGCACTTTTAAGTGTGAATGTTTAGCATTCTAAATGAGCAAATAAGTACAGAAATCTCTCCTTAGAACATATTATGTACATTTAAAATTTTGCATTTTAAATTTTGCACCATGAATATATTCTGTCAAACTTTTAAACTTACACATTTATAGTTCTCAAATAGCACAAGCACAATGAGCAAAACAAGCATAGTTTATTTGTGTAAATCACCAACTTGAGTGACAATACTCTTCACAGTTGCTTTGCACTAGTATCCTGTTACACATCAATTATTAATAATATAAGGCAAACATTAATTTCTAGATTGTATTTTAACTATTAAACATATTCCCTTCAGAGTTCCTGGAATATAACATGCAGCAGAAGCAGTCTCAAATGCTGGAGATGCAAGTGGAGCTCAGTACTGCGAAGGACAGAGCAACTGAACTGCAGGAACAGCTAAGTTCAGAAAAAGTGGTGGTTGCAGAACTAAAAAGTGAACTTGCACAAACAAAATTGGAGCTAGAAACAACACTCAAGGCACAGCATAAACACCTAAAGGAATTAGAAGCATTCAGGTGCGCCAAATTTTGTAATTACAAAATAAACATGGATTAGGAATTGGAATAGCTTTGTCATAAATATTGTGCAAATAATACAGAAATAAAACAACATTCATGATGTTTAAGTAGCATTAAACCTTGCTGTTTACAAGAAAAACTGATGTAGACAGGGAAACCTCAGATTTTTCTGAATTATAAACTCAATTATTTTGTCATATTGCTTACCATGATTTCAGTTCTACTAAAGAATTGTAGATGTTGTTTTGGCCTGTATTTTACCACCAACTAATTTGAAGTAACCTTCATGATTTCTTTAGAAATAATTCATGGTTTAATTAGCTAAAATAGACTTAAGTGTTTGAAGAGATAATGCTGTAAAAAAAGAGATGTTTTTTGTTAAAAATACTGAGATATTGTTCTTGCCAATGACACATTTCAAGTGCGGTTGTTTTTATTTTGAACATTTATTTCATATGCACAAATTCATGAGACGATTTCCTTAGTAAAAATAGTAAAAAGACAAGGGAAAATATTACTTAGTAGCAATAAATGGTTTAATTGTTTACAATAGCATTATAAGAATTACTGAAAATAATTAATTTGAAATGAACTGCAATCAAGAATCCATCTTTACAAAGTTTATAACATTCTTCATGATATAATATAACATGCTTTAGCTTAATAGCCTAAAACATGCTTCAGCCGTCCACCAGAGGCTCATGCCTATAATCCTGGCTACTCAGGAAGCTTAGATTTGAAGATCACAGTTCAAAGCCAGCCCGGGCATGAAAGTCCGTGACACTCTTATCTCCAATAAACCACTAGAAAACCAGAAAGTGGTGCTGTGGCTCAAGTGGTAGAGTGCTCACCCTATGCTAAAGAGCACAGGGACAGCGTCCAAGCCCAGAATTCAAGCCCATGACTGACCAAACAAGCAAACATGCTTCAGCTTTTCATTGGTAGCTAATTTCTCTCTATAAATATGTACTTAGATCAAAACTTAGATCAAAATCATTTTTCTCTTGATTTAGGCTGGAAGTTAAAGATAAAACAGATGAAGTACACTTGCTTAATGATACTGTGGCAATTGAGCAAAAGAAATCAAGAGAGCTCCAGTGGGCTTTAGAAAAAGAGAAAGCCAAGTTGGGGCATAGTGAAGAGCGTGATAAAGAAGAGCTTGAGGTATTATCATCTTTGGCTTTATGTGTCTCTGGTGTATCTGATCTTCAGAATTTCCCCTGTGTAAATGATAAGCAGGGGGTGCGGGGGGGGGGGGGGGGGAGGGGCGGTTACGTTGCATAAGTAAGACAATAAGTGCATTTATTTTTAATTGTTACCCCTTCCCTCATTATCTCCCACTTACCCCTTCCTATTCCCCCACCCAAGCTGTATTAAGTTTTCACTGTGCATTGACTAGTACTGTAATGTTTATCTAACCTGTTCTGACTTAATGTAAATGACCATAATTTTTTTTTATTTTGCTACATCCAAGAGTGGATGTAGATTCGACCCTGAAATATATTTTGGAGATGTGAGTTAATACACACACCATTTAATAAATAAGACTGTCATGGCATTCTTTAGTGCAGAAGTAGTATGGGTTCCTGTTTTCTCCTAGTGAAGGTGAACAGGAATCTTTTTCTGGTACCTTGTCCAGTATTTTCTAACTGTGGTAATAAATAAAGTGTTGCTAGCATTTTTGTCCCACCTGCCATCCATCCCTCCCTCTCTTTCCTTCCTTCTTTCCTTCCTTTCTTCCTTCTCCTTTTTTCCCTCTTTCCTGTTTATTTAATTTCCACTGTGGTATCCCTGTTTATTTAATTTTCACTGTGGTAAACTCCACATGAGTACATGTTACTGCTATACTACTAGTCTTTTTATTATTAAAATTCTCATATACTTTTAAGTACTCTGTCCCTAACTCTGCCTTCCTCATAAGACCTATTATTTTTAGTTGGTAATACTGCCAAACACAGGTTTTTCAGGAACTCCTATCACTTTATATTAGGAACACATGTATTTTCAACTTTTTGTGATTGTGTGTGTGTGTGTGTTTATGTGTGTGTGTGTGTGTGTGTGTTTATGTGTGTGTTGGTAATGAGGATTAAACTCAGCACCTGGGAATTGTCCCTTAGCTTTTTCTCTCTAGTTTTGGTACTCTACCACTTTAGCCACAGCTCTACCTCTGACATTTGATGGTTAGTTGGAGATAAAATTCTCCTTTCCTGCATGGGCTGGCTTCAAACCATGGTACTCAGATCTCTAGACTACTCAATAGCTAGGATTACAGGCATGAACCACTAGCACACAGGTTTTCTGTGTTATTTTTAATAGTTTCGTGAATGAAACAAAATTTTTTTCTTTGAACAAAAAGGAAGTCACCCTGCAGGATATTGTAGTTGTTTGGTATCTCCATCATATTACTGATGGATAATGTTATTTTCTCATACTTACATGTAAGTACCTAACAGTAAAGATTTGATATGATATTACATTAAAAACTCAATAGGGAACCCTTATTTCACATCCATGTGGCAGGAAAGTGTCTACACTAACTTAGATCCCTTTGTGCTCATAAGTATTTGATTTATAAGAACTAGGTATTTTGAGGATGTAAAGAAATACATAGTAACTCCCAATTTTGATAAAAATGGAAAAGTTTTAATGAAAAAATGAGTTAATATAGGACTCAAATTTAGTTTTTTTCAAATATGGATAGAGGCTCACATACTTGAATGGTCCAATTGTATTTTCTACACTTAAAATCATACTTTAATTGGGAGATAGAATTAAATGAGAACTAAAATATTGTGTTGCCTGAGAAATGTATAGTATTCATCAGTAAAGTAGATCATATCACTTCAGCCTAAAAAAGAGAGTGATTATTAATACTGTGAGAATATAAGAATACTTACTTTTAAAAACTGTTACTAGCAGAAAAGTCCCCTGCTTCATATTTAGCCAGAGAAGGTTAACATTTTAAGAGAAAGATGTTATTTATCTTACCTATTTTTGTTAATATTCATTGATGAAAAATCAGTTAACTATCTAAAGAATTACAGTGTAGCTGGGCACCGATGGATTACACCTATAATCTTAGGTACTCAGGAAGCTGAAATCTAAAGTTCACGGTTCAAAGCCAGCCTTAGCAGGAAAGGCTATGAAACTCTTTATCTCCAATAAACTGCCAGAAAACCAGAAGTGGTGCTGTGGCTCAAGTGGTAGAGCACTAGCCTTGAGCTGAAGAGCTGAATGACAGCGCTCAGGCCCACAGTTCAAGCCCCATGACTGACAAAAATAAAAATAGAATTACAGTCTAACCCCTGAAAATGTAAGTTAACTGAATCACACACTTCCAATTTGGTATTAATAAAGGTATGGTTGTGTACTTATAAAGTATTTTTAAGAATATTAACACAATTTCAATTTTATTTTCTCTTAAAGGATCTGAAATTTTCACTTGAGGATCAGAAAAAGAGAAATATTCAGTTAAATATTCTTTTAGAACAACAGAAACAACTCCTTAGTGAATCACAGCAGAAAATAGAATCACAGAGAATGCTATATGATGCCCAATTATCAGAAGAGCAAGGTCGAAACTTAGAGCTTCAAGTACTTCTAGAGTCTGAGAAAGTTCGAGTTCGGGAAATGAGTAGTGCCCTAGACAGGGAACGGGAGTTACATGCACAGCTGCAAAGCAATGGGGATGGTGGGCAGCCTCGACCATCTTTGCCCACAGAGGACTTACTTAAAGAATTACAGAAACAGCTAGAAGAAAAACAAAATCACATCGTAGAATTATTAAATGAGACTGAAAAATATAAACTAGATTCCTTGCAAACAAGACAGCAAATGGAAAAGGATAGACAGGTTCATAGGAAGACATTGCAGACAGAACAAGATGCCAACACTGAGGGACAGAAAAAAATGCATGAGCTACAATCCAAAGTGGAAGATCTCCAGCGCCAGCTGGAAGAGAAAAGACAGCAAGTTTATAAGTTAGACCTTGAAGGAAAACGACTTCAAGGAATCATGCAGGAATTCCAAAAGCAAGAACTAGAGCGAGAAGAAAAACGAGAAAGTAATAGACGCATTCTTTATCAGAATCTTAATGAGGTAAATTGGCTTTTTCTTTTTAAATATTTTAAAGTTTTTTTTAACTTTAAAACTTTGATCATAAAATTTTGATACTGCATTAAATTATTTAAATATTTCAACTGAAGTTTATAGGACTTTGGAAAATAATTATTCTTTAATAGAGAATATTAAATAATACTCATTTTTTTATTATTGCTGTCTTTTTCTAAATTGCCAGCCAACCACTTGGAGCATAATTAATGATCGAACTAGAAATTGGGTTCTTCAACAGAAAATAGAAGGAGAGACAAAAGAATCAAGCTATCCAAAATTGATTGAAATGAATGGAGGAGAAAGTGGCTATAATCATGAATTAGAAATGATCAGACAGAATCTTCAGCACGTGGATTTGAAACTGCAGCATCTAGCCCAGAAAGCCTCAAATAGGTTAAACATTTTATTTGGTCTTTGAAAATGGCGTTCTTAGACATGCTAGCCAAGAATGGGGAATTTGTATTAAGAGATGATATAAAATTCCTGTATCTGAAAACAAGTAAAACCTTTGACACAGAGAAAGAGAACACTTGGCTTCAGGTTCCAGTGATAAGTGAAATGAGGCGTTGTAGTTTTTAATGTGTGCAATAAATGGTCCTGAAAAGATCTCTGATGTTTTTGTCTTTTTCTTGAAGACTACAGTTTGAAGCAGCAGATGATGAAGCTTTCATTTGGGTTCAAGAAAATATTGATGGAATTCTTTTACAACTACAGAAATTAATTGTCCAGTCAAGTGAAGAGGTAAGACTTTTTTTTAATGTTATTTATTAACAATAGAGAGCAAATTATAAATTAAGAATTGTTTTAGGGCTGGGAATGTGGCTTAGTGGCAGGATGCTTATTTAGCATGCATGAATCCCTGGGTTTGATTCCTCAGTGCTACATAAACAGAAAAAACTCAAGGTGACACTGTGGCTCAAGTGGTAGAGTGCTAGCCTTGAACAAAAGAAGCTCAGAGACAGTGCCCAAACCCTGAGTTCAAGCCTCAGGACTGACTGGCAAAAAAGAAAAAAATTGTTTAAAACTATTGTATATGACTTTTCAAGTATCTGTGTGTATGTATGTCGGTGTGTTGATATGTATGTGTGTATGTGTGTGTGTGTGTATTCCTATTTCCCCAATAAGAGGAAAAGTTTGAGGGGAAATTAACTTTCATTAGTGTTACTGAAAAACTACATTGTCCCCCTCAGAGGAGAGCATCCTACCTTCTATCTTCACACTTCATGGAACTACTCTTCAAGTTCACTGAGTCTTCACTGTTGACTCATCTGATGAATCTTTTCACTCCCTATCTTTCTTGACTATGTAGCATTTGAATTTTTTTTTCTCTTTTTGCCTGTCCTGGGGCCTTTATCACAGGGTTTAGTATGGTCCTTGAACTTTTTTAAAAAAGGCTAGTCTACAGTGATCCTGTTATTTATGTTTCCCACATAGTTGTGCTGACAAGCTATTTACTAGCACACCCAGCTTTACTGGTTGAGATGTGGCTTACAAAGTTTTTGCCAGAGCTGGACCCAAACCATTACCTTCCCTATCTTAGCATCCCAAGTAGCTAGGTATACAAGCATGAGCCAGTAGGCTATTGCCTAATAAAATCCTGTGGTTGTAACTTGTGGTACAGGCTTATATTTTCAGTTTGCTACTAGACATCTTTTGTAGGAAAGTGACTCCTTAAGAACCTAGCAGGCATATTCTAAACTGAGCACCATCTTCCTTTTATCTTTCCTGACGCAGACCCTGTGTGCCCTTGCCTCCCTGTCCTCTGTACTTAGGCATTGCTCCAGGCCTCCAGTGTTTCTTATATGTTCCCTAAGTCACTTTACTTCACACATACTACAAGAGGAATCTTTAGAAACACATATATTTATTTGAGTCATGCTCCTACCTGAAGACTTTCAGGCCCTCCATTATCTTCATTTAAGGCTGTTACATTTTATGAAAATGATGTGACATTTACTGTCTCACCAGCAACTTATAGCAGCATATTCTTGCATAAGCCTCTGTGCCTCCTAAGCACATGTAAATGTGCTCTCTTAGACTTTCTGTGTCCTTTCCTAGCTTCTTTCCTACCTGGAAAATTTCTCCCTATGACTTAACCACGCATAGTTATGTGACCTTATGCCACTATTTTTCCAGCCTAGATTCATGGCCCCCAATACTTCTTGTGGCTCACTGACTGAAAGACTACTGAGACAAAATGCTGAGCTGACAGGACATATCAGCCACCTGACAGAAGAAAAGAATGATTTGAGGAACATGATTATGAAGCTGGAGGAGCAGATCAGGTGTTACCGACAGACAGGAGCTGGGATAGATTATGTACGTTATTTTCACTGGTAGTAAAAAGCTAGTTTTTGCTATCTAGTTTCACTTTTGAAACAATATAAAAATACCAAGTGTCTGACTCTCAGGAAGCTCTATAAATTGTTATAGAAATGACAGAAATAATAATTGCTATTCTTGGGGACCTTCTCTCTTCTCGACTCTGGGTTATATACATACAGAATCTAATCCCCAGTAAGCCTTTCATGCAAGAAACCAAGATCTGTCTCCAGAACAAATGACAGATACATGTAAAGAAACACTCCAATGTGATTCATTGAAAAATGGCTTAAATTATACATTTCACTCTGAGGATTTAAATTTTCCCACTTAAAAAAAACTATAAAATAGTTAGATTCTATTTAAGTGGGAAAGCCCAGTGAGACAACTATGTAATTAAATAAGTTGTAACATGTTTACTAGCTTCCATAGAAATTCTGCTTCTCTGTGTACATTCAGGGTTATTTCTTCTTCATTTCAGGCTCCATATCCTTTTGACTAGATTTGACAAGAGACTTGGTCTGTCAAGTCTCTCATCTTTTTATTCAGTGCTCAACTATATCTGCTAAACTTTCTTTGTCCTTTCTGCAAGGACACAAAGGACATTGAGTGGAAAAGCTAGTCTCTTCAGCAAAGGACTACATACTTAGAGTTTGGGAATATTCTTTCATGTCAGTAGTGATTGGCTCTGAGCTCTCTCTGACTGAGGTTAGAAAGCCAAGAGTAGGTATCCAACATAAGGATACCTTGAGGAGGAGGCTACAATGCTTGATAAGAAATATACTCATTATCTTGCCCATGTAATTGTAACCCCTCTGTACAGTATTTTCACAATAAAAAAAGGATACCTTGAATATGTTTAATTCACATTCTTATATAAATTTTGTTCTTAAAAACCATACATGGCCTAACTGATAAAGTACCTGTCTAGCAAGTGCAGAGGCCTCAGTTCAAACCCCTCAATCAGCCCCACCCCCAAAAAACAAAATTATATAAGTAAGCTGTGGTCTCTCCAGTCTTCCAGGTTTGCATTTGGTGGTAGTGCCAACATTGAAGCCATTGTTGCTTCTGAAAAAGAAGTATGGAACAGAGAAAAATCAGTTCTCCAGAAATCCTTGAAAAGGGCAGAAGCAGAAGTGTGCAAACTGAAAGCTGAACTACGAAATGATACGCTGTTGCAGAATCTGAGCCCTGACTCTGAACATGTTGCGCTAAAGGTAGGAAACCTGTCCATCCCTTTTTGTCTTGTTTCATCTCTCTGTCACTTTAATTGAACAATCTAAAGATACATGCAGGTTCAGGCTGTCTCTATATAGTCTGTGTCATGATTGCAAGGCCTCTCTAGCTATACATAGGAGGTTTGTGTAGAGATGGGCTGGGACTAGATTATGCTCCATTGATTGTCACAGTGCCATCATCCAGAGTTCTCTTGGTCCTGCTTCCCATAGTTCCTCCCCAAAAAAACAGGTGGTATCATTTAACTTTTATCTTTCAACAAAAACACTACTGCCATCCATGTAAGAGCATTGTGCTACTAAAAGACAGGAGTCTTTCTGCCTAGCCTACCCAAATTTTTACCATAATCGGTTCAGCTAAAGTATGACACAAAGAGGTAAAATATTTGGAATTAAATATTCCCTATGCAATATGGAGTAAACAAACATGACTTACAGGAACAAAAATACTAATAAAAAAGCTAAATAGATAAATGAGCATAACAATAAAAGTATCTCTAATAAATATAACTAAAGAAAACTTGTATGCTAATAGGGTAACAAACAACATTTGCATTAAATAAAAATATAGACTAAAATCTGAAATAAATAAAAAGCATAACTATAAGATTGATATTCATACTCATTGACCAAAAGAAGAAAAATACACAGACTAATCCTGTATATTAATTTTCAGCTTTGCTAATAATGTGGACCACCTAGAATTCTACAATATGGGGAAAGAGAAGGAGTGTGTGTGTGTGTGTGTGTGTGTGTGTGTGTGTGTGTGTGTGTGTGTGTGTGTGTGTGTGTGTTTGCTGGTATTTGAACTAAAGACCCTATGTCTTGCTTTGTTTTTTTTACTCAAAGCTGCTGCTCTACTATGTGAGCCATACAGCCACTTATGCAACTGTTTTTAAAGAAGTCTTAAGTAACTTCCCCTCAAGAACAATTTGAATGACTTCTATGTCTTAATGTTCCCCCTCTATTAAATGTAGAGAATTTATGGAAAGTACTTGAGAGCAGAAAGTTTCCGCAAAGCTCTCATTTATCAGAAGAAGTACTTGCTGCTGTTACTGGGTGGGTTCCAGGAATGTGAGGAGGCCACCCTGGCACTGCTTGCCCGCATGGGAGGACAGCCAACCTTCACCGACCTAGAGGTGATCACCAACCGCCCAAAGGGCTTCACCAGGTTTCGTTCTGCTGCCAGAGTGTCCATTGCAATTTCCAGGTAAGTCCTCACAAGAAAACTCATTTTATTAACAGATTCTCTCAATGTAACTTTACATGATTGGAAGATATTAACCATCACTGAAATGTGTGCTTATTTCTCTCTGAGGGTCTCATTCTTTTAGCGTAGTTTCCATTTATTTTTTTTATTTATTTATTTATTTATGTCAGTCCTGGGGTTTGAACACAGGATAGGACTTACATTTAACAGACAAGCGCTCTATACTTGATACCCCAGTCCTTTATGGTTAACTCTTCTCAGAGGTCCTATCTGGTGGTCTGGGTAGCTGGGATTTGAGATATGAACCACCATGCTTGAGTTGTGGATTGTGATAGGGTCTCACTTTTGTTTAAGATAGCCTGAAACCAGGATCTTCCCAACCTCCACCTCCCAAGCAACTGAGATTATAAACATGAGCAACCACCTGCTGTGGTACCAAGGATTCTTTACACTGTACTGTGTAAATCCTCTGAAATGGGACATTCCAAATAACATGCAGCTGGTGACTCAGCTTATATATCCAGCCTGCATTGTCTTTTTTTTGTTATTAAATCCAAAGAAGTCCATGAACTAACTCAAATATATAGTTGAGATCATTAAAGGGAAAGTTTCTGCAAAATTACTCTTTAGGCTACTGTACACTCCATTTTCTTCACTACTGAAATAAGTCACACATAGTACCCACCATAGAAAGCCCTGACCTCACTCTGCATTCAGGTATTAAGCTATAGGGCTTGAGGCTCTGCTGGTGCTGTCACTGCTTCCCTAGTAATCCCAGGCTAGAAACTTGCTCTGGGTTCTCTGTGGTTGAAATGGAGGCCTAGCCCAATGTAGTCTTGGCCTGTCCAGTCTATATACCACACGCCTAGGCTTCCCTCAGGACCCCCTCCCTTGTGGGCCAAAGGAATTTTGCTTTGCAAAAAATGCTATGATCAGATCAGGTTATATCTGATGCTTCATCAGGGACTTTTGCTCTGCTTTTCTTCACTTAGTTTCTTTGAAGTATACGGTACAATTTCTGAACTGGCAGCTGTCTGAAATTACTAGTCCAGATTCTGAGTTCACAGATGAGGAGACTTAGATGGATGAGGTTACAAAGCCAGTAGACCAAGTCCCAAAAGCAATCCTGGGCCAAAAAAAAAAGTAGTTCTGGCAGTATAACAATACAAGACTTAAGGGCTGGGGAGGTGGCTCAGTGGTAGAGCGCTTGCCTTGCATGCATAAGGCCTTGGGTTCGATTCCTCAGCACTACATAAGCAAAACAGAAAAAAAGCCGGAAGTGGCGCTGTGGCTCAAGTGGTAGAGCGCTAACCTTGAGCTGAAGAGCTGAGGGACAGCGCCCAGGCCCAGAGTTCAGGCCCCACGACCGGACCCCCCCAAAAAAATCCAAAAAAAAACAATACAAGACTTAAAACTTTACTACAGAGCTGTAGTAATAAAAATAGGCCTGAGAACCAATGGAACAGAAGACCCAGAAACAAACCCACAGACCTACAGCCACCTAATATTTGACATGCATGATTTCTCTCATTTATGGAAATTAGATCTAATTTATAAATATATGAGTAATTATGTATTAAATCATATGCAAGTGTTCACAAACATATTGACCAAAGTATGGTATTTGCAGAGGTGAATTCAAGTGATGTGAATCCTTAGAGGAACTAACAAGTACTTTCAACAGCAACTGGTACTTGAAAGGTGTGGAGGAGGCCCATGGAAGGTGGGGAGGCAAATGAGGAGAGGAAGTGGGGGAAATGCAGTCACAGTATTCAATGTCTAGCCATGAAGACACTAGGAACATGGAGGGTAGTGAGGTGGGGAGGGATGGGGAAGATGATGAAAGGAGTGATATCAATCCACATGCATTGTTCTTATAAGCTAACATACTGAATGGTCACCCTTTTGTATAACTGCTTTACTTTTTAAATTTTAAGCTAGTAGGGCTAGGTACTGGTGGCTCCTGTAATCCTAGCTACTCAGGAGGCTCAGATCAGAGAACTGAGGTTTGAAACCAGCCATGGGAAAGTCCATGAGACCCTTATCTCCAGTTAACCACCAAAAAATGGAAATGGAGCTGTGGCTCCATTTTATTCAAGCTAGACTTGAATAAAAAAAAAAACTCAGGGACAGTGCCCAGGTCCTGAGTTCAAGACCCAGGAAGCTAGTAGGACCAGCCAATTCTCCAGGTATCACTCACGCCAGTTCTCTAAACCACAGCTCAGGTTTTATCTTAGTGTTAGGTTGTTTACTTTCCTGCCTCTTTCATTCCACATTGTAGTTTCACATTCTCCAGTTGGGTAGGGTAATCAAAGTAAGTGCTGACACATACTCTGATTGACAAAATAGACCTCATACCTGCCTAAAAAACCTTCAGGCGACTCACTTTTTAGAGGAGATAGAAGTAGACTCAAACTTTGAAGACACAAATGCGAGGACACAAGAATTAGTAATTTTGAACAGAGAAATTGAGGCTCCATGAGGTTAAAATGCGCTACTGGAAGACTTCCATTCTATTTTTTTGGCACCCTTATCAAAAATTAGGTGACTGTAAGTGTGCGGGTTCATTTCTGAGTCTTCAGTTCTATTGCATTGGTTCTCAGGTCTGTTCTTCTGCCAGTACAAAGCTATTTGATTACTATGCCTAAAGGACTTTTCTTTTCCACTCACGTGTCTTTCTTTCTCCACTTTTTTCTCCCTTTATTGTCTTCTTTTTTCCCACATTTTCTTTGTTTATCTACTTTTCCCTGTCTCCTTTTTGCCCTAGATGTCTTTAGGCCCCTTTCATCCCTGAAGCTAGAAATTTAGGAGGACAACACTAGATTTGTATTGCCTCTTGGGAAGTGGGTGAGGGGAGCTTTTAGCCTTGTTCTTTTCTTCCAGTTGATTGTTCTGTAAACCACAGGGGCATTTATGTAGTTTAGGTGAAGCAATTGTGATGATGTTGTACTTTGTTCATACTCCATACAATTTATCTTCTATACATGTGCTGCGAAATGTTATGTTGGCATCTTTTTTAGGATGAAATTTTTGGTTCAGCGGTGGCATCGAGTCACGGGTTCGGGTTCCATCAATATTAACAGAGATGGTTTTGGACTGAATCCAGGTGAAATCCAATAGTGTATTTTCTTAGAACTCTCTGAAATCTCTGCATGTATAATAACTTCCAAATATAAATTCTTAAGCCATTGTTATCCAAAACAAGCCAAAGTAACAAGGCTGAAGGCTCATCATTTCAAGAATATCAATAGCCTATTTAAAGGAGCACTTAGTTTGAATTATGCTTTATTCATGTAGTCTCCCAGCACTGTGGTGGACACACAGTAACTCTTATTTCCACTGGTAAGATGAAAAGCTGAGCCAGAGAAAATACATGTCTTTTGCTCCAGATTAGCTATCAGGGAAGTAGTGGAGCCAGACCTAGAGGCTGCCTGCCTCTCGAGCCTCATTCTCCTTACAGTACATTTAAGTATGGTTCAAGAGAGAGTAGTTGTTATTCTAGTGAAAGACTTAAGGGTTGAGGCTTCATAATTTAACAATGTACAGTTTCTGAGTTTACTAATAGGCTACATAATAATGATAAGTTACACTTCCTTCTCTGTGCCCCTAATAGAAAGCATTGTATTTTGAACATTACGGGGGTGAGGCTGAGGTCAAAAGCTGAAGAACACAGAGTTCTCTCTCAGGCACTGTGGACCCACAATATGGCTCTGAGTCCCCTGCAGCTCCCAGGAACTGAGCTGTAGGGAACATTTGCTACCTAAATATAGTCTGAAAGACACTGAAACACCAAGATTTTTGCCACAGGTTTTCTTGTATATTAAAGGTTAACAAATCTTGATTGTAAGGCTTTTTTCCCCCTATAAAGGTCAGAATATAGTGGTAAAAGGACACAATTACATCATATTAATTAATTTTATCCACACCATATTTTGCCTCAAACCCCTCACCTCAGTCTTATAAAGAGGTTTTTTTAAAAAGAAAATTTTCCTATTGCCTTCAAAAGTGAATTCCAAATACCAGAGAGTCATGTTCAGAGAAAAACCCAGTTTGAAAATCTGAAAGGCAGATTATTGTCTACACTATTCCTTTCTTTGAGCAAAATTAATTGAAACTGTTGTAGACCTTTTTACGCATGTTTAATGGTTTCTTTTTATTTTTTACAATGGTATATTTTGTATTACTTTAGGTAATGAAAAGACTGACTCGTTTTATCATTCTGGTGGGCTGGAGCTCTATGGAGAACCAAGACACACAACATACCGGTCAAGATCAGATCTGGACTATCCTAGGTCTCCTTTGCCATTTCAAAATAGGTAAAAATCTCATCAAACCTGCCTGGTGTGTAAATACATTAACATTTGAGTCATACACACCATTAGAGCTTTGACTTCTGTGTATTGCAATAGCTAGACATATTTTACATAACCTAAGATTCAGTGTCATCATTTTTGAGTTTATAAATGGTTTTTAAGGGTTTATGAACAAGTGACCAAGTGTTAGTTAATATATGTTGTGGTTAGGGATTTGGAAAAATATTGACTACTGGCCATTAGGAAGCCATTACAACCCACACAGAGGAAGCATTTCTACTGAGGACCTCTGGCAGCCTTTGCACGAGGCATTCTTATGGTGGCTCAGTGGATATATTGAAGTCTCATTTCTTTGTCCTCTCAAACTTAGAAGCATAGGGAGGGGAGTTTGGAAAGAGAGGGATGGAACTAGGTTGGTAATTTAGTTCCATCAGATCATTTGGATTCATTACATTCTTTTAATCCTTAGGTATCCAGGCACTCCAGCTGATCTAAATCCTGGTTCCCTAGCATGTTCTCAGCTTCAGAATTACGATCCCGACAGAGCCCTGACAGATTATATCACTCGACTAGAAGCGCTGCAAAGAAGACTTGGAACTGTACAGTCAGGTACTATTTTTAACCACTTCAGAGAGCTATACCCAGAGCTTATTTGGTTTTTGAAACTCCTTACTTTCATAGTTTAGGATAATCCAGTCCAATTCAATACACAGTTTACCAAATTAAGTCAAAATTCTGTAAGTAGCCGAGAAACTGACATTAAAAAATTTAAGACATGGTTTATCATCTCTATTGCTGCTTTCTCCAAAGAATGATTCTGTATTATCTTCATTTAGCAAACAGGTTAAATAACATATACCTGGTGCCAGGCATGCTGAAGCTTTGCTCTAGCATGGAAGAAACCTATAAAGGCAGACAAATAAGGGTGTTGAAAAGTAGTTGCCTTAAGCATGTACCTTGTCCCCTCTACCTTACCCTTTTTATGTCATCCAAAAAAAATCCCACTTAAAAACTTTCTAAGAATAATCTTTTATTTCTCCTATGAAAAATACACCTGAAATGTAGAGTCCCTGATCATAGTGAGCAAAGGTCTTTTCCTTATTTCTTTACAATTCCCTCCTGATCCATACTCACCTCAGTTGACATGATTGTGCTTTTCAACTTTTATAATTTGTCTATTAAGGACAGTTTTTTCTACTAAACTCACAAACTGTGGACTAAAAGAAGTTACATTAGTAGCCTTCTAAGAAATTTCTTTCTTTCTTATTTGTTTTTTTGATACCAGCCCTGGGGATTGAAGTTGGTACATGGGCATTTGTCCCTGAGCTTTTTTTTTTTTTTTTTTTCCCTCAAGGCTAACCCTCCACCACTTCACCCACAATTCCACTTTGGCCTTTTGGTAGTTTGTTGGGGATGGAGTCTCATAGACTTTCCTGCCTTGGCTGGCTTTAAACATCAATTTTCAGCCCTCAGCCTCCCGAGTAGCTAAGATTACAGGCATAAGCCACTGGCACTAACCTAAAAAGAGTCCTTTTTTAACCCAATTTGTGGTTTAATTTAAAAGAAAAAAAGAACAATAACTTTGTGTGGTATCTGAATTTCACTTTTTTTGTGTGTACTTGGCTTTTTATTTAAGCAGCTGTGTTGCTTAAGGCAGATTATTCAACACCCAAGATTTCTCAGGACATATGAAACAGAATGCCCACTCTCACCAGCACTTCCTCTATTATCATTTACTGTACTTACCTACTATGGAGCTGGTCATGATAACTTTGAAATAGATGTTCAAAAACATTTACCATGGGCGCCAGTAGCTCACACCTGTAATCCTAGCTACTGAGGAGGCCCAGAGATCTGAGGATCATGGTTCAAAGCCAGCCCGGGCAGGAATGTACATGAGACTCTTATCTCCAGTTAATCATCAGAAAACTGGAAGTCACCATATGGCTCCAGTGCTAGAGTGCTAGCCTTGAGCTGAAGAGTTCAGGGACAGCACCCAGCCGTTCAAGCCCCATGACTACAAGATATTTTAATGAAAAAAGGCTATTTTATTTTCCAGAACTGAGAACTAAACTCAGAGCCTTTCCCTTGGCAGACAAGATCCCAGGCTATTTTTCCATGGAGCATAATAGTAATAGCGGGCCCTATGTGCTAACATAGGTATCATTCTAATTTGCAGTCATTTAAATGTCCTGTTTTTCTCTTGCAGGTTCCACTACACAGTTTCACACTGGCATGAGAAGATAATCGTTTGAAACTTTAATGCTTGACATGTTTTAAACAAATTCCCTTTTGTAAATCAATGGCTCTTTTGTGCTTTTGTATTGTGAATATTCAATGGGACCAATACAAACACAGCTTCTGATTGTAGACAAATCCCTTGCCCAGCCCAGGAAAACAAACTGGAGTTTGTACATACAAGCATTGTGTATGTAGTCATGCACAATAATCATTGTTACATGTATATGTGTGGAATGCTAATTTAAATGATTAAATTATAAACCTGTGTATTTATCAAATGGGTGAACAGATCAAACTTTTGCAAATTACGATACTGCTGAATGTGTAGCTTGCGGTGTCCTGCACTTTTCTTACAAGGCTACTGAAGTTACATGTTTCTGCCTAATAGATTTGCTACTGGTGATGAAGACAGAACTTATCACTTGTAGAGACTTATTTTTGTATAACGGTAGAAGTTTTGAATTTTATGGGGTATTTTGTCAAGTACTGAAATAAAAATGACTTCACCATTTTCACCACACTGTATTTGATCTGTCTTCCTTTTCAGCAAAGCGGTAACAGGTGCATATCATCCTGTTACTTATCCCACCTGGGCAGGACTTAGGGATTCAGAACTTTGTTGAAATCTGTATTAGGGTTTTTCTATCCCGTAGTAAAGAAGAAAGCTTTTCATATGCCTTTGTCTCAACTTCCCAGCTGTAGATATGTGTTGGTATTTCCATAATCAAATCTAAATTTGCTGTTATTACTTCTATCTAAGATGTTTCCTCACAAATCTGTGATCTTTTGCTGAAAGAATCTGCAATTTTTATTAATCACACTGTAGCAAGTTCACCACAAGATTCTTGTTCTCCAAACCAAATCCAGATTGGGAAGCTCTCACAGAGATAATAGAGTGTTTGGGAGTGGGGAGCAGTAAAGGCTTAAACCAGACAAGGCAGATGCTGTACTCTTTGAGCCATGCCTCTAGCTCTTTGGGTCCTGCTTATTTTTCAGATAAGGCCCTCACTTTTTCCTAGATCACCAACCTTACACTTATACTTCCTATGTAGCTGAGATGACTATGTGTACCACCACACTCAGCTGTTGGTTGAAATGAGGTGTCATAAACTTTTGCCCAGACTACCCTCTCAAACTGAGACTTTCCCTATCTCTGTCTCTTAAGTAACCAGGATTAGAGGCCCAGACCAGCACTTCTTTTTGTCTAGTCTTTCCTAAAACCATTAGTAATAGCCAGGCACCGGTGGCTCACGTCCGTAATCCTAGCTACTCAGAAGGCTAACATCTGAGGATCACAGTTCAAAACCAGAATGGGCAGGAAAGTCCGTGAGACTCTTTATCTCCAATAAACCACTAGAAAACCGGAAGTGGCACTGTGGCTCAAGAGGTAGGGAGCTCGCCTTGAGCTGAAGAGCTCAGGGACAGCGCCCAGGCCCAAGCCCAGAATTCAAGCCCCATGACCGACCAAAAAAAAGAAAACTTCAATAATATTTATTGATTACATTTAGAGGCTTTTTCTTCTTACTGGATGTTCTGTGGTTTGTATCAGCACAATAGACCTGACTGCAAGTTGTACATTCTTGGAACTTGCAAATACTTAAATTTCTTGTAGCAGTAGCTAGTCTCCAGTAAGAGGAATTTTAGAAATAGCAAGGGTGTTCTAAAACAGCTTAAGGAGCAGTTATAGACAGAACCTTTTTAATAGCAAACATGGTTGCCATTCAAGGCTGTCCTGCTATAGAGCCAGAAGGAAGAAAAAAAGCAGGTGGGCAAGTGATCTACAAATGAGTGCCTCTGCAATCACTACTATTCATGTGTATCAATAATTAGTGTACAAAGTCTGAATCTTTTGAAGTCTAGCACTTGCCTAGCATGCCCAAGGTCTAAGCCCTTAGCACTTTAAAAACAAAATCCATTGAAAGTGAATGCACTAAACAAGACTGATCGTTTTTCAGAGTCTGGATGTTTTTTGTGCCACAAATCTCTCTAGATCTCTAGTGAGAATAAAGATCCCACCTCAAAATAATGCCAAAGAAACTACAGTCAACTCTTTTTTAAATTTAATATAATTGAAACATTAAATACAATCTAGCAGTAGGCAATATAACTACATAAACTTCAACATGAGAGTAAAATATACTTCAAGAAATCTGTATCATCTATAATTTGTTATGAAAATAGTTGTGATTTATACTGACAGATTCACAAGGCACTACACTAAGAAGGAAATACTAAGTTACAGTTAGACGTTAGTGTAAATAAAGATGTAATTTTTCCCATCTATGTTCCTATTTCATGAACACTATTCAATGAAGTAAATATTACAGATTCATGAATAAAAGTTATTTTTCTCAAAGATAATTTGCAAGTGAAATGTATCAAGCAACAGAGATAATGGCCTTCACAATTAGTTTTAACATGAATCTTCTAGCCTCAAACAGAATTACAACATACATGAGAGGAAAATAAATTTTTGAGGCAGAGTCTTGCTGTGTAGCCCATGCAGGCCTCAAATTCATGGTCCTTCTGCCTCAACATCCCAAATGGTGCACTAAGATGTGGGCCACCAGACCCAGCAAGATAAAATAGTTTATCTAGTAGTAACAGATGACAGATGGCTGATATTGTTAGGCTCCAGTTACGTTGTGAGTTAGGTCAATTCCTGAATACTGAATATGACCAGTGGACCATCTCCCAAAGACCCTGCTTCCTATTACCTTATCTTCAAGTTGATCTTCGATCTTACTTTAACTGTTCAACAAAACTTGTAATAAAACCCTAGTTGTGTTGTGGAGACAGTGAAGGAAACAATATTGAGTTAAATAATAAAAACAAAATTCCCTAAGGATTTGATTTTGGAATTTGACACAAATGCGGTCTTGTGAAACCAGATGCATATTTATTACACATAAGCACTATTTAGTATTAGTGTATTGTTTTTAGGAAATATGTTTATGTAGGCATGGCCCTAGATCTCTCAATGTCATATAGCAAGGCTTCAAGTAAAATTCTCAAAGGACATATTTTTCTATGGCAAAGCTCCATCACTGCTGAATATTATCGTATCAAAAAATAGACTACACCTATACCTAAGGCTTTAACTCAGTATTCCCACCCACCCCATCTTTATATACAAAAAATATTCCAGATAAATGAATTACTTAGGCCTTTTGAAGTATTTCACTAGACTTTTTTTTTTTTTTTTTGGTCAGCCGTGGGGCTTGAACTCTGGGCCTGGGCGCTGTCCCTCAGCTCTTCAGCTCACGGCGAGTGCTCTACCACTTGAGCTACAGCGCCACTTCCGGTTTTCTGGTGGTTTATTGGAGATAGGAGTCTCATGGTCTCTCCTGCCCGGGCTGGCTTTGAACCAAGATCCTCAGATCTCAGCCTCCTGAGTAGCTAGGATTACAGGCGTGAGCCACCAGCCCCCGGCTTCACTATACTTTTATACTAAGAGCTATTTGTACTTTTAAAACTGGTACCTGGAAACTACCATTTAAAATCTGTCACCTAAATCCCCTAAAAAATTTTTTATTAATGAATGTAACGTCCTTAAAGTACATAGTATCAAAACTGTTAGAACATTGTTTCAATACCATTGACTTAAAAGTATGATTCAGTTAAGAAATCTTCAAATCCTACTGGCCTTTAGAATTGCACACTCAAAAGTATTACACAGAGTTGTTTCATGAACTTTATTCTCTTCAAATGCCTCTGCATCTTTACAGTGATGTGTTACGTGTTAGTTCCCTGCAGCCTTTTTCATTTTGATCTTCGTTTGTAACGGATTACTGGGTTTTCAGGGGTGTGAATCATGGTTGTATAATTCACAGTGGGGAAATACCCATCAATGAGATCAAATTCATATAAACGGAGCATAGTAGACCAAATTGTCTTAATTTGAACATAAGCAAAATTTTCCCCAATACAACGATGACGCCCTGTTGGATAAAAGAAGTTTCATTAGTCAGTTTTAAGTACTTTAACATAGAGTGAAATTTAAAATCAATAACACATGTACAAATAGTAAAAGTAAATTATTTTCTATCACATAAAATAAGGATGTAAATAGTTAATTGAACATCAGTGGAAATTTTCAGTGTTTTAAGCAAATGTCATTTGACTATGATTACTTTTCCAATGATGTTTTTTAGAAATTTAACAAGAAGGTTTTCATCATAAGATAGTGATCTAGACTTAGAATGTACTAGAATATTCTCACTTCCTGTCCCATAAGAACTCTACTATTAAAGTCAATATGAACATACTAAAAAAAAAAGTCAACTGTCATTACAAATGATTGTGGAAGGTGAAAGGACTTAATAAACCCAAAATAACAAACTGAGATCAAAATTTAGAAGGTCATTCACACATACAAGTTGAGAAGATAATGCTCAAATGCAGAGAAAAACTCAAGAGCCTAGGATTTCCAAAACAATTCTAAAAACAAACCATACTAGACAACTTAAGTTGAATTGAAGTTTGACTTCCTGACTATAGGTTCAGTAACCAAGACAGTATGGTACTGGACAAGGAGCAACAAACAGACCTGTGAGACAGGGCAGAAAGCTCAAAAATACTTAGGTGTTTATTTGGTTATCAACACAAGTGCTGAACAATCCAGTGAAGAGTCTTCATAGGGGTAGGGTAGGGGAATCAATTCCTACTTAATACCTTTTTAAAATAATCATTGGAGCTGGGCACTGGTGGCCATGCCTATAATCCTAGCTATGCAGGTGGTTTAAAATCTGAAGATGGTGGTTCTAAGCCAGCCAGGGCAGGAATCTCCAATTAATCACCATAAAACTAGAAGTGGCCCTGTATCCCTACCTTGGACAGAACCTGTTTTACATTCTTCTCATACATTTTGTTAGTATGTAATATTGAAAGAGGTTTCACCATGGTATATCACAATGTATATACTGTATTTTAATCATATCAGTCCTCTTGCTTACTCTTGAAATGATGAGAGAAAAGGTTATTTTTAGGTTAATTTTAGCAGCCAACTAGAAATATTCTAACTGAATTAACAAACGAGTTGATAAGATCTGAAGATTAAGGAAACATCATGAAAATGAATGCACTATATGAACCAATATAGAAAGATAAACAGCATTAAGAAGTTTAGAAAGGAGTCCTCTCTTGTGTTACAGAATCTGGGCCACAGAATTAATATATTGTTATTAACATAATAACAATAATCTTAAGATCCTTTGCTATGTTATATATCACATTATTAAATTTATTTTCATAACCACAGATCTAAAATTCTAAAAGTTCTTTATATTCTCATTTATATAACAAAAAGTCATCTGACATTATAAAAGCCACAGAATAGAGTACCGATAGAGAAATTATTGGTCTCTGATTATTTTGGGATCCTTCTAGAAATGCTTGACTAAAACTCCACTTATTTCTGTGTGCAAACCTACACAGAGCTTTCTCAGATTTAAAAACCATATAAGAATATTCAGAAAGACAAAAATACTGACTAACACTTCAGAAAGGCTTCAATTATAAAAGCAGCCTTTGCTCTTTTCTGAATGCTAATAAAGTTATATTTAACCTGACATAGCTCCCTAAATGGTGTGCTAACTCCAATGTTTCTTTAATTTTTAATTGTCATTATAAGGGTGATGAAAGATGGGTTAGTTGCATAAGTCAGAATTGATTTAACAGAATTCACAGGGGTCCCTAAATAATATAAGGGACAATACAAGTACACTATAAAAATTAGAACTAAGTTAAAAGGTATTAAAGTATTAAAAATATAAAAAGAGATTAAAAAGGATTACAAGGATTTATAGAACAATTCCCCAAGAATAAATGAGTTACATTTTGGGTTTCTTTGTTATTTGTTTTTTGTTTTTTTTGTCGGGAGGCTTGAACTCTGGGCCTGGACGCTGTCCCTCAGCTCTTCAGCTCAAGGCAAGCGCTCTACCACTTGAGCCACAGTGCCACTTTCCATTTCCTGGTGGTTTATTCGAAATAAGAGTTTCACATACTTTCCTGCCTGGGCTGGCTTTGAACCGCGATCCTCAGATCTCAGCCTCCTGAGTAGCTAGGATTACAGGCATGAGCCACCGGCACCTGGCATGAGTTACTTTTTTTAATTTACGATGGAATGCTCCTATGAACAAACAGGAACAAACAGTCCAAACCCAAATTGTAATCATCTTACCAGCTCCAAAGGGCACATAGGCAAACTTCTCTCCTGACGCCGGGTTATCTTGTAAATAGCGATCAGGATTAAAGTCCAGACGCTTTATCCACGAGTCTTTCAGTCTCTGATTGACAGTGGGAGAAACACACACCTGATGTCCCGGGGGAATGGTATACCCTGCCACGGTCTACAAAAGAAAGCAACACATTTTATTAGAGAATACTGAAATATGCTACTAAAAAAACACACATTATGTTAGAAAGCATTCATACACTTAACCTTTATACAGATATAGAAGGTGGCTATATAAATAGGTCAGCTACCACACTAAAGCTACCAGCACAACTATGTTTATTGCAGCATTATTTACCATAGCTAAGATATGGAACCAACCCAGATGCCCCTCAGTAGATGAATGGATCAAGAAAATGTGGTATATATACACAATGGAATTCTATGCCTCCATCAGAAAGAATGACATGGCCCCATTTGTTAGGAAATGGAAAGACTTGGAAAAAATTATATTAAGTGAAGTAAGCCAGGCCCAAAGAAACATAGGTTCCATGGTTTCCCTTATTTGCAATATCTAGTATATGTCTGAGTCAAGCAGAAACGGTCAGATAAGGTGATGTTAGGGAAATGAACCCTGAGATATGTATTCAAATGTTTTTTTTTCTTTCATGCAATTGTTTCTAACATATTTATAAGATTATTTCTTTGTTGCTTTGTATGTCCCTACCCCACAGTATAACCCCTGCTTTCACTGTATTTGATGTCGGTATAATTTGTGGAGAGGAAGGGGAAAAACAAATCGTTTAAATAGAGATACAGGTGGACCCATTGCAACAATGACATGTACAAGTCGTTATGTGGAAAACGAACTTTACAACTTTGGTGGAGGGGGGAGAGGATTGGTTGGAGGGGGGAAAGGATGGGAAGGAATGGGAAGGGGAAACAAAGGAGGAGGCTACAATGCTTGATAAGAAATGTACTCATTATCTTGCCCATGTAATTGTAACCCCTCAGTACAGTATTTTTACAATAAATAAAAAAATAAAAAATAAATAGGTCAGCTAAATTTTATTTTAACTCAAAATGATTTGCAAGTGAGCCACCAAGGAATTAGAAGTATACATATAATGCATATGAGGTAAAGTAGAATTTCAAGGAACCTTCCATTATCTGATGTGTATGATTCATACTGTTACAATTATTTATAACAACAGCTTGCTTTTTTGAAAATAAACCAGTGCTAGTGATCAAAGCCAGCACCTCATATATACTAACTGAACAAGCACATTGCCATGCAGTTCCTTCTCCAACGCAAAACATTATTTTAAATTTAATTTTATTGTCAAGGTGATGTACAGAGGGGTTACAGTTACATACATAAAGTAATGAGTATATTTCTTATCAAACATTGTTACTCCCTCCCTCATTTTTCTCACACTTTCCCTCCCCCTCCAGCCTCTCCCCAACAAAACATTATTAGTTAAAGCAAGTAAAATGTATTTCTAAAAAATCCCTATTGTTAACTGAGAATGAATAGCAGAATTAGCATTCAAGATTAGTACATATGCTACCTGCAATTATGTAAAAATATGTCTTTAAAATTATCTTTTGAAAAAGTTCAGAAAATTTTTTAAAAATTAAATAAAATGTTAAAATTATAACTTACTTAACAAAAATTAAAAACTATTCCAAAGTGAAGATAATTTAACTGTTTTAATTTTATTTTATTGTAAAGATGCTGTACGGTGTGGGGGTTACAGTTCTGGAGTAACATAATGAGTACATTACTTCTCCAACAGTGTTACCCCTCCTTTGTATTTCTCCTACTATCCTTCTCTCCCACACTTCCTCCACACCTCCCCCCATCACAGACGTTGTAAAGTTCATTTCCAATATAATGTCTGTGAGTATCACAGTGGGTCATTCTGTGTCCTTGACAATTTAACTTTCATAATTTAAAAAAGTGTCTTTGGCCATAGTGGTGGTAGATACCTATAATCCCAATACTTAGAAGTATCGGTTGGACAATTCCAAGTCCAGCATAGGCCAATCTGAGCTCCATAGAAGACCCTGAATAAAAGAAGCTAAATAAAGGAACCTAATAAAAATTAATTTTAAAATGTTTTGATGCTATTATATTTCCTTTCTTTGATTAAAAAGCAAGGACATAGAAGGGGAAATCTAGCCAAGACACTCACCTGAGCAGTTTTGGCTATTCTCATTATAGTCATTACAGGAGGTCTAAGTCTGAATGTTTCTTTTATGCAGCGATCAAGCAAATGTAAGTCCTTGAGCTAAAAAGAGAAAGAACTTCCTGAGCTGTTTTTTTTAAAAAAAACATTTAACAGATGAACAGTATAAAAATTATTTTAACTTCTTAGTACATGATTGGCTGGTAGAGGGGAAGGGGGAACCGGTTTAATATGGCTGAACTCATCATGTTACATTTCTATCCATAGAAAGAAAGAAAGAGAGAGAGAGAGAGAGAGAGAGGAAGGAAGGGAGGGAGGGAGGGAGAGAAAGAAAGGCAGGCAAGATGTGACAAGAAGAGTGGCAGCCACGAATAAGAACATTTGCAAAAATCGCCAATGTCAACTTCTTCAGAACTCAGATAAATTAACCAAATATTTTGCAACATCTAAATAGTTAGCTAGGATGAAAGAAAAAAAGAATCTTAGAAGAGTAAATCTTGTAGTAATGTAACTACAACTTGCAGATCCATTGTAGTCTTGGAAACAGCAAGATTTCAACTACAGCAACCAAACAACTCTAAAGGAGCCAAAACTTGTCAAACCCAACCAACAGAAATTATATTAATATTACAGGCAGATGAGGTTGTGATATTACTTAGAGCCAACAAGACATAAAACAAAATGTTTAACAGGAAAAGTAGGGAGTCAGATGGCTATAAGAGACTTTAAACACATCTACACAGGGGCTGGGAAGGTGGCTCAGTGGTAGAGCACTTGCCTTGCATGCCTGAGGCCCTGGGTTCGATTCCCAGCACCAAATAAGCAAAAAGAAAAAAGCCGGAAGTGGTGCTGTGGCTCAAGTGGCTCAAGTAGAGCGCTAGCCTTGAGTTGAAGAGTTGAGGGACAGCGCCCAGGCCCAGAAGAGTTCAGGCCCCATGACCGGACCCCCCCCCCCCCCCCGCAAAAAAAACACATCTAAACAGTAATTTTGAAGTGTGTTTGCATATACAAAGTAACAACATGCCCAAGTAATATCTGACAAGGCTCTGATGGCTCACCTATTACTAACTCTACACAAACAGAAATGAAGGCTGAATTTTAATTGCTATTATTGATATATAAATGGTATTAATAACATGTCGACATAAAAAGCCCCTCAGAAAAGTTGAAAGACTTAATTATTCAAGACATAGTAAAAAAAAATCTCTAAATATCATTAGGCGACTACTAACATTTAAAAAAAGAGTTAAACAACTTTATAAGACAAATATGTACTTTAGATACTTAATCCAGAAAAGTCAGTTCTAAAAAAAACTAAACAAAAAAAACCCACCTTCCAACAAGAAACTTTGATGTCCAGAATTGTCTCATTCTGGTTTAATTTTAGATTTTTCATGGCAATACTGCAATTTCAACTCAAGACCTCCAGCTTGCAAAGCAGATACTCTACCACTAAGTCCACCCCAGATCAATTTTACATTCTATATATGTAACCTTTATGAATTTCAGTGGAAAATCCTCAAAAGAATATATTAGCAAAAAAGATGCAGGAACCTATAAAATGGCCATATAGCCCAGGAATGTAGCAATTATTTTCCATTTAAAAATTAATGTAAACACACCATGTTAAAGGACTTAAAACAGACACACACCCAGAAAAGAAAAAAAAACTCCGGGAAGAGTATATAGCCAGATTTGCTTCAAAGACAAAATAGCAGGTTGCATAGTCCTCTTTTTTCTGCCCAGCAAGCTAGATGCAATGTTTTGGATTTTTAATCTCCATTACTATCATTATTACTCTGGATGTTCCCTGAACAATTTGACCAACATCTGAACCAGAAACTTTATTTTTATTTTTTTGGGGTCCAGTTGTGGGCCTGAACTCTGGGCCTGGGCGCTGTCCCACAGCTCTTCAGCTCAAGGTTAGCGCTCTACCACTTGAGCCACAATGCCACTTCCGGCTTTTTTTTTTCTGGTTATGTGGTGCTGAGGAATTGAACCCAGGGCCTCTTGCATGCAAGGCAAGCGCTCTACCACTGAGCCACCTTCCCAGCCCCTGGACCAGAAACTTTAATTCAGAGACTTTTACCTTTCCTAAGACACACAACATACACAATACTTTCCTGAACCTACTGAAGCCAGACTTGAAAGCCAAAGTACCACCATAGAACTCCCAAGGCATCTGTGTAAAACAGAGTAAGTTGAATAGAAAAAAGCAATCACACTGGAATAGATAAAGTTATTGAGTTTTCTAAAAATATAGAAGCTTATTAACTTAAGCTAAAATATACAGACAAATCTCAAAGTGTCTATTTAAAAGGGACAATATAAAAGGTAGCAATGAAACAGAAAACTCCAACAAACCTGGTCATAAGTTAAGGGAGGCAGAGTCTCTCCGCAGACAGTTTTCTGTTCTAAGTAACACTTTTCTTGAAGTGTTTTGTCTCTGGCCAAAAAGAAGCCCATCCAAGCACTAGTAGTTGAGGATGTATGCTGCCCAGCCAAGAGCAGCACAATAAGCATGCCTGCTACTTCGTCATCTGTCAAAGGCCGCCCATCTCTAGGGAAGGAAGCACACAGCCGCTCAACATTCCATGCCTCCACGCTTAGACAAAGATCATATTTACATACCAATTTCATTATTCTTGATCACAGGGTTCAATACTAATTTAGGTTCCATCAATTAAAAGCACCATAGCTTCTACTCTTACCTTTTAACTAAAAATACTATTTAATTATGCTTTAATGACACTTTCCTGCTTCAATTTGATATGCAATCTGATCTGCTCTTACTTGTATGTAGAATCTAGTAAAGTTTGAAGAATGTCATCAATTTTTTCTGCTGACTGCCTGCGTTTTTGGATTACTTTGTAGAACATATTCTTGATCTTCCGATGAGCTGTGTCCCTGCGCCTGTAATTCAAAAATAAAATTATTTTTAAAAAATAGTAATATTTTCGAATAGGGGGAGAGAGAAGATGGCAAAGGAGAAGCTGGGGACTAAGCAAGCTCTCTCGTAGAAGCCAGTTTTAGTATTCCAGTGAAAAGTTCAAGACTGGAGAGTCACACTAAGTGTGCCATCATAGTACAGAGAGTTTGGCCAGAGAGGAAAAATTCAGGCAGCTTGGTTAAGGAGACAGATTTGAGCACTCACCAGTGTCCATGGCAGCTGCCATATCAACAGAGAAGAGCCGGGGGGAAAAAGGCACCAGAGATGGTGTGAGAGTGGATTCTACTCACCACCAGCAAGAACTGAGAAGGAGTGGAAATCATCCTGCTGACCACAGACAGTCACAGACTGTGGACCACCCAGAAACAAAGGGAAAGACATGAGTACCCCACAAGACATCCTCATGCTTTCTCACAGAGCAGCAGTGGGAAGGTAGCCCCTCCCCCACCACCAGAGAAGAACTCCATCTTTGATACTGACAAAGACCAGGTTAGAGCAGCTAGCTTGTAACTCAGGCCTTCGAAGAAGACAATAGGGCCTTTCAACAGGTCAAAAGAACCTGACCTGCTGGGCTCAGCTCCACCCCTGCCCCCAAAGTTGCCCTTCTCAGCAGAGCAAGTTCTGCCCAGGGCAGAGTAACTTTCTTCACTGGGTAAACAGCCGTGGGCTGCCCCATCCCTCTGCAGCACAGGCAGCAGCCCCAGGTGCAGAAGGGTAAAGGAAAAACAATTGGAAACTCAGTACACATAAATCCTGACATTCATTGGCTTTAGGCTGGGCTGTGTGAGTGTCACAGGAGCTAGCCCCTCAGGGAAAAGCTACTGATTGCTGACAGGCCTCAACCCTACCCACAACTGTAGCCCCATCACAGGAACTCCAAGCTAGAGGAAACAGCCATCTCCCTCTTTTGTGATACTCAAAGCAATTCACCTCCTCTGAACTAGCCTGGGAGGTGGGTCATAAAGTCCCTGGGAAGGCAGAGCTTCTTTCTGCCTGCTCAAACTGATTTAAGAAACCAGGCAAGCCAGAGGAAAAACCAAACACCACAAGAAAGCCAGAGATTCAACCAAGAGTCTGGTTACAGATACAGGGGAGACACAGATCCTCTCCCCCCACCTCCCAAAAAATCGAAGAACTCTTTTTCTACCTAATTTTCTTTTAAAAAAATTTAAAAATTGTTTTCTATTTTTTTCACCATTTTTATTTAAAGCTTATTTTTTAATCCTCTTTATATTCTTTTCACTTTTGGTCCTTTTTGGGTTTTTTTGTGTTGCTTAATTGCTGTTCAATTATTAGACTTTATCCTTCATTGTGTGCATACCTAATTCAGATATTAAGTATTTAATTAACAAACTCTGAGCCTTAAATCCTTTAATTGTAGTATTATTTCATTATACTTATATAATTTTTAAGTGTTTCATTTTTAAATTTTTTATTATTCCTTTTTCCTTTTTCTTTATCTCTCTCCTTTTCTTTTATCCTTTTCCTCTCTCTGAATTTAGGTCTATTATATTCCCTCTCTCCTTTTCCCTCACCACATTCTTCTAATCTTATTTTCTCACAATTCTGCCAAATTAATTTAATTAATTCTCCCTATTAATTTCTGGCCTGCTGACTCCTCCTTTGATTTTCTTAGTCCACTGATTCCTAGTTGTTTTTTATTGAACTGGATTGTATCAGTTGAACTAGACTATATCTGTACCCATTTTGACTGTGTCAAACAATCTGTGCAACTACAGGGCTCTAGTTGATGCTTGCCTTAAAATAGTGTTCTGGCATGGAACTGGTTTTGTTTTCATACCCAAATGGGCAGAACAAGCCAGAAAAACACAAGAAAAATTGCAAGTCCAAGTATCTCAACTCCCACTCATGATAATCAGGCAACAGAACAGTTAATGAATAATCTAGAGGAGAGTTCCCAAAATGGCCTGCAAACTCTACTAGTAAACATGTTGAATGAAAGGACTAAAAGCCTGCAAAGGGCTCTATGCGAACCTGATAAGGAAAAGGGTGAGGGTGATGAGGCTAACCAAAAAAGTAATACAGGAATTTTGTGAGTATGAGGAGGCTAATAAAAGATTAATAGAGAAATTGCATGAACAGGATGAGAATAAACAAAGATTAATAGAGGCATTTATAGAATCCACAAACAGAAAGCTGGAAGAATCCAGGGAGGCCACAACGGGAATGCTGAATGAAGCCCAACAGAAGGAAAGGGAATCCAATGAAACTATAACTAAACAACTAAGGGATTTGAGAATAAACACTGAAAACCAAATTAAGGAAGTAGAGAAGTCCATACAAAATCTAAAACAAAGTTCCAACAAAGAATCTGACCAATTAAAAGGAAAGGAAATAAAAAACAAAGTAGAAAGTCTTGACAGTAGAACATGCAGAAGATTGAACATCTGGGATTGAAGATAGGCTAAACATTATAGAGAAAGAATAGACAAGTATTCAAGACAAATTCAAGAACTATGATAGATCTATTCAACTTTTAGAAGGCACCATCAGAAGGCCTAATTTAAGGTTAATGGATGTAGAGGAGACCCTAGAGACAGAAGTTAAAGGTTTAGGAAATGTATTTAACAGGATCCTAGCAGAGAACTTCCCAAACATGCAAAAAGATAGGCCCATTCAGATACAAGACACTTTTAGAACCCCAAACAGACAAGACCAGAACAGGACATCCCACTGTCACATTGTAATCAGCACAAGATCAATTCAGACCAAGGAAAGGATCCTTAAACCTGTCAGGGAGAAAAGATCAATCACCTATAAAGGGAAACCAATCAGACTAACTATAAATTTCTCAGCAGAGTCCATGAAAGCAAGAAGAGCCTGGAATGATGTATGCCACATCCTAAAGACAAACAACTATCAAACAAGAATAGTGTACCCAGCTAAACTCTCCATAGCAGAAGGACAAATAAAAACCTTCCAGAGCAAAGAAAAATTGAAGCAATATATCTCCACAAAACCAGCCATACAAAAGATACTTAAAAATGTCCTACACATAGAAAACCAACAAGAGCTCAGTAAAGGCCAAGAAACAGCCCCCAAACAGAGAATCCAAGAATCATAGAAAGAACCCAGTTGGCACAACCCTCCAAAAATGTGGATAACATGGCAGGAACTACCAAAAACCTCTCAGTCCTAACTCTCAATATTAATGGACTTAACTCTCCAATTAAGTGACAGATTGTCTAGTCGGAACAAAAAGCAAGATCCTTCTATCTGCTGCCTTCAAGAGGTACATCTTGCCCACAAAAACAAACATATTCTGAAAGTGAAAAGCTAGAATAAAATCTACCAAGCAAAAGGCCTCCCAAAACTGGCAGGAGTTGCAATATTAATATCAGATAAACTTCAAATTAAAATTAGCAAGAAGAGATAAAGAAGGTCAGTACATACTAATTAAGGGATCTCTCTGTTAGGAGAATATTAAAATTCTAAATATTCACCAAATAATGGAGCACCCAAATTTATCCAAGAAACACTACTTTCCCTAAAGTCACACATAGATCCAAAGACATTAATTGTTGGGGACTTTAACACACCACTATCCCTGCTGGATAGATCAACCTGGCAAAAACTCAAGAGAGAAACCTTGGAGCTAAACAACTGCATAGACCAACTAGACTTAACAGACATCTACAGAATATTTTACCCAGCAGCATCAGAATACACATTCTTTCTCAATAGCACATGTATCATTCTCCAAAACAAACCACATTTTAGCTCACAAAGCAAATGTGTTCAAATTCAGAAACACTGAAATTATGCCCTGCATTCTGTCAGACCAAAAGGGAATAAAATTAGAACTCAACACCAAAAGCCACCAAAGAAAATCCTGTAACACATAGAGGCTGAAAAACACATTGTTGAATCACCAGTGGGTCATGGAAGAGATTAGAAAGGAAATTCAAATGCTCATGATACTTAACAAAACTGAACACACGAATTACAAGCTCTTCTGGGACACAGCAAAGGCAGTACTCAGAGGTAAGTTTATAACTCTGAGTTCCTACTTCCACAAATTGGAGAGATCTGAAACCAACAATTTAATGAGGCACCTGAAGCTCCTTGAAAAGAGCAACTAGCTAAATACAATCCAATAGATGGACACAAATAATTAAAATTAAATCAGAATTAAATAGAGTCCAAAAAACCATAGAAAGAATCAACAAAACAGTTAGTTCTTCAAAAAATAACAAAATTGACAGACCCCTACCAAATCTTATCAGAAAAAGAAGGTAACACACCCAAATAAACAAAATCAGAGTTGAGAATGGAAACATCACTAGATTCAGAACATTATAAGGGAATACGTCCCAAACCTTTATGTTACTAAGTTTGATAATCTGGAAGAAATGGATGAATTTCTAGCAAATATTGGCACGTTCAAATTAAACCAAGATGATTTAAACCAACTTAACAGATCCATACCAAGCATCAATATAGAAACTGCAATAAGAGACCTTCCACCCAAGAAGAGCTCAGGACCAGATGCATTTACAGCTGAATTCTACAGGGCTTTCAAAGCAGAACTCACATCAATATTCCTCCAACTTTTCAATGAAATTGAAAGTGAAAGTTCACTACCAAACTCTGTCTATGAAGCCATCATAACCCTCATCCAAAAACCAGGCAGGGACTCATCAAAGAAAGGCAACTAGAGAACCATTTCTTTGACGAACATCGATGCAAAATTCTCAACAAAATTTTGGCCAATCGACTTCAACAATTCATACAAAAAATCATACGCTATGATCAAACAGGATTTATTTCAGGGATGCAAAGCTGGTTCAATATATGCAAATCAATTAATATAATTCATCGCATCAAGAGCAAGGGTGAGAACCACATGATTATCTCAATAGATGCAGTAAAAGCATTTGACAATATCCAACACCCTTTTAAGATGAAAGCTCTGGAAAAACTAGGAATCCATGGAACATTC